AAAGCACTACAAAAAAATATACAGACTTTAAGATTTCAAGTCCACAATGGTAGGGGATGCTTCTCAACTTCTATTCTGTATTTTTCTCAGTGTTGGGCCTCAAAGGACGAGCTTGATGGCTCGCATCGCGTATATTTTGTGGTTTTGCAACCGCACTTAATTCAATTTCATTTACTCTATTATGCATGCGTGTTGCCAGTGCCACGCCTCTGTTGGCCGCCCCTCTTAGCCGAGGATGCTGGCCTGGCCAATTTGTGACTTTTTTCCGTTTCCTTGACACCATTTTTCACCTGGCTGGTGGGCCAGATTGTAACGCCTTTCCTCGCTCTCCCACTTTGACGTTTTAATTCGCCGGCACTTTGTGTGCTTTAATGCAATTTCTAGCCGAGATTGACGTTGAAACTGACCAGCTTTTCCAGCCCGGGCCCGAGCCCACAGATGCGGCTTAATTGGCCACCGACAGGCGACAAAACTTTTCAATTAGAACTAATAGAGTGGGAAGTAGGAGTAGGAAGGAAATGCGCCGGGAAACTTGCACTTCCCATTAGGGTCGGCGAATTTATTTTCCCAATTACAACTGCAATTTTTCCACCCGGCCTGAGGGAGTCCGAGGGAGTGGAAGTTGGGGGATGGAGGTGGCACCGGGTCGCTTGACAGACAACTGAAATATGCAAATTAAATTTATGACTCGGCATTCCTCGAGGCGCAAAGTGCAAACTGCGAAATACATTTCTCGTGTTGCATATTTTTGTGGCGCCGTTACACAACTCGAAAAAACTACAAAAACCCAACATTAAAAAAAAAAAATAAAAACAAAAAGGAAACAGGACCCGGACTTTAATGACAGGCTTAAACCTTAAACTACGAATGTAATTCCTCTTTTGGCTGTCAAGGATTTTGCATTTTGATGTTGGATTTTGTGTCACTTTCGTATCCAATTCGGTTTGTATTTTCTTCTTGTTGGCTTTTTACTTTTTTTTTGTTTTTATTTGGCAACGTAAGCCATCGCATTAGGGCTAAGCAGGTGGCTCGAACCTGAGCCTGATGGAGTCTCTGATGTAAGCCGAGTTTTGTATAATTGATGACATCGAAACGGAACGGTACAAGGAGGTCAAGGCAGGTGGCCAAAGGACAGATTCAAGGCCAGTTGCACACGTTTTTCAGGTAATATATTACATTTAAATGGTTGTTTTATAAAAGTCATTAAAGTTATTTTTAACTGTTGGGTTTTTAAGGAAAGCTTTATTGAGTTTTAAAAGGACATGAGCTACAGAAGCTGTTTATAATAAAACAAGAATGGAAATATTTTATACCTCTTCGTTCTCCCAAACTTATGATTAAAAGCCATTTCCAGGCACTTCCATTTCCAATGCCAAAGATACATCCAATTGGTCAACCATGAACATGGCAAAAATCGATTTTAATGGCGCCGGAAAGGGATGATGGCCGGCCGCTCCTCCTGGAAGCACTCGTGCGGGCAATAAAGCATTCCCAGGACCCATAATATTTGCCTAAACAAATGCCAGAGCAGAGCAGTCCTGCTGGCTAAAATCCTCCGGCAGATACTGGCCCAAACCTATGACAACACCAGCAGTAGCCAAAGCCAAAGTATGCAAGGATAAGAGCCGAAAAACCGGAGGGAAATGGTCGCAAACAAACATGGCCAAGCACAAGGACGAGTGCAAAAAGGCATTCCATATGCAAAAATTTATGCGGTCGTCGCATAAACAATTTCAACTTTAAAACCAAACAAAAATTGCAAGTCAGGACCTCTCCGGCAAGCTGGTTCCGGCGAAAAACCAATTCGATTTTGCCATATGCAATGTAAATCCCCAAAGGATTGCCGAAGGATAAAATGTTTGGGGGCGTGGGGGGTGGCGGCGCATAACGGTGTATGTGCGGCGGCACATGTTTCAAGCTCAGAGAAAAAAAAAACAAAAAAAAAGTTGAAAGAAAAAATGTGAAAGCGGAGAAAAAACGTTTGCATATGCTTTAATCAAAGGCAATGACGTACGGGAATGTGGTTCATTCTTAAAAACGTATCCTGGCTAGGTAGGAGAGAGAGAAAGAGAGGCCTGTCGGTGGTCGGTGGGGTCGGCCTTAGGTGGGTAGGCATGAGCGGGTCGAAAGAGGACTTCCTCCAGAAACGGAACTGTTGACAAAACCATGCGGGTAGAAGTTGCTCCGCCAGGACTGCGAATGGACATTTGTGATTGTCCGTTCGCAGGACCAGCGCAGGCGCAAGGGTTAAACGGAAGAGAGACAAGAGCGCCCGGCCAACTCTCACTCTCAGCAGGTCTCTCTGGTGCGGCCTGGTGCTTCCTCTCGGCCGCCCTCTCTGCGGCTTACACGCCCCACTGGGTGGTTGTTGTGCTCTCAGGGTTGCTTTTGACATTTTGTTTGCCATGTGCCCCACTGTAAGTCAGCTGTGCACTGCGACAAAAAATGTTATAAAGATTTAAAAAGATTTAGGAGATCAAAAGTATATTTTACACGCTTTTTCTTTTATTTGTTTAGTGCAAAATATATTTTGTAAAAGCCTTAAACTACATTTAAAACAATAAACACTTAAGAAAGCTTATTATTTAAGCTTATTATAGAAAATCCTAATAGTTTATTCATTAAAATATATCTAAGCTTATAGAAAAACTTTACAGTGTACCGGCGCACCCTCTCCCAACTACCGCCCCTCTTTTCTTAGCTTCCCCTTATAGCTTTTTAATTACAAATAGAAATTGTTAACATTTTTACTGACGGTTATGAAACTAATTGGAAGAGACAACGCCGCTGAATAACCAAACAGTTTAAACAAGGATCTTGGCCAGCTCCTGTCCTTTGTTGGAGACTTCTGATGGAAGGACACCCACGGTTAGGAGAGCTCCCGACTTTGTCTACAGCGGTAATCCCTTGGGTCATTAAGGCGTCTACGTGTCTGCAACGGCAACATCAACGTCAGCAGGAGCAGAAGCATTACAGGATGCTGCTACCAGCCAGGACATTGTCGCCTGCCGATTGTCGCATGTTTTATTCAGTTTGGCGACGTTCTCCTCATCGCCGCCATCAGGTTGTAAATATTGAACAACAACAACACCAGCCACCAGAACAACACTCAGAGTCCTTGCAAACTGAATACTGAAACACGCCGGAAGCTGAAATGGTGCTCATATTTTAAGATGTTGCATTTTTGATCTGACGCGACAGTTTTTTTTATTGCCCATGACAGAGGACACCTTAATTGTTTGCTGGAAAAAGGATGCGGTGGCATTAGATGGAACAGAAGGAAGCCCAAGGAGGCGGGAAGCTTTCAAAGACTACAGGGACATGCCACAGGATAAAAGCAGATATAGAAATAGAAATGGGAATTGGGATAAAAACTGGGAAATAGAGACAGACAGAAGCCGAAGATGAAAGCCAGTTGAGCTTAACTGAGCTAAACATTTTGGCATTTTATTGATAAGCCAAGTTGTCTCTGTCTTCTATCTCCAAGATATGACAAAAAAAGTTTCATATTTCTGCTTTTGATTGATAAAAAAGTTTGCCAAAAGAAAAGTTGGACGAAAGCTGTAAAAGCAAAGTTATAAAAGAAGTTTATATTTTGGCATTCAACTACATTAGTCCTTGGTATCTTTGAGATAATTTTATGCAGGCCAAAAACCAAAACAAAGCCATTTTTATATGCAAATTTTGCATAAATTCCGTTCTCCACTAAGGAGAGAATCTAAAGCAGAGTCCTTTTTAGGTTTTTTAGGTTTTTCCTTTGTAGGTCCTGACATGTATCGACTTTTGCGCCGTTGCATGGCTTGGCTTTTTTTTTATACGCCCCGAGAGTAGTTCATTAGGACAGTGCAATGTTGACAACAACATTTTGAGGGTTGAACTTGCGGCTATAAATACGAAACTATAATGCTCCCCACAGAAGAAACTAAGCTGACAAAAACAGACAACAAGACAACTAGGGATCTCACGGCTTGGGGTTGAAAACACAGTACAAGGAAATAATATCCATGAACTCACGTTTTTCCATTCTGGACGGATGGCCGTGCGATGACGTCATTGTGCCGCAAATATGATTGCAATTTATTGGATTGGATACTTGTACTCGGGCCATCAATCAATTTTGATTATTTATCATCTTAACTCGGGCTGGGAGTTTTGTATTTCAATATTTTGTGGCAAGACGATTTGATAACGAAGACGTTTAGTCATTTGCATGGGACAACTTCAGGCCGACAAGTGTCTCTTCTTCTCGATGTTGGTTCGTCCCCACCTTGGTCCTGTTGCCCCTTGATTAATGCCCTTACTGTCAGGCCAAACACCTCAAGTGGCCATTGAGCCGCCCGCCCCCCAAGTTTGCCTTTTCCGTTCGCCGTCTGCTCTTCTCGAAGCTCGGCGCTCGGAGCCTCGCAGGTGAACGGTGAGCGGTGAGCACTCGTGGAACTCAAAAGCCACATCCGCCCGCCATATTAAATTCTACAATTCAACTTCGTTTTCGTGCAAAAACAAAAAAACTGTCTATAAATACTGTTAAATGAGTGAGGAGAGCAACTCCTGCGTATAAGTACACTGAGGATTCTTGTACCATCCTATATCCTTTATTATGTTTAATTCTATTTAATGTTAATAATGCTTATTATAATGAACCCCTTTGAAGCCCCAAATACTCCTCCAAATTCCTAGCCCTTTTTTTTACCGTGCATATGTCTGTGTGTGTTTTACGTAGTTGCGGTTGTTTGTGGTTTCCCCCCAGAAATAATTGTGGGTGTGTGTACGTGTCTCTGCGGAGGAGTGTGTATGTGTGTTGGACGCACGGATGGATGGTTCGATGTTGTTTCCCAGTTGTTTTTGGTTGAAAATCGATAAGAACAACAACAACAAAATTAAACAAAAAATCCATAAAAACAAAAGCATGTATGGTAACAGAAAAAAATAAATGGGAAAAAAATAAATGCAGCGATAAAGAATACGAAATATCGGAGGGCGGAAGAGGCCCTCTTACATACCGACTATTTCCGTTTCGGGTGCAAAATTTCAGAGGCTTTCGCCTTATACAAATCACTTCCGGGATGAAGCGTTCACGTTGTTGCACCCACAGTGCATACACTTACACACTCGCCCACACCGACAGGCTGCTGGCCACGAGACACCAATACACTGGCACACTGGCGCTACACCTACACGCCGATAGCACAGGACAGGCAGAAGAAGAAGCACAGGGAGAGTAGTAGTAACAGTAGCAGCAGCAGTTAGCTGCAACCTCTTCTATATTATTTTTTCCTCTTTAATGGCCAAAAAGCTTCGCGCTAGGCTACTTAATTATATAATTTTATTTCACTTAATGCACTTTACGATTTTACGCAATTGGCGCACATTTGTCGCATGATTTGCATAAACATTTTACTGATTTTTCCCCGTACACTCGCACACACACACACACTCTCACACGCTCGCGGGCTGTGACGTACGCACACACATACACATGCGGAGGGGATTTGCGTTTTTTTTTTTGTATTTTTGGTGTTGTTGTGAGCTGCCTATTATGGGATGGCTGCTCATTCGCGGTGCCGTTTACAGTTGGATCTGCTATTTAACCGAAAAATAGTTTTTGGTCCGTTCCTTTCGGGCCGCCACGGCAAACGTTGTCTACAAACTGAGCGGCGCTCTGTATAACTGTAAAAGCGTGCCAAAGGACACTTCGGCGAGAAAAAGGAAGTGTGTGATTTGGCCACGAGAGCGCCAGTGTTTGTTGTTGTTACGCCAGTCGAGAGGGTGGTAGTTTGCCAGCAACAGGGTGAGCGCAAAGGCACCCTGTAATGGAGCATGCGCATGGTGGATTAGCGGTTATCTTGGACTCTCTTGCCTGCTTTTACCGTTACCTTTTAAAATTTCAAAATGATTCGCCGTAAAGTAGGCAGTATTTTTTATAAATTGTAAAATATGTGTGAAAAAGCTTTCATCCTTTTTAGTTTTTCAAATCGATATACCAATGAATATTAAAACTTTTTTAATTGGTGAAGATTAAGCTTCAATTTAATAAACTGTTTGACCTTCTTGATGGCATTTTACTTTTTGGTAAATTAATAATTCTCATACCAAAGGCATTTATATTAATTTAAGGCCTATTTGTGAATAAATATTTTAAATTAGCATTTAAAAATTAAAAAAAACTTCATTTCATATTAGAACTTTCCGCACTACACCCTGTCAGCCGCGAGCAAAATTATAGGTTCGTGTCTAGGCTAAGCGTGTGGTGAGTTTTTATTTGTTATATGAAGAAAGATAAACAAAATCTTTTACAATCAAAATATCGAAATATTCTGCAATTTTCAAACAAAATATACCTTGAACCCCAAGTTAATACTTTTCTTAAGCAATAGAGAAAATATAGGAAATAATTGCATAAAATGTACAAAAATACAAAGGCCAAAAGCTTGAAGAATCGTCTTTGAAATATATGTATATATTATGAAAACGTCAAAAACACGCCCGTCAATTCGTTCAGCAGACTGACTCGTGTCCAGCAACTGACAGATTTACGGATCCAGAACTAATCCCCCGCAAAGAGTAAAGAATAGAACACAGAAACCCCGAAAAAAAACACACATCACGGACTTTTCTCAGTTTATATCACTTTATTCAACGTTTTACGTTAATATTTCTTGCTTTTAATTTATTTATTTATTTTCTTTAATAATATTGTTTCAACCGTACTCGGTTTCTTTTATTTTATAGGTAATTGTGGGGGCATTGCTCGATGATAACATTTAAACAATTAAATATTTATAAATAATAGAAGTCGCTCACTAAACATAATATTACGAATATAAACTTAGTCTTACTATGTAATATGTGTATGTTTAGGTTTTATGTATAGTCGTATATTATAATATAGATATAAATAATATTTATGTATGTATGTATGTACCGTTACATATCATTGCATTAGCACAGCACTAAAAACACTTAATTGCCAGTATAAATAATGAATGTTATTGCTGTCGCAAATTATACACAATTTTCAACAGAAAACAAAAAACGACAATTTCCTTCTCATATTTAGAAATCATTGAAGTACTGCAAGTCTCTTTGGTCTACTGCCTTGGCGGGCTTCCAATCCTTTTCGGGATAATCATCAAAATTTTTAGTATCACCATCGTGATGTACATCGGGCAAAATTGGCGGCTATAAATGAGATAAATGTGGTAAAATATAGTTTTTGTTTATTATTGTTTAGATCTTTTGAAGCATTTAGATTTTGAAATGTTATCCTTAGTGTATAGATTCATAAAAATTTTAATAATTCCTAAAAATATAAATAGGTTTTACGTCCCTAGCATCTCTGTAGTATCTAGCTTTTAAAATATTTTAATAATTCCTTAACATATCATTTGGCATTGATCCGATTAGTTGTAGCCTGTCTCGTGGTTGTAATTCCTTAACCCAAAATAAACCTGTTTAAAGAGCACACCTTAGCTCTTATGGTTGCTATGGAGAATCTTACATAAAAAGTGCAAAAATTCTGCACTTGTAACAATCATTTCTGACGCATTAAACCCATTGTCTCTCATATGGACGGGGGCGTTCATGTGGGCAATTAACGCCTTCTTGAGATGCGAAATGCCCCCTTTTGTTACATTTCACTCGCACTCACTTTCCCGACCAGCTGGATGGCTGGGCAGAGGGAATCGCAAGATTTATGGGTCTAACACCCACCCGGACGGCCGAAATAGACGCTGCGGTCATTAACTAAAGGCACAGATAATTTGGAAAACTGATTTGTTTATTTGCCTTTAATTACGAAATACATATTCGCCGACTATCTTCGCCCTACAAAAAACCTGAAAGCCCAACAATTAGCCAAAATGATCCCCCTAAAGTTCCTTACCTTAAGTTTCTTATTGTAGACGTCATTCCAATTCAAGTGCTTGAACCAGCGATGTCTCTTCACGTCATCAGCACCGTTCTGTTCAGACATCGTAGGGTATTCGGGGGTGGATGGTAGGTAAATATAGAACGAAATACAAAATATTCAAATATTAGACATAAATAACGTTCTGCATTTCGGTGGCTCGTGTTGCAAAAGCTCGCGACATATCTATTAAATTGAAAAACAAAATAGCGGGCGAGGCATATGAGAAAAATTATTTTGCGAAAATGTATTAAGCTAACTGACAACGAGCATGTGCAGATCTATTTGCGATGACCGACAATTAATTTTTGATATATGCGATGCAATTTTTAATGCCCCACAGCAGCCAGCCGTGACAAGTGTAAACAATTATCTATAAATACCAGGCCCAATAAGCCAAAATATGTTAACAAGCAAAGCTGGTCAAAATTTATGAATATTTATGCATGAAACTATTTAAGGAACATCTAAGGAAACGAAGCAAATAAATAAACTTTGACAGCTGGCAAAATTAATGTACAACAATAGGGTCAAGAGTCTCACCTTCATGTTGCCCAATCGCTTGGTTCGATCGTTGACGAGCAACTTTTTGATCAAGTCCTTGGCAATGGGGTCCATGTGACGCTCCCACTCAATTTTGCCACTCAATATTTTCTCGTAGATCCCAAACGGTTGCTCATCGTAGAATGGTGGATAGCCCACGAGCATTTCATAAATAAGGACACCTTGAAAACAATCTGGTATTAGATTTCGAACTCCAGAGTATTACCACTTTGTAACTCACCCAATGCCCACCAGTCTACCGCCTTGTTGTGGCCCTTGGACTGTATTATCTCAGGTGCTATGTACTCCGGCGTTCCGCACAAGGTCCAGGTTCGATCCCTCAGTTTCTTGGCGAAGCCAAAGTCCGTGATTTTCAAATGGCCGTCGCGATTAATCAGAAGGTTCTCTGGCTTCAGATCCCGATAGACAATTTGCAGGGAGTGCAGGTATTCCAAGGCGCTGACGATTTCAGCCGCATAGAAATTGGCTAAAACAAAAATACATTATTTGTTTTGTTTTATAATTTCATCAAACAAATTTACTTACAAGTTTGACTAGTAAATTTTCCTGCGTTGCGCAGATATGTGAACAGCTCACCACCGCAGACATAATCAAAGATCATGTAGAGATTTGAGTCATCCTTAGTAGACCATTCCCTGAAGAGGAGAAAACAAAGAGATGATTATACTTTTTGTATAAAATAAAATGTATGCATTATTGGTAAAAATACTTTTGCCCCTAGATAAAACCATATCTTGGCAAAAAAAATCATCCGATTCTTGAATGGAATACTTCAATCGATTTGTACGTTGATTCTCCATCAATCTGCATCAAAACCTACGAACAAAATATTTTTTAGATTTTTTGTCAAATTTCCTGGGGACTCCCTTCAAAAATGGGAGAAATGCATGGAGGCACTCTATGGCCCACATCGAAAGCTATAACTTTGCCAATATTTATCTGATTCTTGAGAGGAATACCTCAATCGATTTGTACGTCGATTCTCCATCAATCTGCATCAAAACCTACGAACAAAATATTTTTTAGATTTTTTGTCAAATTTCCTGGGGACTCCCTTCAAAAATGGGAGAAATGCATGGAGGCACTCTATGGCCCACATCGAAAGCTATAACTTTGCCAATATTTATCTGATTCTTGAGAGGAATACCTCAATCGATTTGTACGTCGATTCTCCATCAATCTGTATCAAAACCTACGAACAAAATATTTTTTATTTTTTTTTTTTTATATTAAGTTACTTCCTGTAGTGGAAGGATTATTTGGCCTCCCCGTTTAGACGGGTTAACGCCACAGCCAATGTATGAAATCTTATTTCAGGAGATCTAAAAAATTGCGCTTGTATTAAAGACAATAATTTTTATAAATTAATTTTGGCTTGCTTTAAGAACGACGTTATCGATATGTAGTTGTCGATTGGTTCATTTACAAAGAAGCGATAAATATCATTATATTTTAAAAGGCACTCTATGGCCCACATCGAAAGCTATAACTTTGCCAATATTTATCTGATTCTGGAGAGGAATACCTCAATCGATTTGTACGTCGATACTCCATTAATCTGCATCAAAACCTACAAACAAATATTTTTTAGATTTTTTGTCAAATTTCCTGGAGGACACCCTTCAAAAATGGGAGAAATGCATGAAGACACAACAAGTCCAGGCGAAGGCCATATATTTGGCCATATGCATCCGTTTGATGAAAGCAATTCCTTTAACTAAATGTTCCCTGTTTATTTGTTATTTATTTAATATTTGTAATATTTTTGTAATATTATTATTGTACTTATTTTCATTTGGATGCCACATGTGGAATGACCCCAAAAACGATGTTTAAATTTAATATTTGTCATATTTTATATACTTACAGGCTGATGACAAACGGATGTCTGATTTCGCGCAAAATATTCCGCTCGTTCTTGACATGCTCGATCTGTTTGAGACGAATGACTTCGGTCATGGCCAAAATCTTCATGGCACAGTACTTTTCCGAAATGCGATCACGGCATAAACACACCCGTCCAAAGGTGCCAGTGCCTGAAAGGTTTAAAGTATCATGTTAATAAATGTATCAAACCAAAAACCGCAACTTGAAATCTTAAATATCGGGGCATGTCCCATTAAAAGGTTTGCAAATGATATAGCTAAAGGTCTCAATTTACTCCGAAACGTGCCACAGACAGACAGGGTTAAAATAATAAGATTTTCAATATTTTAAATATTCTTTTCAAACTTTCAAATAAAAACTAGCAAACCCCTTACCAGTATTATTTTAAAACTTTAATCATTAAAGCCTATAAACTTTTGTTGTGTACTTGAAAACTTTTTAATACCTACTTTATATTCTAATTATGTATTTAGTATCACAAATATTAAAGATTTAAAGGGACTGCAGCATTGGGACTATTATTAGAAACATGGCTGTAGAAATAAGAAGGGAAGCGGGTGTTTAATTACTTTTTTCACCGACGAGCACGTTTTGAGGTTACAAAACCAAGCAACTACCTGGTAAGTTGGCCAGGGTGTTGGCTTACACCCCAGCATAGGGGGGCCCAAGTAGAGATTTTCTCAACCTTGAATTTTTAATTGGGCTAACGTCCGTCGACTGAGTGAACGAGCCAGTGAGTGACTAACTGACAGAAAGAAAAGCATGGAAAGGAAACTCGGAACGTGTGAGCATCTCGCATTACAAACACACTTGGCTAAAACCCACACTTATGGATGGCCAAGACCGACGGAACCCAGAGAATCTCTTTTATTTTCTTTTTCACTTTTTCTTCTCGATTCGATTGGTTTTCTGTGTTTTGTTTTCCATGGGATGCCAAAATAACAAAACGGCTACAAATTGATTTGTCTTATAAATCAAAAGCCGAAACGCAATCATTTTCATCCATTGGATGCTCATCGGATGCTGGAGGAGGGAAAAGTTTTGCTTTCTGCAGCTGGTTTTAGTTTTTCAGCACGTTCGCATTCGGGCCAACAATAATTAGCCATGGTTTTCAATGTAATAAAGCAAAAGTGAACAGATTATTGAACTCGCATCGCAATCGTTTCTGCCACGTGCTCCGGCAGCCTCAAAAGTAAAATTAAACAAAAACCTGGCGAGAACAACTGGCGGGATTTGTGGGCGGATTTAGTGGGTTTGGCCAATACGACTGCACCTGTCCTTAAGGGGGCCCGATACTTTGGGGCATTACACGTGCAAATCCGAATATGAATCTCAACACTCGACATTGTAATTAATGAATTTCTCCCCCCCCTTTTTTTGTTGCTGGCTTGCACAAATTGCTTTTCGGATTACGTAGTTCCAATGATTCAGCAAACGGCTTATATAAGTTGGCCATAATGGGAAATGTATTAGAACTTTTGTTGATAATTGCCAGAAGAGAAACGCCTGGATGGGCTGGAGTGAATTCCTCCGATGAAATGTTTCAAATTCGAGCAATGTTGTTTGAAATTCAAACAATTTCCCATGGCAAACAAAAACCTACCCAAAATATCTAAGTCATTTTTATGAACTCATAATCCCAGTACAAATGAACTCGAACTTAAAACACAGGATACCCAGAAATCAAACTTACTTTGGTGTACAAAAATAAATAAATAATTAGACCATTATAAATAAACAGATCATAAAACATTTATGGCATTTGGCTTCTCGAAAATATTCCCAAGATGCAGACAGTTCTCCAACACTTGCCTTCGATGATTCGTGAATTTCTAAATTTGGATAAGCGTGAAATAAATATTGAAAATATGCCAGACGATATAAATCAAGCAGATATAACTACAGCCAATGATGGATGATTTAATTGTTGAAAGTCCAATCCGGATGGCGGAAAATTCTGCGCTCAAGTAAAAATTGCAGACACCGGCACATTGCATGGAAGTGCGAGAGAGCGTGAAGGAAAAAACACCAAGATCGAAATACAAAAACAATGAAAAATATTTCGATTTTGGCCAAATCGGAATATTCTGGCCGGCAACAAAACGACGGCCTGCATGCCATGCAAAACCACCAGCACCCACGGTTGCCAAGAGGAATTCGGTTATGGCTTGCAGGGGATAGTTTTTTAAATATTTACATATTTTACTAGTGGAAAATTTTATCGAATCGAACTGTTTATCACAATTTCGAATTGGAAATGCAGTGGATTGGGAATTTATAAACAAATTGTTTAAGATGATTTTCAAAAAAGGTATTTTGAACTATTTCGAATGTGGAAAAAATCTTTTTTGATGGAAAAAGCTTTTTTTAAACATAGACTATGTCAAAATCTGTTAAAAAATATTCCAAATATATTAGAGTTTACCATGACTTGGAACTATAGCCTCTCTCTTTGCCCAACAAATTTATTTAAATACTTTTCCATCCTAAAGGAGGCATCTCTCCGCACTTAACAAAACACTTCGGCTCTTCGTGAAGCGATCTTTTAGCACCTCATACACGAACCACTTCCAGTGCACAAGCACTTGAAAAAGTGCAAAGGAAAGTGCTTTTACCAATGTTTTTGGACCAACACTACCAAAGTGGTAACAGGTAACAGCCCGCCGGCTGGTTTCGACGTCTTCAAAACTGCTCCTAAATGTCTGGCCAAAGTGAAATTGTGACAGCTGCGGAGCAGACAAAACTGAGACGGCGTGATTGCAGGTTGCACAGTACAAAATATTGGATAAGAAGAGGACTAAAAATTTCAGATACATTTTGCTTATTTATACATAAAGGTCTCTGAACAAGAAGACTAATCTTCAGCTTCTAGTTAAAATTATAACTAAAAATTCCTTTTGAGAACGTTTTGTATTGCTTTTCTTTTAATTATTATTATAATATTTTCTTTGAGTGTAGGTCAAAACTATAGACTGCTACGCAGACAGTTGAGCCAGCCAACTCGATTGCCAGTCTTCCACAATTAAAGTCTGGCCGAGATGTGGCCAAACCTGTTACTGCCGCCTTGTGTGGCAGACGGCGGTGCATAAAAGTTGCAGCAGATGCAACTGCAAAAAGTGCGTGCAAACAAAACAAACTAAAAAAAAAAGAGGCGAAAAATATTTTACATAATACATGAAACTTTCTATTTAACTGTCCGGGGAAAATGCCATCTCATGGATGCAATCTGTCCGTCAGTCAGATGCATCTGATGGATGCCTTTCATTTGCGTAGGCAAATAAAATTTACAACTCTTGGCGAATCGGATTTTCATATATCCATGTAGATTTCCATTGCAGTTCATAAAAATATTCGAAAATGGTGTAAAGTTTTCGGAACATTGCACTGCGCCCCCATCCCAGCAATATAAACTTGGCATCATTTGCAATTTCTCGGCAGATGCCCGGTCCGGTCTCCGGACCAAGTTAAATAAAGTTAATTGCGCTTTATGCAGTCCGCTGCGGCAAAGTTTGTTTAAAGATCCATAAATAAAGGAACACCAACAGAGAGAGACACGAATCCCATCCCATGGAGGTCAGTTTAAAAATAATTCTTTGCCAATTTCAAAATAGGCATTAAAATCAGTTATTTAAGCTGTTTTAAAGAATAATAAACAATCGGGTTTGTAGGTCACTTCATATATGCTGACTTACTGAACTCGATTAAGTGCGCAGCTGGGGAACTTATTGTTGATATTGTATCTAGTATTCTTGAGTTACGAACGTGCCATCTTTTTATTAAAACCTTAGACTTTACAATCATTGCGGTAGGCCTTAAGTTTGTAAATATTTATAGGCTTATTTGTTAGCATTCTCAGACAGCGCTGGATTTTAATATTGTTCTGGGAAGTAACTAAGTTTATTGACGGCTATCTTTCTGGGGAAACACTGCTGTCATTACGTAGCTGTGGATTTTGCAATTAGAATATGATTTTTCCATGAATTTATACATTTGCTAAAAGTTGTTTTTTTCGCACTTGAAGTGTGAAAGTGAAATTTTTTTCCCTATGAAGCTAAGAGAGTCAGCTGTCTTTCTTTAGTTATATTTAAACTAAAACTAAAAACTGTACCACTGATTTCCACATTCACTCACTGAACCACTAATAACATCTTGTCGCATCGCATTTTTCCATCATCCAACATCCCCTTCATAACTTAAGCGATTTATGACACTTACAAGGCAGATGTTTACCATTTACCAGAGAAAATCGAACAGCTCACCTGTCCCGTGTCTGTCGATGTTGTGTTTTCACATTTGACAAGTTTTTTCATTGCAATTTACAGAAACCCCACAATCTGTGGGAGAAACGGGGCGACTCGAACATAAATCTGATGATGAAATATGAAAAATCATTCCGCGTTTATTTTCGGTTCGATTTGTCTTTGTTTTTGCAAAAGATGCAAAAATTGCATTTTTAGGTCACCTTTATTAATAAAACAAAGTCGGGGGAGGAGAGGGAAAAAAGTGCGATTTTTTTTATTTGCTCTTTTAATGATTTTGGGAAAACGCCGGGCGACATGCTCGCAAAATGGGGGATTTGGATCCGGGTACGTACCGCCCCAAAACACCAGGCAATTTTCTCTTTGGTTGCCTGGCAGAATGCCAAATAATAATTTCTATAATATTTGCTTATACGATGGCTCGATTTTTTTGAAATAAAATTTAGATTCTGAGCTCTATGGCCATCGAAAGTTTACAGAAATCGGGCGAGGCGAATTCAAATTTTCCATGCGATCGTAAATTTCCCGTTGACTGATTTTGTCTTTTCAAGCAACCCAAAAATTATTATCACATATACAGCTTTAAAAAGAGATATAGACTGTTATATTATAGATGTGTCTAGAATCTAGATTGTTAGGAACGAGCTGCCAGGCACTTAGCACACAACAAAGAAAAAGCGAATATCTTTTAAATAAAAAAAAAAGAAAGGGTGATGCTGTGATGTGGTGATGGTGTGATGGGATGATGGGAGGTCGGAAGGAGGCAACATCCATTTGAACTATGAATTATACTTTGCAGACGCAACGACGACACACAACTTGCTGTTCTACAAGGGGAACAACTGGGACATGTGTTCGGTATCCGACAGATACAGCTACACACGGACATGGCCGCTTCAAAATTTGATTGGCTTTTATTATTTAAAAATCAATTTATGCTAAAAGCACCAAGCCAAAAAAAAAAATACACTAGACACAAGACGAAACCAAAAAGGAATCCCCGCCACGTTTCTCAATTGGAAAAGCGTCAGCCATTGGCTTTTTGGCCAATGTTTTGGCCAATTTTATGTCCCGCCTGAATTGTATTTCCGAGAATCGTGCGTAAATATTTATCTAGAGAGAAATCCATCAATCAATGGACCGCAGCCCGTCTGTGAGATTCGCGATCCAAGAAGTGTCTAAGAAGACGGAAGCCCCCACTGGGAGATATTTGTCAAATTGATATATTATTTTGCCCATGGTGACTTCTATTTCTGTGCGAGGGCCTGGGGGGGTCTGAGAAGGTCAGCACCTCAATTGTCAGAGATTTCCGCATGCCTCATGCCCCAGAAAAGTGGGCCACTAAAGAACAAAATGTATAACTTTTTCGTCACAAAATAGATGGGGTTATTGATCCTTTCAGACTAAATAGAACGATTTCACTACAAAGCTCGTACGGTTTTCGAAATATTTAATGAGCCAATTGATCGCCAGGGAAAACATTCTCATTCCCAAAAGTAATGGCTATCGGTCCATTATGGCTAATGGGCATTATTTTTAGGATTTTTCTGACGATTCTCCAGCAAATGTGCTAATTCGTTAAGGATTTAAAAGCTGTGGAATCGTTTCCGATTATAGTTTAGGGGCATTATAATAAGCCCAAAGGTCTTTAACCTTTACAGGATTATTTTTATCTTGAACCTGAAATCTGGCTTGATAGATTGAATTCAAAGCTAATCCTTTCTCTAGTTACTTACAAATAACTTCAAGACCCCTGATGGATTTCCTACATCCATATAAACTTTCTTCCCGGACAAGCCATGAACTTTCACTCAAAATCCAACTGTTACAATCCAGTTTTCGAGACAAAACTTTTTTCCAGATTCCATGGCGGTGTTAATTGCAACAATTGATTTGACGAGCTAATGGTATTTTCTGGCTACAAATCCGGTAGCATTCTGGTGGTACATGCAGCCAGAACATGCACAAACAAAAACATGTTATTGGTTTGTTTCCCCGCCGAAAGGCAAAACAAAACATTCGGTTTGTTTTTATTCGAAAATTAAAAACATTTCTGGGGAACTGGCGTTCTTTTGGGGAAATTCCCCAGATTTATTTCCTTTTGTTTTTGCTAATTCCATCACCTGTTTGCTAATCAATGACCACCCAGATGCACTATTAATATTTAAGATAAAGCTTCGAGGAGGAACATGTTTCGGTTGCGGTCCAGGGCGGTTTGGTGCGGTTTTCCTTCATATTCCACAGAGCCGTCGTATTGTTTTCAACAGCCACTGGTTTTCTGCAATTATAGTGATGATGTTCGCTTTGGCTATTAGCCACCGCATCTCCTGGCCATGGCTATTATTGTTATTAACAAAACGGAAAGGTAGAGGGGGGATGGAGGGTGTATTATCCACCCAACGAACGCCCTAATAGTCTGGCGTGACTCACTCGCATTCATCCAACGTCCAATTTCCATTCTTAAAACCATTCCCGGCCACATCCAGCGTGTGTGCCTGGCATGATATCCGCTCCAGTTTATTTACTTTTTACGGATTTCATCCGAAAACCGTGTAAAGCACTGTGGAATACCTATGATCAGTCCCAGTACCTGGCCATTGTTTGAAATCAATGGGATATTACTCATACGCCGCGTGGTTAAGCATACGCGGCTGTTGAAAGCAAACAAGGAAAGGAACTCGTCGGTATTACTCACACTATCGGAGGGCTGATGATTGAGAGAGGACTTTGTATTGGAAATCCGCAAAATCCAGGTACAACCCCCATTACGTGTGGGCAGGTAAGAAATCAAGAACTCCCACAACTGTTTTGAGAATGATATGGATGCGATTAATTCGCCATTTTCCGATCTTGATCGCCAAATGAACTCATTAAACCATTTAATGATCGCAATTAGTCGATCTGATACTTTTGGCAACTGAAAGGATCGATGCATAAATGTTTTCATGTGATTTTTTTGCCAAAAAAAAGAGAGCACACGTGCCTGAGGAGAACATGTTGTGGTAATAAATCCGGAAAATGGTTCAGTCTTGCCGCAATCCAAGTAAATATTTATGCCACAAGACTTAATGAGTATTGTATACTAAATTTAGTTCCATACTAACGCCGTTCTGCGCTTCGCTCACACCAAAGACGTCAAAACGGGAAAACAAATCAAAATATTATGGGCATTAATTGTTTGACCGTCTCGGGGCGAGTACGTAAGACCCATTGATGATCCTAAGCAGAGTCCAAAAATACATATTCCATATACTATAGCCAGTAGTCTGTATACGCGTATTACGTATATACATATGTATCTTGTATAGATAGTATTGCCAAACCGAAAATCCACGCAATCCAGATCGCTCCAGAGCAATGAAAACAATTGCCCTACCCGCTGGCTCGGGCTCATAATAATCATAATATGCTCGCCGGCGATGCCCCATTCAATTTGCGTAATCAATAAGAATTTATTTACATATATAAGACCAATAAAGAGCAATAGAATCCCGAAGCTAAGGCCTCGGCTCTTGAGGAGAAACACTCGCTGGTGCTTAAAAAACGAGGTAATAAATATTTGAAATTAAATCGTGGAGCGAAATCAAAGAATAGCAAACAACTGAGCGGAAAATGTGAAAGACTTTGGAATTTGAATAATTTTTTTCGGTTTCTTTGCAGATGAATCCGAATTGATTGAACAGGTGAGAAAACTCTTTTAATTAAATGAAATAATCAAAGTAAAAAGGCAGGGGAATTTCCTGTTTTATTTCTTTTTTAATAAAATTTGGAGAATATGGTTTTGAAAAAAAATATAGAAAATCTTAAGAAAATTGGTAGAGACTGAATAAGTTAAAAGTTTAAACTTTAAAGTAAAGGTTCTTAAAGTTAAAGCCCTTCCAGTGATTCTATTGTATGATCTCATCTAACCTTGCCTTTGGATATGACCTAGAATACATTTTGGTATCTTTACTCTAAACAGTTTTCCTCGGAAAAATCAACAAACAAAAGAAAATCGATCGGAGCCGCGACAAGTTGAAGGTAAAAGGCGAACAAGAAAAAGAAACGCTGGACCTTAGACCTCGTAACATCAATCATACGCCCCGTATGCCCCGAGTAAACAAACTTGAGACAACTCACCCACTGTCTTGATTATTTGATAGTCGTCCAAGTGGTATTTGCGGACTCCCTTGGCCGTCTGCACGCTGCTGCTCTCCTCGGAGTCGTCCTCGTCCTCCTCGTCGTCGGTCTCATTGCCGTCGTCCTCCTCGATGCTCTCGCTGGAATCGTGGGTTACGTCATCCGCATCCCGGCCATTTCCATCCTCGTCCTCGTCGTCGTCCTCCTCCTCCTCCTCGTCGACGTCATTGTCATGGTCGGCCGAGCTGGTGGTGGTGGTGGCACTGCTGCTGCTTCGACTATTCGTCCGGGGCTGGACAGGAACCGACTCCTGGTCCGGTTCCTCTTCGCTGTAATCAGACTCCAGAGGATCGGATGACTCGCTGGAGGCCACGTTGCTGCTACTGCGTCCGTGCACGGACGAGGATCCGGGTCCGGTGGCTCTTCCCAATTTGAATGTGAATGTGGCTTCTGTGTTGCTGTCATTTGTGGTGTTTGATGGAATTTTCTTCTTGTACGATGACGTCATGTTGGCGCCGCTACCACTTCCGGTTCCGGTTGTCAATTTTGATGAGGATCCCGTGCCGGATGTCAAAGGCGTGCAAAAGCGGGCACAAGTGGCCGTGGACATCTCTATCGAAATGATCCGGTCCTCCTGCTGCTCCTCCTCCGCCGCACCGATTTCTATCCTTGACTTGTGACTGCCTGTGCCTGTCACTGTTTTTCCTGCTCTTCCTGTTTTCCTGCCTGACGATTGTCCTGCAATCAAATGGAATACAATTGGTTATATTTGGATAACAAAGGCATTTATATCAAGCATGATTGATAAAAGGATGATGGGGAATTGCTATTTTTTTTTAACTAAAAATATTTGTAATTATATAATAGAATGAAACCGTATTAATATCAGATATTATTTTAATATCAATGACCTTTTCTATTTAATTCCACAACCATACATCTCTGCCTTGAGGAATATTTAAACGCCTAATCCCACAATCCAATTTATGGACCAGACCATGGTCTGTTAATTAAGCAAGCAAGGATAGTGGAGAGTATTGGCTTTGTGTTTAGGCCTGGCCTAAATGGAAAGTGAAATGAAATGGCCGCCGCCAGTTGAAAAGCAAACAAAAGCACCAATACTACGCGAGCAACAAGTGTTCGATGCCTGATGTTCAATGTCCTCTATGCTGTGTCCAGTGTCCTGTGCCGTATGTCCTAGAACTTATCATCCCATAGGCAGACAGACTGGCAGACAAAGACTCTTTGTAAATTGCCAGGCTGGGAAAATTGAGTTCTCCATCGCTTTCCAAAGGGTTTTTCTGCTGCAGTCCGCAGTCCGGTTAATATCACATACTAATATTATTAATAACAAAGACTGCAGTCTTGATTCAATTTGATGGCTGCTGGTGGTGGCCTCTTTAGACTCCTCCGCCTGCCCAACCAGCTTTCGCGACAAAAGGAAAGCCCCCAGATGTCCCCAGACGAGCGACACACAAAGGCATTTTCTTGCTGGTCCATCTTATTGCACAAATGCATTTAATTCAAAAAATAATAAAGATGATATAGAGAGATGTGTGGGGCGCAGCCTGAAAATGGATCTCCTCCCAATATGCAGAAGTACAAAAATCAATAAGCCATCCGCCGCCTCACAATCTATGTGTCCGAGTGGCTTTTATTGTTTAAGCATTTGCTGGGAAAATCTAGGCCAGTCAGGCCATAGAAGAGCATTTCAATTGATTCGAAGATTCGAACAAAAAGCGCCCCGAAATGAGAATTGGAGGGAAGAGACTGACTTGCGTCATTAACTTAAGCTTCGGGTCTATTTTCCTCGTTCTTTTCGAGGCCACCGGAGATGACAATGGATTAGTCAGGCTTGCTGATACTAAAAGCTGAACAAATTTGAAAGATTTGGGGTTTTAAAAATGCAAAAGTGAAATGAATAGCGAGGTTCGAGGCAAGAATGCTCAAAAGAAGCAAAAGAAGAAATCTTCTTTTATTTAAAAAAAAAGGATAACTAAGCTTCTCATCCATTATATATACTTCCTGGATTGTTTATTTTATATATTTATTCCCTTGAATAAAACCTTCTAAAACTATAGCATACTTTAATAAATTTCACTGAATAATCACGTAAAAAATATTTGACACGCCTCACGCTCTAAATGAAATCCGAGAACCCGATAAATATGGAGACCTACGTAAAACCCATTGAACTGCGACTCAAAAACCCACAAAACTTTTTTATATATTTCTTAACTATATTAAACCTTGTCATAATATAATGTTTGGATATACGAAAAATAACATTTAGAGATTTTTCTTGGAATATTTTTGCTTTTGTTTTGATATTTTTTGTTGTCTTTATTATTATTACACTCGCATTAATTTTATGAACGGCTGTCACTCTAGATTATTTACGTATGTGGTCAAGATTTTTGCACTTTTTCAGTAAGAAAATGGAAATATGAAAACGCCAACGCATTAAAAGTGCGGAAATATAACTTAAAGTTGTCAGAGGCAAAGTGCATGGATTGTTTTGAGGATAATTTCTCAAAAATTATTGTAGACAATCAGTCGGGCTGTAAATTAGCCAAGCGGCTGAAAGAAACACAAACACACGGTCTTACGGTCTCACGGTACGGTACGATTCTCGATCAGATGGTCTCCTATACTACCTATATGTACATATACTCAAAATCTGAATAATCTGAACAGTCTGAGTAGCGGCGGGGTCCCACTCACCTTGGTGGCTGCCAAAAATTGAAAATGGAAATGGAAATTGGGGTCGTCGTTGCCAGCCAGCTAAATGTTAAAATGTTGCTTAATCTTCCGGTGGCTAGTATACTTCTTATACCTCTCTTGTTTTCCCCTCTAGGTGTTTCCACTTTTTCGTGAATGGAAAACGCAATAAAAAGTATATACTATACACAACTTAAACAAGTACTAAAGACTTGAACAAAAACAGTGGAAGAATAGGTGCAAAGATCAGATGAATGAATATGAAATAATCTTAAAAAAAAAAGAGACTGAGTCCACACGTCCCAAAGGAAAACTTTTACCAAAAATAATTTATTTCTCAAAAGCTTCTAATTTATTTTATTGCCACCACTCTTAAAAATTATGAAACTTTTCCCATGGGTCTTGGCTCACCTCAGAGAGCACATTGATTTATTTTTGAAATTTTAGAAAATAAGTTAAGACATTGCTTAATTTTAAGACTGCTAACCACTTGACCTTTTTAATTTACGTGCAACGCTTGCAACATTTATTAATTTGTTGGTCTACCCAGCGGAATAAATTATGTTATTAATTAATTAAAAGCAACGTGAACCGATTTGTTCACAAAAAAATATATATATTTTAAGATTTATAGATAGCTTTATATAAAAAAAGAAAGAAAAGAGAGCGTCATCGGAGTGTTTTCGAAAGAGAATTTGTTGTAGGCGTTGGGCATTATTAATATTTTTTAATCACCAGGAAACATGCATCAGAAAGTGCAATTATGAATAAGTGCATTGCGTTCGAATTAATGAGGCGACTGTTGTTGTGCGAAAACGAGAATTCATTGGCCATTTTCGGTTGACAAAATTAAGATTCTTTCCCTCCAGGACGGCTATCCCTCTGACCGGGTAATAAACCCCAAATGGTAATAATCGTCAAAAATAATGCCGGCTAAATGTAATCATAAACATAAATACGTATAACAGCCAACGACACGCTTTTGTTGCTTGTGGCTTTTTTGGGAGGGTTTCCCCGAACTCGCAATAAGGGCCAGAAAAGATTTATGGTCATGGATTTGTTTTTATAGAGCAAGTGTATCCGTTGTCCTTGGGCTAGTTCTTAAACTGGCTTATTTGGTGATGGAAACACATACAAGTTGTATGCGTACGAAGAAGTTGGGGGAATAGATTTCCGATGTCCTTGACTGAGTTTTGGGAAAAGTTATTGGAGCAGAACATGAAGTACTAAGATTTGAATGGGGTAAGTTGGAGGGAAATTATAGCAAATTATAGATATTAAAAAAATTGAACCCGAAAGGTATAGTTTAATCTTTAAAGCATAGAATCATATACTGTATACTTCTATAGCTAAGAACCAACTAATCCCTTTCTATTATTAACCATATTTCCTTTTAAAGAACCTCATATATCACAATTTTTCAAAACATTGTATAAATAAACCCCATCCATTCCCCATTATTGAAATCATTGATCTATGAATAAATACAACAAAAAACCAATTCGAAGACTTCTTGTAGTTATGGTCAATGTATTTGAAAAGATATAGAAAATATGGCTAAATGTTTGAAAAAAATCAAGAATATGTATATTTTCATACGATACTTATTGATCTCTAAATGAATAACGAACAATGGATTTATGATTTAACTTATTTTCACACTTTTAAATTATTTTTAAAAAGTCTATGATTTATTTGGGTCTACCTTCAAAACGGGGTTATACTTTAAAAACTTTTCCACTCCATTTACCTATATAAGCCCCAAACTATAACGTGTAATTAACTAATTGCACTAATTAAATCGCCTAGCCTAATTATAGTACAGAAAGCTTAATCATTGGGCGCATTTCGGCTTTACTTTTGATTTCTATTTTGGAAAGCAATCATTTATGATTTGTTGCTGAATTTATATATATTTTTTTTTTACACTATCTGGGGGATTACTCACCAAACTAAATCTTAAGAGCCAAGTTGCCGGCCGCCACCGCTGTTTTGGTTTTTTGCTTTTACGATCGCGCCGCCGATCTATTTATTGTTGTTGTTCTGGTTGTGCGATTGTCTGGCTTGTGAGTTCTGAGTTTTTGACTTTTTGCTGGAGCAGAATTCGAATGGTTGCGAAATTGTTAAAAATAAATATGTTACTTTTAAGAGCGCACGATTTTCCTCCGATTTTCCGATTCTTTCCCCTGGCCTGGCCAGCAAAAAAGAAATATTGAAACGGAAAAAAAGCGAAAACCTCTGAAGCCGACACACAAAAACAGAAATAAACTCAACACTCAGCGTTTCTCGGGGGCTAAAAAAATATATAGTGGATAGGTATACGTCTGGCAGGGGGGTACGAGATCTCGACTGGACATACACCGACACCGAACACTTTTTTCTTTGTTTTTTGCTTTAATTGTGTCACTTTTTATGGGCGTTTTTTTTTTTATTTCTCCCTTTAAGCCGTTTTTTTGCAATTGTCGCCAAAGTACCGCTTTAATTTCAGCAACAACTGAAAGGTTTTTTGTTTGTTTGTTTTGTTTATTAATGCTTGGATCGTGAGATCCCCGAGAGATCTAGAATTTCCGGTTTTGCAGCTTGCAGTTTTTCTTTGGCTTTTCGTTAGACGCCGTTTTAGCCAAGTTTAAGACAATACAATAGCGAATATGCAAATGACTGCAACTGAACGTAATTAATCAAAAAACTATCGTTCGGGGCAATCTGAATGTTCCTCCTTCTCTCAGACCAATGCCGATTTTTCCAATTTTTGGTTGAAAATTATTTTCTAGCCTTGTTGTGTTGACCAGCCGGTTCCACGTTTTGCGCGAAACTGAAACGTAAAATCTGCGAATCTCTTGCCACAGCTCTCGACGTCGCCTCGTCTTCGTCTTTAACGTCGTTGTTGTTCGTGTGTTTGGGATGTTGTTTCTTGATGTATTTGTTATTGTTGTTCTTGTTGTTGGGGCAAATACACAGTGGGCGTTGTGGAGATACATCAGGTGGAAGGCGGTGTGGTGGGGCAGTGCCCCAACGATGATGATGATGATACGACGTGGAGATGCTGCCCATCAGACCTCAAATGTGTTTGTGTTTGTCTTTACTCTCCATGTGTGCCGGCCAAGTTGTTCGTGGAGTGGCCCAAGTTGGTTCTTCCATCAGGGTTTCCTTAACGGCTTGGCAACCGCAGGATCTTGGCAGGATGCTGTAATCACTGCAGTGATAAGACGACAGGCAAAAAAAAATAGTGTACCTAGCTAATTTACGACACAAATAATCCATCATTTAGACTGAAAAGTTTAAGAACAGGGAAGAAAATCTTAAATATGAAATCTTAAATATATTTCACTTTTTAGATCTTAAGATCCTAAAATTCGAAGCTTAAGCTATCTAGATTGAATACCATTTTTCCAAAACAATTACCCAGAACAATTTAAATTTGTATTACTCTTTTTTCAAAAGAATAAGATAGTGATATATCCAGTAAAGAAATTTAATTCAAATTCTAGGATTCCGTGCCATTCATTTTCTGAGAACGTATTTATTCTTAAGGAATGTTATTTACTTTCTTCCAACAAGAGACAAACAACCCATTGGATTTTTATAGGGGGATTTTCTTTTACGGCTCTGTTTGTTTTCTGTAGACATCGTGGCTACAACGCTATCTGAATCTGAACATCCATATAGCTTTAAAATATATATCAAAAGAACGGACATATTATAAGATAAAGAAATACACACAATTTTAATATTGTATGTCGTTATCATATGGTGACACTTGTTCATACAGGAAATGGTATTTTAAAGCTTATTATTATATTATATTTAAAATTTGTTATTTTATAAATATTCAAAAATATTTTTATAAAATATTTATATTATAAAAATAAACATTTAATCCAATATGCTAAATGTATTTCATTCCCTACTATATCTTACTCTTCCCTACTACTATATCCTTATGTGATAGAATTTTCTCGTTGTGTATTGTTTGTTTTTAGTAGACAGGAGGGCAGCGGCACTGAAAATTTTTAGGAATATATTTTGTATATTTACGAGCCCTCTGCCAGTGTAAGCAAACAAACAAAACAACGCCTCTTTAACGGTTTTCGGGTGTTGCGTTTACGTGTTTGTGTATGCTGATTTTGTTGGCCGTTGTAATAAAGGCCGACAAGGTCAGGTTGTTAGTTGGTTTGCTGGTTTTCTGGCTTGCTGGCTGGCTTGATGGCTTGATGGCTGGGTGGCGACGCCTGCGTGCCAGAGTCACATTTCAGGTGGCGCATACAATTGTTTTGTGCATTTCAATTTGATGTTATAATTAAGCGAAAGCAGGCACGAGATGTCAGGGTGCCCAGCTTTTATATATTACATATATATTTTTCTTTTTTTCTTTCCCTGTTGCGTGCGTTTGTGACTGCGGCTGCTGCAGTTCTGTTGTCAAGGGCAAGGACTCGACGTACTCACCTTTTTGAGAATGCACACGTCCTCGTAGACCAGGTTTTCCCCGTAGACCCACAGCCGGCTCGTCATATTCACGCCTCTTGCCTGACAAGACAAATGTCACTAAGATTTTTCTACAGAAATTCCTACAAAATGTACTCAGCTGCAGACAGGAACTGAAGAAACCAAGGCTTAGGTTTAAAAACTCAAATTTCCGCCAAAAATCCATTTTAAATAAACATAAGTTTTCAAATTCAGAATTTTTTGAATTTTCCCGCCCGGTATATCGATTGCTGATGTCTATACAATTAGGGTGACCCTTCCATCTTACAGATTTTAATTTTGAATTTGCACAGATTTATACAAATATTTAAAGGATTGCTCTCACATCTCAAATAGAGTTGCAAACTAAACCTAAAAACAAATTCCTTTTTAATCATGGCCTAAATAAAAACGGTTAGCAATACGTCCACACCTAAAAAAACAATAGTCTCAAACCCTATTAAATATATTGTCATTTGTGTCCAACCACTCCTCTGAAAAGGACGTGGTTCTCTGATAACTATTTTTTATTTTTCATTTCTTTTTTTATTTTACTCAAAAGAAGACCTGAAATCTTCATATTTTAACTTTTTTTGTGTCCTCTTTTTTTTTGTTTTGATATTTGTGGTCTTTTTTTGCACCGACGACAAACCTCTATTGTTTCATTCCGATGCTTTTTAATTTCAATGTATAAATAAAAAATTTTTTTTTATACCAAAAGCTGGTGGTTTTCTGGACATTTTCTTCCAGTCTGTGGCGTGACTTTAATCACGTTTGCAGTTATTTGCAAACTTTAATATATTTTTTGTTTCATTTTCTTATTTAATCAATTTTATTTTCTTTAGACAAATTATCATTGCGATGCTTTTTAATTTCAATATGAATTAATAACCTTTTTTGCCAAAATCCGTGGTCTTTCTTTGGCTTGGAAGTCATTTTAATTTCAATATGAATTAATAACCTTTTTTGCCAAAATCTGTGGTCTTTCTTGGGTTTGGATGTCATGATATTTTCCAGTGATGCTACCTTTTTTATATTTTTTTTTCTTTTTTTTTTTTTTATATTAAAAATATTTGTCTTTTCAACATGATTGGGTGTTGCTTTTTTATTATTTGTGTTGCTTGGGTTTTTTGTTCTTGACATCAGACCTTTCTTTCTATTTATATAGAAAAATAAATTCTAAAAATATTTATTTTATTTTTTTTTGTATTTAGTTATATGTTTGTTAATATCTGTGGTCCTTTTTTGCACCGAAGACAAATCTTCATTATCGCGGTACTCTTCAACTTCAATATGTAAATAATTAATTTATATTCTTTACCAAAATCTGTGGTCTTTTTCCAGTGATGCTTAATACTTTGGAACTATTTTTTTTAAATTTCAATGGTTTAAAACTTTTATCATTTTAAACGAATAAAATATATAGAAATATTTTATTTTAAATTGTTAAAAATATATTTTAATTATTAAAAAAAACATTTTATTTAAAATTCATTTTAAAAACCTTCAAAAAAGCATTTCTAATAAACCGCGCTTATTTATCTGAAAGATGAACAGGGAATTTCTCAGATACTTTAAAGATTTGATATTCGGCGCTACCTGGCCCTACTTAACAGCTGTTTGAAAAAGAAAAAACAAACTACAAATAGCTTGCAGTTCCTCCTGAATCTTCGCAGCAATATCTTTTACCATTTGGGCTCGGATTATAAATAAATATGCAGTTCTCCTGGATGAAGGTGGCAATTTACCTGCTTACGTTCCTCACATACGCCTACTCTGGTTACGGATCCAGCACAATAGTCCATGTAAGTGATGCGTTTAAGTATCTGTAAGATATAGTATCTAAATTCCTGCCCCGCAACCCTTTTGCAGCTAAGGGATGCCATTATAGCGGCAGAAGCGATATTTGGTGACGTGTTCAAGAACATGATCACCGTGGTGCGCAAATTTCGAACAGTGCATGAGGTGTTCGATGCCGCCGTGGAGGAGACTTGCGTGTACCAATGCCCGGAGCCGGAGGGCGGTGGACCAGGTGAGTGTACAGCGTCTGTGACGCAAAACGCATTATGTAAAAATTGAAATTTTATGCTTCCCTCGTCAGCCCCGCGAGCTGTACAGAACAAGTTCTACACTCCGAAATCTGATGGCTGCGGCTCTCTGGGACTGCGTATAAGTACGGAGTACCTGCCGGCGAAAGAGATGGAGACATGCTGCAATGAACACGACATCTGCTACGATACCTGCAATAGCGATAAGGAGCTCTGTGACCTGGACTTCAAGCGGTGTCTCTACAAGTACTGTGATAGCTACGAGAAGTCTATAGCCAGCGATTTGATGATGAAGGGCTGCAAAGCCGCCGCCAAGATGCTCTTCACTGGCACTCTGACTCTCGGCTGCCGATCCTACCTGGACTCACAGCAGCGATCCTGCTACTGTGCCCCCCGCAAGACGTCCAATGGTAACCGCCAGTCGAACAGCCGGGAGAAGCAGCAACGACAGAAGTACGGTTGGAAGGCTCGGAATGAGATATAGTATAGAATCTCCTTTTGCCAGGAAACAAAGTCCAAGGGTTGTGGGAACAAGGATGCGTTAAATGTTGCCGTTGAAGGCATGTTCAATGTTAGTTTTTAGTTTTTGCCTGTGAAACGAATTTCAAACCTTATTAAATACCAAATATCTTTAAAACCGTAGAAATATTTAAAAAAAAAAACATATATTTTGTATCTATTTGTTGAAATAGAGCTTATTGTATTAAGTATCTCGCATAATGGGGCTTGTACTTATTAAGATAGTCCAGAACAAAACCACATCTTATGTCCAAAAAATAAGCGTTACTCATCGCAAAGTCCAGAGCTGCCTTAGCCAGATTTTTTCCAAGTCCAAGGCCTCCAAGCTCTTTTGGAACTCTGGTGTGGAATATCGTCATAACTCCATTTTTAATTCTGTATGACAGTTCAGCCTCTTTACCGTGGACGTCGATATAAAACCGGGTATCGTCGTGAACAACAATAATAATTTCCATGGGCATAAATCTCTTTTGGTTCACAAATACAGGCCTGCCAAGCAACTGTGGGAGAGGTCCTTCGCGGGTTTCGAAAGGTTTTTGAATTTGGGAGCAAACATTATAGTAGGTACATCTTCCGGTAAGCAGAGGCGAACAATTTCGAAGCAAGGACCTGTACCTGGTCACAAATTTTGAAAACATTGCCAAATATTGTTAAATGTTGAATGTGTAATACAAAATTTTGATATTTATAGAGCTGAGTAAAAACTCTATGCTCACATCGATACTGTCCATATCGATAGAGCCTATAGTTTTACAATTTAATATGTTCATAGATTTTCAAATATTATTAAATATTATGCTTTTATTAATGTTAAGCGGGTTGATAAAGCATAAGAAAGTTTAAAAGAACTTCTGCTAAATAAATAAAATTAAAAGACAAATGAAGTTTCTCTGTAATCTATATAATTTTACTATATTTAGCTTATATAAGGTTGTCAAATATCTCCCTTCCGCTTTTTTGCTCTTTATTCAATGCTTTATAAAAAGTGTTACAGTGATCCGATTTAGTTGAAATATGCGCCGTTTTGTTCGATAATCCGTTTCCATCTAGACGGCAACTTCATAATACCTCCCTCGTAGAAGCCCCCCTCCTTATTTGCGAAGAACTCGGACAGCCACTTTTCACAAGCCTCTTTTGAGTTCAACTTTACACCACCAAGGGCGTTCGTCATGGACAGGAACAGGTGGTAATCACTTGGCGCTATGTCCGGGCTATATGGTGGATGCGATAAAACCTCCCATCCGAGCTCCCGTAGCTTCTGACGAGTCATCAACGAAGTGTGTGGTCTGGCGTTGTCCTGGTGGAACACTACACCCTTCCTGTTGGCCAATTCTGGACGCTTCTGGTCGATCGCCTGCTTCAAGCGGTCCAATTGTTCGCAGTAGATGGTAGAATTAAGCGTCTGGCCATATGGGAGCAGCTCATAGTGGATGATTCCCTTCCAATCCCACCAAACACACAGCAAAACCTTCCTGGCCGTCAATCCCGGCTTGGCCACTGTTTGGGACGATTCACCGGCCTTCGACCACGACCGTTTTCGTTTGATATTGTCGTATGTGATCCATTTTTCGTCGCCAATCACCATCCGCTTCAAGAATGGGTCGAGTTCGTTCCGTTTCCGCAGCATATCGCAGGCGTTGATTCGGTCCACAAGGTTTTTTTGCGTCAAATCATGCGGCACCCAAACATCAAGCTTTTTTTGTATCCAGCCTTCTGCAGATGGTTTAAAATGGTTTGGTGACTAACTCCCATCTCCTGGGCGATGTCACGAGAAGCCACATGCCGGTCTAACTCGATGTATTCCATGATTTGATCGGTATTTGTCGTCACAGGTCTTCCGCCGGCTGGCTTATCCATGGTGTCGTTTTCACCGGCTCTGAATCGTCGAAACCATTCCTCCGCGGTTCGAAGTGATAGAGTACCATCCCCCAAAACCCCATTAATCTCACGGAACGTTTCTCTAGCGGATTTGCCTTTAACGAAGGAAAACTTTAAAATAGCGCGAATTTCGGCGTTAGTGAACTCCATGTTTACACGTCTATAACTGGTGAACGCAATATCCAAACTAATCATGCATAGCGTCGTTTTGTAGGTTATGTCAAGACCTTTTAAATTATGTATAGTGTTGCCAGATACGAGCTCTGTAGCGCTTTGTACATAGCCGCGAAATTCAAAAGACAAAAAGGCGGAAGGGAGATATTTGACAACCTTATATTTACATTTAAGTTATTAAGTTATTAAATCTCGTAAAACCAATTTTCTTAAAATACATTTTGAATACTTACGAAATTTAAGCATAAGTTTAGTTAAACATTCAGTTTAACTCAAAAAACTCTCCGTTTTTTGAATTTGAAAAAATATACCAAAAAAAATACCAACAGTCAACAGTCAAAACACTGTCAACACTGCTGCACTCGCACACGCTATACAACACTAAAACGAAACAAGCGCAGCAAAAAGATTTTGCAATCCGCCGAAGAAATACATATATACATAGATAGATCCGAACTTTGCGCTGATGGACTGATCACGAAGCATATAATATGGGCTACGACGTCAATCGCTTTCAGGGGGAGGTGGACGAGGAGCTCACCTGCCCCATCTGCTCCGGAGTTCTAGAGGACCCACTGCAGGTTTGTTGTTTATTTGATTTACCCCAAGATGCACAGATATACATATCCCATATACATTTTCGATTCCAGGCGGTGATGTGCGAGCACGCCTTCTGTCGCGGCTGCATCAACGAATGGCTCACTCGCCAGCCCACGTGTCCCGTGGATCGAAACGCCCTCACCACTGCGAATTTGAGAGCAGTACCTCGCATATTGCGCAACCTACTCTCCAGGTAAGCGACCCCCACTCTATTGCCTCCCACCACCTACACGGTTTTAACCCTTTAGATTGTCAATTACCTGTGACAACGCCCCCTATGGCTGCACGTCTGTTCTGAAACTGGATGCCTACAGCTCACACCTGGAGGAGTGCATTCACAACCCCAAACGGCCGTTTCCCTGCGAAAAAGGTTGCGGTTTTGACATTCCGAAGGACGAACTGAAAGATCACAACTGTGTACGGGAGCTGCGTACGCTGATCGTGAAGCAGACGGAGAAGATGGGCGATCTTAAGGCGGAGATTACTGACCAACAGCTGACCATCAACGAACTTAAGAGGGAGCTGCAGCTGTTTAAAGACTTCATGCGTGCCATGCGCGTCTCCAATCCTGCCATGCGTGCAATAGCCGATCAGATGGAGCGCGACGAGGTGATTCGATGGAGCAGCACCCTGCCAAGGGCCAGGGTAACTCGGTGGGGAGGAATGATCTCTACGCCTGACGATGCATTGCAGGTAATCAAGCATTGTACTCAACTATTGGTCTTCCAAGGCATAATCTTTAACGCCTCTTACAGCTCATGATTAAGCGTGCTCTGTCCGAGTCGGGTTGTCCGCCACACATCCTGGACAGTCTCATGGAATTCTGTCACGAGCGTCGTTGGCCCAGAGGTCTTAGTTCGCTGGAGACGCGGCAAACTAACCGTAGAATCTACGACAACTACGTGTGTCGACGCATTCCAGGTTGGTAGTGATATTAATCATAATATTAATAGATTATTAATATATATGACTTTGCAGGCAAGCAGGCTGTGCTCGTTCTGAGCTGTGACAACCTCCACATGACTGAGGACGTCATGATCGATCCAGGCCTGGTCATGATCTTCGCCCATGGCATCGAGTAGGCACAACCGAGTGGGCCACTTATCCTAGGCTAACTGCTAACTATATCGAACAGTGCTCAGTTTTGTTGTTTCCTTAACAATAAGTGTAGGCATAAAATCGCAACATTAGACTATAAATAGGCTCGCAAAACGAAGCACTCAAAGAACCATTCAAGCGCCTCATCACGACTTTCAAGTTGTACAAAAATTGTGTATTCGATTCAGATCATTGTTTAATTTTTACCATTTAGTTCGTAATCTAATTTGCATATTCCATTAAAACCGCATATAAAACATTAACTGTTTGATTAAGCGATCTCAACCAAACCAAGTCCCCTTGTTATTGTTCCCTTCGATTTCATTTTGATGAAAGGAAGCTGTGAGTGTCTTAATTTGTGTTTCAATTCCTATTGCACATTTTACTTAAAAAATTCAATAATTGTCAATACTTTTAGATTAAATATGAAAGCAGAAATAAAAGGTTTATTTAAAGTATGTACTATATAGTTAATATACAAGTGTTCTATTGGAGATCTATCATCTATATTTTTTTAACCCACTGATCCAATCGGGTCTGTCTTATCAGCTAAATAGGCACTACAATCGCCAGCATTGAGAAATCTCAGACAGAAGTTCATTGGGATGCCCCCCAGTCGCTGCCACCAGACACACATACACACGAAGGGAGTCTCCGCCTCCGCTCTGGTTGCCCGTAAAAGTTCTGGCCAACATCTGTTTCCCGAAAAGGAAGTCCAAGAGAAACAAAAACCGAAGCACCAAGAAATATAAAATAAACAAAAGAAACTCAAACTAGTTCCTCCATGAGCTTTACTTTTAAACCGGTTTCGGCTTTTGTACACCCGTTTTGTTTTTTTTTTTTCCTGCATAATACAATATTACATGTGCCAAAAATCGTTTGATTATACAAGCCAGTTTTTATTATTATTAATATTTTGTTCGTATTTGCCGAAACATTTGAATATTGATAGAAGCAATTAGCGGCGCCGGACCAGCGCAGGGGAGGCCCCCCGTGGTGATTGAAAAGTGAGAGTTGATCGCCAAACGGCGGAGATAGACCGAACAGTTGTTCGCCAAGCAGCCTAGCCAGCGGACGTGTTCCTCCCGGAGAATCAAATCTAATCGAAGAACCCAACATGAATCGCTCGCTTCTGGTGCTGGTCCTGGCCCTCGTCTGCCTGGGAGCCGCCTCGGCATTTCCCCAACTGAGGCAGCGCAACGAGAAGCAGGTCCAGACGGCGGAGGATGAGTTGCGTAAGTCATGGCGGAAGATGACTCGAAAAAAAATATAAATAGATTTTAAATCTTTTTTTTTAAGCATCAGAGAATATTTATTTTAATTCAACGACGTGCGAATATTATTTTAAATTACAGCCTCGAAGGGAGCCACCATTGAGGAAGTGGTCGTGGAATCCGCTTTGTACATAAAGCCAAAGGCCAACCCACAGGTAAGGCGAGTGCGTTCTGCAGAGGATCAGGGACTGGGCATCTACAGCACTCACAAGCGAGTGAAGCGCCAGTTTGGCAATCCTGGGTTTGGTGGAGAATATGCTGGAAATCCTGGATTCGGAGGCGGATTTGGAAATCCCGGTTTTGGTGGTGGATTCGGTGGTAATCAAGGATTCGGAGGTGGTTTCGGTGGTAATCAGGGATTCGGAGGCAGCCACCGTGGCAACCAAGGTGGTAACGTCGAGGCTGGCACTTCAGCAGGAGCCGGAGGCATTAAGGCAGGCGTCGATGTGGGTGCCGGACCCGATGGCGGTAATGCCAATGCTAATGTCCAGCTGGGCCCGCTAGGACCCCTCGGACCCAATGGCTATAACCAAGAGCAGGCCGCCTCAAACGGGGCTGCTAACAGCAACTACAACAACGGCCCGAACTCCGGATCATCGGCAGCCATCGGCCAGGCCCAGGGCTTCCAGTCGCAGAGCGCCAACGGTTCCTTCGGAGCCTCCTCGGCTAGCACAGCTACTCAGTCGCAGAACTTTGGACCCAATGGCCCCAGCAACGCTGCCGGAGCCTCCCTCAGCCAGGTCTACCACCTGCCCAACGGCCAGACCATCAACTTTAGCTCCGGAAACAGTTTCGCCAACGGAGGTGCCAACAGGGGCAGCAGCCACGGGTCGGCGGTTTCGGTGAGCCGCTAGAGCCTCCTATCCACATGGAGAATATGAATACCTCCATAATCAGTCGCAATATATATAAATATGCTAATAAATATTTATGATCAGAATGGAATATCTATATCTGTTTTAAAATTTTAGGTAATATATTTTGAAAAATTTGTCCTCGCAAAAGTTCCTACTTTACATAATCGATAGACCAAGATGGGATGGGATGGGTAATCATTTCGAAATTATTGCTAAACATAATCCAATTGAAGGGTCTTAACTTTTAATCCGACTCGCTCTCGCTTTCCGACTGGAAGTCGCCCACCTCGATGGAGAACTTGTACTCCTGATCGCAGCCCAAGTAGGAGTCGCTCATGTAGTACAAGGTGTAGTCGTGCTTGCCCGGACTGGGCGCCACAAAGTCGAGCTTGACCTTGGCCTTCTGCTGGAGCGTGAGGCGCTTGATGGAGAGCAGGGAGTTGGACTTTGGATCGCCGATAACCACCCACCAGCCTTCTTCGCGTTTCTGGGGGAAGAAGGGTGCAATGACTGGCCCGGTCACTTCATCCTCGCGTTCCAGTTGAACCACCACGTTAACTGTCGATCCCGAGTTGATGCGATCCTTGTCCACCACCTCATAGTTGAGCTCGATGTTGGGGTAGCGATTGCAGAAGCGAGCAACATCTGCCATTTGGGTATCGGAAAGCTGGAGCAGACGCGAACGATCCTCATCCTCCAACTCCATGATGTCGAAGACGGTTTCGATTTTCTACAAAAAACAGAGGATGAGTTAGGGATCTTGAAGGGGAGTTAGTTTCCTTACCTTTTCTGTGCAGCGCTTGACGATCTCAGCACTAAAGTGCGGCAACTGTCGCAAGTAGGAGTCCTTGCTCCACATCGCCTGGGTAACCATCTGAGCCAGCTCCATTGCAGCCACCGCAGGGGAGAGCCAGCCATTCGAGCTCAGCACATCTACACAGGCTTGGATGAGTCGGATGGCCTTGCTCAGTATCTGCTCCGTGTCCCCCTGAAGTTCAGGTCCCAACTGCAGCCGGGAAAGATGAGCCTGCAGCAGCAAGTTGGTCTTGATATGCGGGTCATTGAATCTGCAAGGAGATTAGTTAGAATATATCGGAAATCCTTAAACAGGGGGGCTTACTTGGGCGCCGTTTCATTGGGTCCTGTGAGCTTGTTGGGCAGTCGCTGGGAGAGAGTGCGCAGGACTTGTTCCTCATGATGTCTCACCACCACATCCTCATACTCGGCGGCCGAAGAGATGATCTCCAGCAGGCCTCGCACCTTGGTCTTGCTGTTCAGCGACAAGCTGAAGAGTTCTGGAAAGAATAGTTGGGATTAGTATTGGGTTGGGACTGTAAAGGGTGCTCCTTCTCACCAATCGTTGTATAGTTGATGTAATAGTAGGCCGCAATCATGCCCAGATTGAGGGGCAGTGTGTCCATGTCGTCCTCAACACTGATACACTTCGATTGTTCCAGGTCGCTAAGGGTATTCTCCACCAGCTCTGACAGGTGGTCCGAGAGGTGGCGATGCGTCACACCCTGCAGGTTGTAGTAGTTGGGATTCTGCGTCAGCCTTCGGTAGAGGAACGTCCAGGTGAGGTAGTCCACGGCATCCTGCTTGTTTTCAATGGTCTTGGTCACGACCTCCGCGTTGAAATGATCGTGCATGCGGTGATCCAAGTGGCTCTCGATGGGCAGCGGCTCGTTGATGAACTTCTTGAAGAAGTCCTTCTTGCTGCTCTGGCACATCAACACGCACTTGGCATCCGCATCCTCGTTGGGTCGATTCGCCCGGCCGATCATCTGCAGCACATCCGTGATGGGATAGTCCTCGTAGGAATGGTTCTTGCCATTGTAGAACTGGGTGTCCATGATGATCACCAAATGGGCGGAGATGCTCATGCCCCAGCAGAGGTCCCTTGATACAACGGCAACTTGCACCGCTCCCGAATCGAAGAGCTGCTCCACCAAGCGGTGATCGGAGGCGGACAGTCCCTCATGGAGATAGGCCACTCCTTGGGCTAGGGTTTCCTTCAAAGTTTTGTCCGTCATTCGCTCAAGGAAGGGCTTGATGTCCTCCTCCTCCGCATGGAAAAATCGATTCGGCTGCAAGTCCGAGGCAGCGTAGGTCAGGATGTCGATGGCTGTGAGCCTCGCCTGCTTCCTGGACGAGACAAACACGATGACAGGCTTGTGCGAGCTGTACTTCAGAATGGCATTGTAGACCGGCTTGGACATCGTGGCGATCCTGGTGGCGTTGTGCGTTACATTGAATCCCTGAATGTGCAGCTCCAACGGGATGGGTCGAACACTCGGGTGGAAGTTGAAGGTGGCGTTGGGATTGCATCCCAGCCACTGGGCCACATCCCTGGCGTCCGTCAGGGAAGCCGACAGCGCCACTATCCGGATCTGTTTTTCGATCTGTGAGCTGATGTACCGCATTCGGGAGCAAACGATCTCCAAAACCGGACCTTCCTCGCCTCCCACCAGCTGCAGTTCGTCCACGATGAAGAGGTTCACGAGCTGCACGTTCTTCCTCTGCTTCCATCTGCGCGAGAGTACATCCCACTTGTCCGCTGTGGTGATCACCAGCTGGCCCTTGGCTATCAGCTTCAGATCCGTGCCAGTTTCCCCCGTTAGCTTCACCACTTTGATGTCCAAGGAGCCGAACTTTCCGTGCCAGTCGGCGAATACCAGGTCCGCCAGAGCCTCCTGGGAAACCAAGTAGACGCACCTCGCATCCGACTGCGTGGTGAAGAGACGCATGATGGCAAACTCAGCAATGGTCATCTTTCCGGAACCGGTGGGGGCTCCCACGAACACGTTCTCGTCACTGTTGTACACGGCATTGAAGACCTGCGTCTGGATGGGATTGAACTGCGGGAACCGCTGCGAATAGAACGACTCGAACTTGGGCTGCCGGAGAGCACTGATGGGCAGCGGCTGCAGATCCAGAAGCTCAGTCGGCGGCATGTTCTTCTCGGGTAAGATGAGATGGCGGAAGGACACGGGCAGCTGGGTCTCTGCTCCGATCCAGCGGTCAGACACAATGCGGAGGAAGTACTGCGGCGGCAGGGGCTCGAAAACGGGCACGAAAAACTTAAGTTGGTGCTCATCCTGGGAATACTTCTGTTTCAGCAGGAAGAACTCGTGGTGCAGAATGAGTTCCGAGTCCACGTCTTCGATCAGCACCCAAAAGCCCTCAGACTGTCCGTGGACCTTCTCGTCCCACTGGAAATCCGGAGTGATGGTGAGCTCCACTCTGAGAGTGCCCCTGGTAATCGGCTGGATGTGGGTGGAGAGCTCCAGTTTGGGGAACTGATGCACGAACTTGTGAATGGTTTTGCCCAACTTGGGAACCCTTATGAGCTCACCCAGTTCGTGGGGCTCCAAGTCGTACAGCCTCGCCCACGGGAAGTGCTTCTTCTCCAGCTTCTTGGCTATTTCGTCGGGCATCTTCTTGAACTGCCTGAGTGGGGTCATCGACTGCCACATCCTCCGATCGATCATCTTGCAGAGCGTCAGCGTCTTGTCCGCCAACTGGGCCCATCCCCTGGTCAGAACGATTTCGAAGATGGCCCGCATCAATCGGGCCGCAGATTGGGTGATGAACACCATGTCAGACATCAATGCGAATCCCTCCAGCTTCAGCTGGGATATGTAGGCCTGGAGCAGAACGTTCACCTTGGCGCTGTGCTCCTCAATGGACTCCTTAATGGGAATGGGCACTCGCTCCATCAGCTTCTGCAGCTCCAGCTTTTCCTCCTCCCTCACCGAGATGTGCCGGAATTCGGAGGACAGTGAAAACACGCGAAACAGCTCGATCTCGCTGAGCGTTTGCTTCAGGAGCTGGTTGTAGGTCAACATGGTTTCGTGGGTGAGGTAGTAGTGGGAGGCAATGCGTCCCAAATCGGTGACCTGGAAGTGGCCCGTCTTGCGTTCGTACTTAATGAGGCCGCTCCTCTCGAGGCAGCAGGCAGCGGTGTGCAGAAGATCCGCCCGGTGTTGTTCCAGCAAGGGATCCGCTTTGATAGCATCATGGGACACTCCATACAGAGTCGGATTTCTCAGCATTCGGATATACAAATAGGTGTATCCCAGCCAGTTGACCGCATCCTGGAGATGTTGCACCGTTCCAAGGACAATCTCAGCGTTCAGCATGTCTGGGAGCTTGGATATGAACTGAGACTCGATGGGCAGCTGCTGGTTGAGCAGGGACAGGTAGAACTGAAGCTCGCTGTGGTTGGTTATGAGGATGCCCTCACCCTTGGTGTCGTACTGGGGTCGACCGGCACGTCCCAACATCTGCAGCACATCCAAGGCACTCAGCTCCACCCAGCGCCCCTTCTCCGGGTTATAGACCTGGGTTCCCTTGATGATTACCGTATGCGCGGGCAGATTCACACCCCAGGCCAAAGTGGCCGTAGACACCAGCACCTGGATGTGCCGATCCGCGAAGAGATCCTCCACCAGGGTACGGTCCACACGAGTCATGCCAGCGTGATGGATAGCGAAGCCATATGGGAGAAGTTCCTTCAGCTCAGTGTTCTTGACCTGCTCTGCTTCAGTGCGCAGCACCTCCATGCTGGCAGATCCTTCTCGGAGGAAGCTTCCGAGTGTGTCCTGTTCCAAGCACATGTCCCTCACCGCCCTGGCGGTCTTGCCAGTCTCCTTGCGGGAGTGCACAAACACCAGGACTTGGTTTCGGCCAGCATGCTCCATGGTCTTCTCGTACACGATCTCGTTCATGACCTGGAAACGCTTCAGAGCCTTCTTCTCCGTCACGCCGATGTACTGCTGCTCCAGGGACACCGGACGGTAGCTGTTGTCGAAGTAGAAAAGCCCTTTGTCAGGCTTGACTCTCAGAAAGGTGGCCACATCTTGGTAATTCGGCAGCGTAGCCGATAGCCCCACCAGTCGCACCTCCTCCTGCGTGGTCTCTATGTTCCTAATAGTACGGGCCACCAGTGCTTCCAGAACCGGACCACGTTCGTCGTGCAGCAAATGGATCTCGTCAATGATGACCAGTCGCACCAGACTCACAAAGGTGCGCTCGCCTCCCTTCCGAGTGATGATATCCCACTTTTCCGGCGTGCACACAATCACCTGGGTAGCGGCAATCTGCTCCCTGGTCAGCTGATGATCGCCTGTGAGCTCGGAAACGGTAAGATTGTAGCAGGAAAGGCGCCTACCGAAGTTACCCACCATTTCCTGCACCAAGGACTTCATGGGAGCCACGTAAATGATCTTAAAGTCCTGGGCATTGATGGTGCCATCCTCGTTTATGTGCTTGCCGATCTCCCGCATCATGGTGAGAAGGGCTACGTTAGTTTTACCCGCTCCCGTGGGTGCACACAGCAGCATGTTTTCGTCACTGTCTAGGGCGGCTTTGTACAGGCGACTCTGGATGCGATTAAGAGTTTTGAAGCCTTCAAATACGGGTTGGACATACTTGGGGAGTTTATCCACGGGCTGGAGCTCTTCGTCGGCATCGAAGGGCACAGCCTTCAAAGCCGGCACATGCACCTCCTCATAGCCCTTTCGCTGCTTCCTGTAGGAGCCATCGGGAAGCTGACAGCGCTTGTTGGCCATGAAGTGTGATCCTTGGGTGAAGGCCAGCTCATCCAATTCCAGAAGCTGTCTTACGCCGGCCACCTGACCGGCTGCAGCAGCTCCACCATCTTCGGCATCGCCCTTACCACGTTTGCTTCCCCTGGTTTCGCCCTCCTCCTGTTCCTCGGCTTTTCCTGTGTCTAGCTGCCTGAGAATCTTGGCCAGCGCTGAGTTGCCACGCATCTTCTCACGGATTCTCTGCCGCTCACTGTCCGTCTGAGCCGACGCCAACATGGTGCAGTAGAGAATCATCTGCCGGTTAAGCTTCAGCTGCTTGATGAAGTCAAAGCAGTCGTATCCAAGCAGGAGCACCAACTGGTTCTCACAATCGCGCTCATCAGCGGCATCTTTCAGGATCTTGAGAACATCGGCTGCCTTACTCTGCGATACCATGGCATCCTTGTAGAACTTGCTCAGGCAACGCTGCAACCAGTAGGCGTCTATGTCCAAAGGATGGAGGGTGCGATCCTTCTTCACGTTGTTGGCAGCCTCTTCGTTGGCCAGCTGTGGATGGCAAGACGTATAACTAGAGAGATACTTATATTTATTCGAAATACTTACATTTTCGGCGTGCAGTGTGTGATCAATGCGAGCCTCTTCGCCCTCATCCTGGGCGTCGTCATCGCGAATCTCGCCGTACATATCGTTGTCGCTCTCCTCCTCAGACTCCTCAAACTGCACATTAATGCCATATGTCTCGTCGATTTGCTCCTCGTTGTTTGGAGCTGCAGTTAGAGCATTGACTGCCTCACTGCCAAAATCTGTAATCTTCTTGCCGAGATTGACCAGCAATGCGAATCTCTCATCGGTCACTGATCCCAGCAGACTGTCCACGTCCTTCTTGCGCTCTCGATCCTTTAAGCGATCATTTTTTAGCACGGCCAGGATCTCGTCAGCGGCTCCGCACAGGATATCCCTGGGTTGATCCCCGAGGGCCTCCTGGATGAAGCTCAACAAGACCTCGTAGGTCTGTCGGGTTTCCTGGGTCTTGGGGCGGTAGACTATGCCCACCATCTCATCAATGCCCTCCGAGAGCAGCGTGGCACCCTTCATGCGCTCGAAGTCGTATTGAGCCTCGTCTCGCTTCTGCCGCTTCACCTTGCGCTCCTCGGTCTTCTCCGGCTTGGTGCGCTGGTACCGATCGCCCATCCGGGTGCCGTCCAGTTTTCCCACCAGGGAGCACACCTCACCAGTAGCCTCATCTCGACGCGGTCGTTCGATGAGTCGGACATCGGCTTGCAGCACAAGATTGGAGTTCTAAAAGAAAAAATCACATTAGACACATTGGTGAAATTGCCAGACGCCGCATGGAATGGCCAATGCTTTTGGTTTCTCACTTACCGCCTTGTACTCGTACTGCAGCTGACGTGCTGCGGCATCCGCCATGTCGATTAATGTGTTTTCAAGTTTTTTAAATGCTTAAATTAACTTAAAATTAACTAATTCTTAAGTTTTTCCAACAAATAGACCCTGAAGAAGCCGCTGTTTGGCCACAATACACAGAGTTGCATTTTTTGCATTCACGCGGATGCGAATAATGAGACCGTATTAGTCCTCTTATATATTTTTTTAAATTTAATCTAATCAAAAATAATCTATTAAATCTAATCTTGTCGACGGTCAAAAACATTGTTATCGATAGTTAAGTCAGTATTATTAGGAAATGTAGTATTTTAAGTTGTCGGAATTACGGGCCTACTAATAGCGGTAGTGTGAATGCCGCCAAAAAGTGCCATTCATTGTTTTGTTGATTGTAGGAGGGCACACTGCGGTAAGAAGAAGGATTAATATTTGAATTGTAGAATAATTTATGAATTTACAGAATAAAACGTTCCGTTAGCCACAGCCAAGGCCTTTGAAGTACCCCTTTCTTCGGACCTACGCGTGTGGGGAGCCGTTTAAGGCAACTCCACATGACACAAAACAACAGCTTTTATTCGCAGTCCTAGGGAGACTGCAAGGGCAACTTGCGCTGGAGGACGGCTCGACGACCAGCTAGAGAGTTGCCAGGAGCGCACGGAGCGCAGTTCCCGTACCAGCAGAGGAGTCGCAGCCAGCGACATAGACGGCGCAGCCAGCGCCAAACCACTGAGTACGGACGGAGTCGCAGCCAGCGACACGGAGACGCAGCCAGCGTCAGTTCTGGGGACGCAGCCGGCGTCAGTTTAGGAGACGCAGCCAGCGTCAGGATAGGAAGCGCAAGGAGCGCCAAGCACCAGCGGGCAGGAGGCGCAAGGAGCGCCAAGCATCAGCGGCAGCAGCCAGACGGCACAGGTCCGCCATCTTTGGAGCGCTAGGGCAGCGCCATTTTGGAGCGCTAGGGCAGCGCCATATTTGAACACTTGGAGATGCAGCACTCCCCCCAGGAGGAGTTCCCGGCTGAACGGAGGGGAAGCCACCCCTACAACGCGAGCGGATCAGCAGCCAGCGAGTAGTGCAGCAGAAAATCGGCCGCGGGTGAACATAACCACGGCGGCGGCCATTTCTCGCCCAGCCACTACAGCGACTACAGTAGCGTCCCAACCAAGGAGCACTGTAACAGCAGCTGCGAGTTCAGAGCCGGAGGTGAGCCAGCCACTCACGGCGTACCTATTGGAGAGGATTACGGCGTTGGAGAACGAGCTGAAGAAGGTCAAAGCCATGGACGCAGCAAGCACCGCCAATTGCGCGCCAATCGCAGTTGGCCCAAGCGCAATTGGCGCCAACGGTGGAGCGTCGGAGCGGCCGCCATCGTGGAGCGGACCGCCATTAACCGCCACATCGAACGGTGAGGCACCAACTAACGGGGTCGGGCCGGACCCATATAGCAGTTTCGGTGCGACCAGTGGGACCTACACGCTGCCGCCTTCTTGGAGTGGACCACCGTTGCTAACGAGTAGCAACCCACTGTGTGCTACAAGTGCTGCGCAAACAGCGCATGGATTCGCGCTACCGGGCGGGAGCATCCACAACGTAGCAACTGCATCACCATTTGTTGGATCCTACGCCTGGATGACGCCGAATGGAACCCAAGCTATTGGACCAAGGAGGCTCCCGGACTTGCCTATATTTGGAGGGCAGCCCGAGGATTGGCCCATTTTTAATTGTGCGTTTGTGGAGACGACCCAAGCGTACAACTGCACAGACCTGGAAAACAACCAGAGGCTGTTGAAGGCGCTGAAGGATGAGGCGCGCGAGACTGTGAAGTCGCTGCTAATTCACCCCGCGAATGTCAGAGCCGTGATGGAGCAGCTGCGCTTTAGGTTTGGCCGACCGGAGCAGCTAATACGCAGCCAGCTGAACAGCGTGCGAGAGGTGCAGCCGATTTCGGAGCAGCAACTGGAGAGGATCGTCCCCTTCGCAACCAGAGTGAGTAACCTCACGGCCTTCTTGCAGTCGGCGAAGGCGGAGCAACATCTGGGAAACCCCACACTCATGGAGGAGCTTGTGGCAAAGCTTCCCACCAGCAAACGAGTGGATTGGGCCAGGCACGCTGCATCGATCCAACCCTTTCCCACTGTAGCGCACTTCAGCGCGTGGCTACAGGAGTACGCAAACATCGTGTGTACGATTTTGGACGTCGATGGAAAGGAGCCGAGGCGTCGAGTTCTACACGCGAGCGTCGACCAGAACGGATACGAGCAGCGGGATGACCGGCATGGAGGTTGTCCAATTTGTGGAGGTCAACATGCTACGACGAGCTGCAGCGAATTTATTGGAGCTTCGCCACCGGGCAGATGGAGCATGGTGAAGAGGCATCGGCTCTGCTTCACATGCTTACGGAGTGGGCATGCGGCCAGATCCTGCGATGTGCATGGCGAGTGCCAGATCAACGGATGCCGCAGATTGCATCACCGTCTGCTACATGAAGAGGACGAAGGGCGAAGACGGCCGGAGCAGCGAGGTGGTTTCAGGCGCCACAACGGAGGGAACCAGATGTCACCAGTTTCCAGACGCAGCCCGGACAGGAGGTCTTCGCCACGAGGTGGTTACAGGGACCACGAGAGGACCCAGGAGTCGGCTGTCCGCAGAAACAGCCTGGAAAGAAGGGCCCCGCAGCCAGCGGAGGCGCCCATGCAGAGAAACTTAAGTATTGACGTCGAAGGAGGCAGACTTTTGTTCCGTATACTGCCAGTAACGCTGTACGGAGCTGGTCGCCAGGTGGACACATACGCGCTATTAGATGAAGGATCCTCCGTCACGATGATCGACGACGAGCTACGGAGGGATCTGGGAGTGCAAGGCGAACGTCGACAACTGAACATCCAATGGTTTGGAGGAAGAGCCAGCAGGGAGCCTACCAACGTGGTGAGTCTGGAGATCAGTGGAGCTGGGAAGCCCACTCGTCACCCGTTGAGGAACGTGTACGCCGTTTCGAGCCTGAGTCTGCCGATGCAGACGTTATGTCGACGAGATGTCCAGGGCGTTCATAAGGATTCGCGACTGCCGATGAAGCCCTACAGCAACGTGGTGCCGAAGTTGCTCATCGGACTGGACCATGGACATTTGGGATTGCCACTTAGGACGAGACGGTTTGCCAGAGAGGGACCGTTCGCGGCCGCAACCGAGCTTGGATGGGTTGTGTTTGGGCCAGTAAGTGGACAATCAACTACGCCGTCACCGAGGTCCTGCCTTCTAGCCGTGTCAGTGGAGGACACGATGGAAAAGATGGTGGAGGACTACGTCGAGATGGAAGGCTTTGGTGTGAAGCTCGCGCAACCGGTCGCAGCCAGCGACGACGCGCGGGCCCAAAGGATCCTCGACGACACCACGGTGAAAGTGGGGCGTCGCGACCAGACGGGTTTGCTCTGGAAGGATGACCACGCTGTGCTGCCACGGAGCTACGAGATGGCACACAGACGGCTGATCGACGTCGAGAAGTTGAAGCGCCACGGGCCGTTGGCGCTAGGATACGATCGGATCATCAAGGACGTGTCCAAAGGATATGCGAGGAAATTGCAGCCGGATGAGGTCGCGGTGAAGAGCGACAAGCTATGGAATTTGCCACAATTCGGTGTCGAAACCCCGAACAAGCCCGGTGAGGTCCGGCTTGTGTTTCATGCTGCAGCCAAGGTTGGAGATCGACGTTCCCAACGATTCCTTTGGAGAGGTGGTAACGACGATCGAGACCCGGATGTGTACGAGGTGAGCAAGAACTTCGTGGGAGCCGACAAGGAGGCCAGACGATTTGGAGACGCGTTCGAGACGGAGAGGATACAGAGGCGGAGTATGGGAGCAGATGGTGCATTGCGTCAAGCGAGTGCTGCGCCATACCCTGGAAGAAGTCGCGCCGAGGGACCATGTGGAGTCCCACCATGGAGTACCTGCCTACGCTTGTGCGCCGCGAGAAGTGGTGCCAGGGAACGGAGCCCATCCGCCAGGGCGATATGGTCTTCGTCTGCGATCCTGCCTTGCCCAGACGAGAGTGGCGCAAGGGCATCGTGGAGGAGGTCTACAGCGGAGCCGATGGAGATGGATGGAGCTAATGGACTATCTTGGACAATGTTGCGGCCCGTCTCTAAACTTGGAGTTTGGATTTGAGTGAAGCGGGTCTTCACGGGGTCGGGGATGTCGACGGTCAAAAACATTGTTATCGATAGTTAAGTCAGTATTATTAGGAAATGTAGTATTTTAAGTTGTCGGAATTACGGGCCTACTAATAGCGGTAGTGTGAATGCCGCCAAAAAGTGCCATTCATTGTTTTGTTGATTGTAGGAGGGCACACTGCGGTAAGAAGAAGGATTAATATTTGAATTGTAGAATAATTTATGAATTTACAGAATAAAACGTTCCGTTAGCCACAGCCAAGGCCTTTGAAGTACCCCTTTCTTCGGACCTACGCGTGTGGGGAGCCGTTTAAGGCAACTCCACATGACACAAAACAACAAATCTATTAAAAATTTATAAAAAAAATGCATATATTTATATAAGGTATAAAAATTGGTAAACATTTTTAATTAAATTTAAAAATTTGTAAACTGTGATTTTTACTAACGGTGTATATACTAAATAAAATGATTTGGTATATAGAACGATCTGAATATCTTTACCATCTGGCCACACTAGCCTAGGTTCTTGACCATGTTTACACATCGCATTGTTTTTTGTTTTCTGTTCAGATCGCCGGTGGGCCAACTACGCTTATATATGAGGCTGGAGCTGGTTTGACTGGAATCATTCGTGCCAGATCAGTGAGCCCGTCACATGCGCTTAGTTGCAGTGCATCCAGTGAAAGCGGAACATATCAGAAGTACTACACTTCCAACATACCACCGCATTCCAACATGTTGCCGAAACAAGAAGCCTGCAATCCCGGATTCTGCGACTGTCCGTTCCCGAACTCCATTGAGGTCACCAACCACAAGGGCCACATCCCAGACTTGGTCAAGTGCCGCTGCGGCGAAGATGTACCTGGGAATGTAAGCCCTTGGAGATGGCATGTCTCCGAGGAGTCGGATGCCTTGGTCACCGACAGGGACATCATTTTTCACCCCACCTACAGCCAGGGCACGGCAATTGTAAGAGGAGAGCATGCCCTAAAACCGGGCATGGTGCACTTCTGGGAGATGCGAGTCATCACCGCGCTGGCTGGCACAGATGTGGTAGGTTCGCAGGTCGGGTTATCACCCCTTCAGCGGCTTGACAACCGATGATTAAGATGAAAGTCAGTCAAAGTCGCTACACGAAAATAGAACAGCTTGTAGGGCATCTGGTGTGCTCGATTCCATTCGAAACGATTTAATTGTTGGCTCCATTGTACGGATTACAGATTACAATGAAGCGATAAGATATGAGAAGCAGACGCGTCCAGAGAAGGAAATCTCTCTAGACAGCTCAACTAGCTGATAAGCAGAAAAGTTCAATGTAAACATCGGTGTGTATTCTTACAATAATCGGCTTCCTTTTTCTTATCCCTAGATGTTCGGCATCGGCACCGGTAGCATCAATTTGGAGCAGTTCAAGTTCCACTTTGTCTCGGCTTTGGGTACCAATGCCCAGTCCTGGGGATTCTCTTACTCCGGCAGGGTCCAACATTGTGGAGAGCAGATTCCCTATGGTCAAAAATTCTCCCAGGGATGTTTAATTGGTGTCTACCTAGACCGCACCAATGGACATTTGGAGTTCTTCCTCAATCGGAGGCCACTCGGCGTGGCCTACACGAACGTTCCAACGGATCCAGATGTTGATATATACCCGATGGTCTGCTCCACGGCAGCCAAGTCTGTGATAAGGTTGATCAATTGCACCTCGCAGCCCGTTACGCTTCAACTCCGTGCCTTTCAAGCTTTGGCCAAGGATCCTGCAAAATTAACAGAGCTGCGCCAGATGCCAGGCCTGAAGGGTATCCTGCAAGCGTACTGGTTCATGGCGCCCCCCATTAGATACTCGAGAAGATCCCGCGAAAACGAATTCGACCTCGGTGACGAGGCCGTCCTGTCCAGCTCCAAGTTGCGGTTGAGTCGCAAGCAAAAATACAAAGGTAAGTAGCAGGATACTCGCCTTTAGCCGGATAACTCATTCAACTAAATCTCATTCATTTACAGAATCCGATGATGTGAACATTGACGAGGATTTGTACGCGAATGCCCACAAGATCTCGTTACGAAGAAGCGAAAGCGGGGATGAGGAGCATGCATCCGTTCAGGAGATGTGTGATGAGTACTTCCACTACCTATTATAGATCGATGTTGCCATATCATAGTTACATTAATGCATTTATTTATCTTATGTTAAACGAATGGAATGTTATTAGAGTAAGAACAAAAGTTAAAGATATTCATGTACCTCTGCACTTACCGTATATGCCAGATTTTTTGTTAAAATACAATGAAAAAAAGTGATGGACTGAGGTGTTTCGCTTAAGTGTCGGATGGCTATTAGCAAAGATATGCAATTTTTAAAATTTTTTTAGGATACTCCACAAAATTTAATCAAATTAATGAAGATTAATGAAGAATCGATGTACAAATCGTTTAAGGTATTGCTCTCAAGAATCGGATAAATATTGCCAAAGATATAGCCTTCGCTGTGGGCCATATAGTGCCTCCATGCATTTTCTTGATTTTTGAAGGGGTTCCTCCAGAAAATTTGACAAAAAATCTAAAAAATATTTTGTTGTTAGGTTTTGATGCAGATTGATGGAGAATCGATGTACAAATCGAATGAGGTATTCCTTTTAAGAATCAGATAAATATTGCCAAAGATATAGCCTTCGCTGTGGGCCATATAGTGCCTCCATGCATTTTTTTGATTTTTGAAGGGGGTCCTCTAGAAAATTTGACAAAAAATCTAAAAAATATTTTTTTGTTAGGTTTTGATGCAGATTGATGGAGAATCGATGTACAAATCGAATGAGGTATTCCTCTCAAGAATCGGATAAATATTCGCAAAGATATAGCCTTCGCAGTGGCCCATATAGTGGATCCATGCATTTTCTTGATTTTTGAAGGGGGTCCTCCAGAAAATTTGACAAAAAATCTAAAAAATATTTTGTTCGAAGGTTTTGATGCAGATTGATGGAGAATCGATGTACAAATCGAATGAGGTTCTCCTTTTAAGAATCGGATAAATATTGCCAAAGATATAGCCTTCGCTGTGGCCCATATAGTGCCTCCATGCATTTTCTTGATTTTTGAAGGGAATCCTCCAGAAAATTTGACAAAAAATCTAAAAAATATTTTTTTGTTAGGTTTTGATGCAGATTGATGGAGAATCGATGTACAAATCGAATGAGGTATTCCTTTTAAGAATCAGATAAATATTGCCAAAGATATAGCCTTCGCTGTGGGCCATTTAGTGCCTCCATGCATTTTCTTGATTTTTGAAGGGGATCCTCCAGATATTAGACTTAAATCCTTAAATACATATATTCCAAACAATTTTAAATCTACGTAATATATGCATTTATTTAAAAGCATGTAATTTTAAATACAATTTTATAATTTGTGTAAAGAACATTGGGGTGTATATTGGAAAAAGGAAACTTAAACGAAGCCCTACAACTAAGGTTAAAAGGTTAAAATGATTGCGTGCCTGGTAGGCAAGGTGGTCAGTGAATCGGCTGAATACAAGCGATTCAGCAAGCACCTTATCCGGAAGTGTATGAACCTAGGCCAAATAAAAATCAATCGACGTCCAATGATCCGCGCTTGAAGATCATGCCCAGCGGCAGCTAGTCCATGTCGTCGTCGTCGTCATCGGAGATGGTGTACTTCTTCTGGGAGCGCTTGCGGCGCGTTTGCTTCTTGGATGTGGTGGCTGCACCGCTGCCCACGTTCGACGACTGCGTGGGCGTGGCCGGGGCACTGGCCAGAGACTTGTTGAGCTTCAGCTTCATTTTCACGGCCGCCGCAGAGGTGGTGGCGATCTCCTCATCGTCGGAGCCATCGTCCCCGCCATCGTCATCCTCGTTTTCGGAATTGTCTGATCCCCCGCCACCGTTTCCTTGCGCCTCACCCGTATTCTCCCCTGCCGCCACTGCCATTGCATCTGCGGCAGCGGTTATCCTTTGCCTCGCGGCCACGAACACCTTCTGGAGGGCAATCGAGTCCAGATAGATAAGGGAAGCCTCCTCGTTGTAGATCTGAGCATTCTGGCAGAGCTGCATAAAGTCCTTCTCCAGCTCGTTGAGATCGGCGTACTTGCAGTCCTCGATGCGCTGCAGGATCTTCTTGATGTCCACCGGCCGCTTGATGATCTCGTAGTAGTCGGGCAGCCTCTGACGGGAGGGAAGCTTCATGAAGGGCTCGGACAGGGTGCGGCCGTCCTGAGTGTGCTTGATCACCGCGCTCATGATTTTGTTCATCTGTTTCTTGGAGCGCTTGTCCAGGTTCTGGCGCCGCCGCCTCTTCAGGATGAGCGAGTCGTCGTCGGACTCGTCCTTGCGGTTCTTTCGCTTGCGCCGCTTGCGCTTCGAGTCCTCCTCCTCCTCTTCCTCATCGAACTCGGCGCCGTCGTCGATGGCTTTCAGCCACTCCTTCTCGGTGAGGCTGTCGGTGTAGTCGACTTCCTTGCGCTGCCGAGAGCCGCGACCTAAAGAAATGGAAAGGGTTAAGTTTCATGGCCTAGAGACAATGGAATCTTGAAGACTCACCCAAAATAGTGTCTTCATCGTACTGGTAGTGGAAACGCTCTACTTCATCGTCGTCCTTGGTCAGCCAGTCGGGCAGCTCTGACTCATCGATCAACCGTTCCCTGCCCGGATGAATGTCCTCGTCCTCCTTCTTGCGTTCAGCGTCCATCCGCTTGAAGATTTCTATCTCCTCCTCGCTGCGGGCGATCATCATGTTGATCATCTCGTCGTCGGGCACCTCGTTCTCCTCTTCCTCCTCGTTGTCGTCCTGATGCAGGATCGTCTGCAGGAACTGTTGCCGCTCGCTGCCTGTCGACTTCTGATCGAACATACCGGCCTGGATGACCTTCTCGTCCATGTTCAGCTTGTATCTGGCGGCGGCCAGGATACGCTCCTCCACAGAGTTCACAGTCATCAGCCGGAGAACGCGCACCTCGTTGCGCTGGCCGATACGATGGGCTCGATCCTGAGCCTGCAGATCCTGGTGAGGATTCCAATCCGAGTCGAAGATCACCACGGTGTCGGCCGTCTGCAAGTTGAGACCCAGACCGCCGGCTCGGGTGGACAGCAGGAAAACAAAGATGTCAGAGTCCTTGGCGTTGAACTTGCGCAGCAGCTCGCCACGATCCTCGGCCTTGGTGGTACCGTCCAGTCGAAGGTAGCCGAACTGGCGCCATCCGAGATAGTCCTCGATGATCGTCATGCACTGGGTCATCTGACAGAAGAGCAGTACGCGATGGTTTGTGGCCTTCAGCTTGGGCAAAATGCGATCCAGCAGCTCGAACTTTCCAGACACACGATACAAGTCAGGTCCTATGGAGGAAACAAGGTTAATAACCAATCCCGTCCTGCCAGAAGAGGATACTCACCAGAAACCACTCCGTGACCACCGGTGTGGTCGCAGTACTTCTCCTCGATGTGCTGGAACATGAACGGATGATTGCAGAGCTTCCTCAGCTGGACGATGGTGTTCATCAGGGCCTTGGCGCCGCCCTTTCCGTGCTTGCCCTTCTCCGATCCGTCCGTAAGGAGGACGCCCTTGCTCTGCATGTGCTTGTAGAGGACGCGCTGCAGGGCGGACATGTCGCACTTGATGATGTACTCCACCTTGTCGGGCAGCTGGTGCTCCACCTCCTTCTTGAGACGTCGCAGCAGGAAGGGACGCAGCACTTTGTGCAGGCGACGGATAATCAGGATTGTCTCCTCCTCGTTGAGCTCCACCTTCTCGCCGGTGGTGGCGAAGGGGGCGTTGAACCACTGCTCGAATGTGGAGCAGGACTTGAAGATCGAGGGCAGCAGGAAGTTGAGGAGGGCCCACAGCTCGGGCAGTTTGTTTTGGAGCGGCGTTCCCGTGAGGAGCAACCGATAGGGCGCTATGTAGTGGGTGTTCAGCACCTGGGTCAGCTTGCAGTGGTGGTTCTTCATGCGGTGACCCTCGTCAATGATCATGTACTTCCACTGGATCTTGGCCAGCACCGCCTTGTCCTTGATCACGTACTCGTAGGTGGTCAGCAGCACGTTGAACTTGGTGGCTCGCATCTGGTTCTGAAGCAACCGCCGGCCCTGGGGGCTTCCCTTGTAGCTGACCACGCCCACGGCGGGCGCCCACTTCTCGAACTCGAGCACCCAATTGGGCAGAGTGGAGAGGGGCACGATGATCAAGTACGGGCCCATCACCTTCTTGCGGTCCATCAGGTAGGTGACCAGCGAGATGGTCTGGATGGTCTTGCCCAGACCCATCTCGTCGGCCAGAATGCCGTTCAGATTGTTGTTGTAGAGGGAGACCAGCCACTCCAGACCCTTCAGCTGGTACTCCTTGAGCTGTCCGTTCACCATGATGCTGGCCTGCTCCGTGACCTTTTCGTGGATGGTGTGGGCGATGCTGTAGTAGGTCTGCTCCTCGGTACGGTACTCGTCGTCCTCCACCTTGGCCTGGGTGATCAGAGTCTTGGTATCCTCTTCGCCGCCCGCCGGCGCCGCCTTGTCGGTAACGTCTTCCGCGGCCTGCGGCTGCTCCTCCACCTTGGGCTTGACATCCTCATTGCCGCTGGTCTCCTCCTCGTCGTCGATCCAGTCCCAGCCGGGGTGCATGTTCAGCCACCGATGAAGGTGCTTCAGCATGGGGGCGTCATCGCCGGTCAGCTTCTTTCCGGTGCACTGCTCCACAACGTGGACGCGCATGTCGGCCACAATGCTACCCTCGTCGATGCCGATGTACTCGCCGCTCATCAGCAGCTCCTTCTTGTAGAGCTGCAACCGCTTGCCCTCCTCCTCCTTCTTCTTCATCTGGTCGTCCTTGTGCTGCTTCACCATCTGGGTCAGGTTGCTGATGTACTCGTCCGTCTGCGACAGGAGGAAGGCCAAGCGCTTGTCCTTCTTCTGATCGATGAGCTTGCGGTAGCCCTCCTCGTCCTCGGCCATCAGGCGGCGCATACGCTCCTTCTCGATCCTCTCCTGCTCCTTCTTCTGCTCGCGCTCTGCGTTCGCATGGTAGTTCATCACCGCCTTGTTCATCCGCGCCAGCTGGGCCTAAGAGAAGAGCAAGGCGGCAGGATAAGCAAAGAACAGTTTACATGAATGGCGTCCACCTACCTTGTTGTTCCTGTGGAACTCCCTCAGATCCTTGCCATGCTGCAGCACCGCGGCCAGGAACTCCAGGTGCTTCTGCCGGCGCTTCCTCTCAGCCTCCAGCTTCTGCTGCTTCTCCAGTTTCTCAGTAGCTCTCGCCTCCCGCAGACCCTGCCGCTTGGTGCGCTTGTAGAACTTGATGTTCAGGGCCGTTTCCAGGGTCGTGTCTCGCCTCGTGCACTGGACGAACTCCATGCGTAGCTGCCGCTGGAAGTTCAGGACCCGCAGGGCTCTCAGCTCGATGGCTGCTTGGAGGCGCAGGTCCTCGGACATGGTGGCCGGCAGGCGCTGCAACTCCTGCATGCGCAGCGAGATCCTCGCCGCTATCCGGTTCTCCCTTTCCTGCAGCAGGGTGATGGGGTCCAAGCCCACTGGCTTGGCCACTGTGGTCACCCGATTGGGTTTCGGCATGGGCATGCCAGCGGGAGGTACTTGCCTCGCGGCTGGACCGCCGCCGGGCTGCGGAACTTGACCCACAGGTGGCATACCCGGCTGAGTCGGCCGCACTCCCTGCGTGGGTATCAGTGGCTGGCCCCCGGCAGGTCCCATGCTCAGCGGCTTGCCTCCGTTCGGCAGCTGGTGCTGCAGTTGCTCGGGTGGAGGTTGCTGCGGCTGCTGTGGTGGCTGCTGTTGCTGCGGCGGTTGCTGCTGCTGAATTGCGCTCGGAGGTTGCGGCGGCAGCGGCTGACCTTGCTGCATGTGCGGCGGCGGAGGAGCAGCCTGCATCTTCTGGCCCGGCACTGGCGGCCCATAGGGATTGCTAGCCGGCGGAGTAGGACACTGACTGGGCGTTCCTGCAGCCGGCGGCTGTTGTTGTTGCTGCTGTGGCTGCACTGGCGGTTGCCCTGGCGGCGGTCCTCCCGGTGTCCCCGGCGGCCCTATAGGTGGCCCTGGCGGCGGCTGCTGTTGGGCCGCCTGAAGCGCCTGCTGCATCTGCATGGAAATGGGCTTGTTCCTCGCCAGCAGCCGGTAGGCCGTGATCTGTGTGCGAAGCAGATTCACCTGGTTGTTGTTCAGATGCTGGTGCTTGGAGGTGGCCCGCATGGCAAGCAGCTGCGAGTAGCGGGGATCCTCCTGCAGGCCCTTCTCCTCCATCGAGTCGATGGCGCGCTGCAGGGCGTGCAGGTTCTCCTGGCTGGACCGCTCCGGAGGCGGTGGGCCGCCAGGCGGGCCGCCCGGAGACACTATGCAGGGTTGAGTGGGGGCCTGAGAACGGGAGGAAACATTATTAAATCAACTAATACCCTTCACTCCAAGTTAGACCTACTGCCTCTGCCATTGTTCGGAAAAAGCTGACTTCAAGAGCAAATTAATTAAAAAAGCTCCCTCCCGGCCAGAATCTCAGTCAGTGAACCAAGTGACTGTGCATCTAGAACCAAAACCCGTTCTGCTGCCAACTGCCAGCAGTGTTGGATTCACGCGGAAAGTCGGAATATCTCGTAAAGATTGTGAGAAGATAACAGCGATGGCAGCTAGCAGGGAGCAGATCGAGGAGCTCTATGAGTTCATCCATCCCTTGGCGGTACGCGCCGGGGAAATCCTTCTCGAAGGCTACGAGAACGCCGGCAAGGCTGTGGCCCTGAAGGACGGGGAGTTCTACAACGTGGTCACCGCCTACGACAACCAGATCGAGGAGTTCCTCATGGAGGAGATTCTGGCCAGGTACCCGGAGCACAAGTTCATTGGCGAGGAGGACACCCACAAGAATGACAACATAACCAAGGAGCTCACCGACTCCCCCACCTGGATCATAGATCCCATCGATGGCACCTCCAACTTCATCAAGCAGATCCCCCACGTCTCCGTCTCTATTGGACTGTCCATCAACAAACAGATCGTCCTGGGAGTGGTCAACAATCCCGCCCAGAAGAAGCTGTACACCGCCAAGCTGGGCCAGGGGGCCTATTGCAACGGGGAGCCCATCCGGGTGAGCAGCTGCAAGACCATCAACGACGCCAATGTAGCCTACGAGGTCTGCCTGCTGCACGCCCCCAAGATCCGGAACAAGCACATCAAGCGGATCTACCATGTGGGCTCCAATGCCAGAAGGTGAGAGGTTTTGGCATATGACCCTCCACTTGGCCTATAACTCCCTCTTTTCAGACTCCTGGCCTACTCGGCTGTGGTGGACTCCCTCTGCATGGTGGCCGCTGGCAACTTGGACGCCTTCCACATCGAGGACATGTACCCCTGGGACTGCGCTGCCGGCTACCTCCTCATCTGCGAGGCTGGCGGAGTGGTCACTCATCCCTATGGCGGGCCCTTCCAAATCATGAAGCCGGACCTAATCTGTGCCGGGACCGAGAAGCTAAGAGCCGAGATAGAGCAGCTCATAAGAAGAGCTGACCAGGAGCCGCATGTGGGAGGCGATGGAGTTTGTAATCTGGACGATGTTCTTCAAGAGATTATCAGCAGAAACCCCAGATAGATGTCCAAGATAACTCCGTTTCTAGACCATTAAATAAAATGCAAATCATCGGATGAAACCCACAGAGGTTCTATCTTTGTTTACAATTTTAATCTCTTGGAAGCGGAGTCCATATTTTGGTGCCCTTGGGTGTACGATAGAACTCTCTGAGAAGTGCAAAGTGATAAAAAGCTTGGCGGGAAAGCTCCCCACAGCTGATTCACCCACACTCGGCGCTCGGCGATAGGCAGTCGGCGCTGGGCGGAAGATAGTTTGGTCAGTTGAGTGCAAGGCCTCCAGCTGAGAGTTGCCATGAGTTCCCCGGTTAGCGAGTCCAAGCTCAAGGAGTACTACGATGTGGCCCTGAAGCTGGTCCTCAAGTGCGGACCCCTGATGCAGGAGGGCTACCAGAAGGCCAAGAACGACTATGTCGTCAAAGCGGACTTCTACGACCTCGTCACCGTCTACGACAAGCAAATCGAAGACATCCTCACCGAGGGCTTGGTGGCCGCCTTCCCCGACTCCCTCATCATTGGCGAGGAGGAGTCGGCAGCCTCCAAGCGCCAGGCCGAGCTGACGGACGCCCCCACCTGGATCATCGATCCCATCGACGGCACCACCAACTTCATCCACCGCATCCCCCACTGCTGCATCTCCGTGGGCCTGGCCATCAACAAGGAACTGGTGGTGGGCGTCATCTACAACCCGCCGGCAAACGAGCTCTTTTCGGCGTACAAGGGGCACGGAGCTTTCCTCAACGGCCAGCCCATCCGCACCTCCAAAGCGACGACGGTAAGCGAGAGCTTATATAAGCGGGAGCCACAAACGAGATAAACAACGAAATTCTACAAGTAATCATGCATATCATCATTCCGCCGGGAGAGGGCATGTGTGTTTTTCGATAAAGAGCCATGGAGAAGGGTGATGTGTGGGCAGATGATATGGCAGATACATATTTGCAGAGCTCCTCTTGGATTTAATAGCTCGGGGAAAGATCTTTGAGTCACTTTGCATTCCCAGTACACCCAAGAGATAACATTTTATGCGTACTTTTCCCCAATTCCAGGTCAAGCAGTCAGTGGTGGCCTATGAGATCTCGCTCATCCACGCCGCTGGAGTCAGGGACAAGAACGTGAAGCGCCTCTACAAGCTGGCCTCCAACGCCACCGCCACCCGCTGCTTCGGTAGCGCAGCTCTGACCCTGTGCTATGTGGCCAGCGGGCAGTGCGATGCCTACCATGTGGAGGACCTGAAGCCCTGGGACATAGCTGCCGGCGCCATTATCCTCACCGAGGCCGGAGGCACCATCTGCCACACCAGCGGCTCCCAGTTCGATGTGATGAAGCCCGACTGCGTGTGCGCCGCCACCCCGCAGCTGGCCAAGAACGTGATTAGCCTTATCGACGAGGCCAGCCAGATTACAGAGTACACCTTTAAGTAGTGATAGCCCCTAATCCTAATCCTAATCAGTATGCAAATGTATCCACTGTAACAGCCATGTAATCTATTAAAGAACCGCACGAAAGTGGGACTCTAGCCACAAACTGTTTTGGAAGAAATGGCGATAGGAGCTTTGCGGAGAACCCAAAGCTTCCCCTGTCAATATTCCAGCTGATTCCAGCACTATAAAAGTTCCAAAAAACACACACGGCCATCAGTTGTTGTTTAGGTCTAATAATGAGCCAGCCAATAGACGAAAAGAAACTCCGGGAGTACTATGAGGTGTCCCTGGAATTGGTGCGCCAGTGCGGCCCCCTGTTCATGGAGGGCTTCCGGAAACCGAAACTGGAATTCCAAACAAAGTCGGCCATCTACGACCAGGTCACCTACTACGACAAGCAAATCGAGAGTGTTCTCTCGGAGGGGCTGCTCAAGGCCTTTCCGGAATCGAAAATTATCGGAGAGGAAGCTTTGGCAGACTCGCAGTCGCATGGCGAACTGACGGACGCTCCCACATGGATTATAGACCCCATCGATGGCACCAACAACTACATCCGCAAGATCCCCCACTGCTGCATCTCCGTGGGCCTGGCCATCAACAAGCAGCTGGTGGCCGGAGTCATCTACAATCCGGCCCAGAACGAGCTGTACTCTGCCTGGCAGGGGCACGGAGCTTTTCTGAACGGCCAGCCCATCCATGCCAACGACATAAAGACGGTGGGTACGATAGTGCAGCTTTTGATAGTAGATTTCAAGTAGATTGGTTCCGAACAGATGGATCAAGCTGTGGTGGCTTTGGAGACCTCCCTAATGGTCTTCCCCAAGCGGCGGGGTAGCAAGATGAAGCGGTTCTACAAGCTGACTTCGCAGGCCAACGGGTGAGTGACCCACAGAACTCTGATCTCCCCTGGAAAACTAAACAGAAACACAATGACGTTTTCCTTATCAGCTCCCGCAGCTTCGGCAGCGCAGCTCTGGGGCTCTGCTATGTGGCCGTCGGCCAATGCGATGTCTATCATGTGGAGCACCTAAAGCCCTGGGATCTGGCCGCCGGAGTGGCCATTCTCCGGGAAGCAGGGGGTACTGTCGTCCACACCAGCGGCGGAGCCTATGATGTAATGCATCCCGATTGCGTGTGTGCCAGCACCGAGGAATTGGCGAGGAATGTAGTTCGACTGATTGAAGAGGCTGACCAGCTAACATGTTTAACTTTCGAGTAGTGAAGACCTTGATGAACATGAAAGATTACAAAATGTGATGAAATAAAAACATAAAATAATAAACAAACCTATTATTAAACTCCACAATAGAATATGAACTTGCAGCCCGAAAATATAATTCATCTGGCTGATGGAAACTGGTTTTACAACAATATGTGGCTGACTGGCTGGCTGAATGACTGTCTGGGGAGATAAAAAGCATTTGTCTATTTGTGTACATCAAACAAATTGAGATAAAACAGAGGCACTGGTGAGATGCCAATTTTCGTAGCACTCCGGGGCTTGGGGGGAGCTGGAGCCATCATAAAACTCGATGCAGGCAAACAATCAGAGACAATTGCTGAATGTAACCAAAGCTCCAGCCAGACACTGCGAGCAGGCAAGCAGCCAGCAGCTGGAGCGTGGAGATACTTCCAATCTCTCTGATTAGTTGGCACCGCGACCTGAGCAGAGACGCATCGTTTGGACTTCCGAGCTACGAGTGGAATCAATATGTCTGAAGTACGGCAAGAGGAGATCGAGGAGTTGTACAACTTCATCCATCCCCTGGCGATCCAGGCGGGGGAGATCCTCATGGAGGGCTACGAGATGGCCAGCAAGAATGTGTCCATCAAGGGAGACTTTTACGACGTGGTCACCGACTACGACAACAAGATCGAGGACTTCCTCATGGAGAAGATCCTCTCGAGCTATCCGAGCCACAAGTTCATAGGCGAGGAGGCCACGGCCAAGAACAACAATGTCTCCGGGGAGCTGACAGATGCCCCCACCTGGATCATAGATCCGATCGATGGCACCTCCAACTTCATCAAGCAGATCCCGCACGTCTGCGTGTCGATTGGCCTGTCCATCAACAAACAAATCGTAGTGGGAGTCATAAACAATCCCGTCCAGAAGAAGGTCTTTACTGCCAAGCTGGGCCAGGGCGCCTTCTGCAACGGCCAGCCCATCCGAGTGAGTAGCTGCGACAGCATCAAGAACGCCAATGTGGCCTACGAAGTGTCCCTGCTGCATGTCCACTCGGTGGCCAACAAGCACATCAAAAGGATCTACCACATAGGCCTGAATGCCAGGAGGTAAGTACGCCACTTCCATATCCTTTTTCGGTTTAATTTTCCTGCGAAACCCCACATAGACTTGTGGCCTACTCCTGCGTGGTGGATGAGCTGTGCATGGTGGCCGCCGGCAACCTGGACGCCTTCTACATCGAGGACATGTACCCTTGGGACTGTGCTGCCGGCTATCTGTTGGTGAAGGAAGCAGGCGGCGTGGTCACACATCCTTTCGGGGGACCCTTCGACATTATGAAGCCGGACCTGGTCTGCGCCGGCACCGAGAAGCTGCGCAAGGAGATCGAGGATCTGCTGCGCAAGGCCGACAAGGAGGAGTCGGTGGGAGGCAAGCCAGTGCCGAAGTAAATTAAGCATGACACAATAAATTGTTTGCGAAAAGATCTAAATTGAAAGCTCGAGGTTAGCTACACTCTCAATTAATTGAAAGCTCCATCTTCCAAGAGCTTTGGCCGATCTTCCAGCTTTTAATTGTCGGCAGCTGGTCGGCGATAAACAAAAAAAAAGAGGCGGGAATCCAGATGAGACTTTGGTAAACATCATATCGTGCATATCGTCTTGAAGCCTTGGCTCCTAAGCCTGCAACTCATTCGTTTTTGATTGCCAATCATATATCTTCATGAGCATAGGGATTAGCTTCATCATCATGCTTTAAAATGAAAGATGTGGCATTATAATGCACTCTAATCCTAATTCGTAACTAAACTACAGTCCCCTGCTTCCAAAATCCACTTCCTCCTTGAAGTTCTCTAACTCTTCCTCATCCAAAACCCAAATAATGTCCTTTAGAAGGCGTGCTACACTTACATTAGGTGGCATTCCGTGCGTTTGGTAGCCCAGTGGCGACATATTCGGCCCCGTCGGCGGCATCTGCATCCCCATGTGCGGACCTTTTGAGAAAACTGCGGATAATTACTCGCGATAAACGCCGAGATGAAAAGTGAAAAACATACTCATTCCCTGGTGGTGTGGCGGCATATGGTGTCCAGGTGGGCCCTGACCGGGCGGGCCGTGCTGCATGGGATGGCCGTAGGCGCCAGGATGGCCGGGCGGAGGGGGTCCCTGCATGTGGGGTGGGGCTCCTGGCGGCGGTCCTTGAGGCGGTCCCGGCTGCTGGTGGGGATAGGGACTGTGCGGCGAGGGAGCTGGGCTTTGGGAGGGCGGAGCCATCGGACTGGGCGCCTGTGGCGGCGGCATGGGACTGTTCGCCGGCGAGGGCGAGGCCATCTCTGACTATTGCTCTGTATACGGCTCTCACACGAAAAACTCTTTAAATATCTTAGCTTCACTTGGCGCGGGTGTGTCTGGAAATAAGCAACATTCCTTGTCAACAATAATAATCTTTCACAATAAGTTATACGAATTTTTTGTTGTTTTTTTTGGCACACTTTTGCGCAGTCTGGAGCCCAGCCAGAGCAAACACTGCAAATAACCGGCGAAAGCTTTGCGTAGAAGTCACAATTTATGCTCAGCTTATCAAGCACTGTTCAAACAATTGATTAGGATTGTTTTGGATGAAAATTTGTACCTATTAGCACTGTTTGAAGAGATTTTTTCCACACTTTTTCCCGAACGACGCTTAGTGTTAGTGTTCTGTTATAGAGACGGCCGCCATTACAGAGAAAACCGGGGGTGGCAACTCTGGCAACCGGCAACAAAAGGGGCGCGTTCAGCAACAGCGTTACCAGCTTGCTTTTATTTAATAAATATTCAGAATAATACAAATTTTTTTGTTATCTAATAAAGTTTTTTAAAATCTTATAAATTTAAAACTATTGAAAAACTAAATTATAGTTTCTTACCTGTGACCATGAGGGTGAGTCGAAACCTGCTGAACGCACAACCCCTGACACGTCATGTTCGCGTGGAATGCGAATGGCAAAAACCAAAAACCATTCCCTGTCAAAAAAAGTGAAAACAAGACTATTTCGATTTTGTATTAATTGTAGAAGCAAATACAATTAATTAGGTTAACACTTAAGCATTTAGAGGCCGCGCCAGCACTAGTCGAAGTTAAGCCGAAATCATGGGTAGGCCAAGCCACTGAACCGGAGTGCGGCGACCTCCCCCACCCGGTGACGAAGTCTGGTATCATAAAAATAATGTATGAATGTGTGGTTTTTGTTGTTGTTTGGCAGGTGGGGTGCTCAGCTACTTTCGCGGCCTGCTCGGCTCCCGGGAGATGCGCATCTTGATACTCGGACTTGATGGCGCCGGCAAGACAACCATCCTCTACAGACTGCAGGTGGGCGAAGTGGTCACCACGATACCCACCATCGGCTTCAACGTGGAGCAGGTCACATACAAGAACCTCAAGTTCCAGGTCTGGGACTTGGGTGGCCAGACAAGTATTAGGTGAGTGTTGGGGGTCGAGATAAGGAAATCGTCTGATGTCGGTATCTGATATCTGAAGTCTATCAGAAAACTAAAAATATTCTTTTTTTCAGACCCTACTGGCGTTGCTATTATAGCAACACAGACGCCATCATCTATGTGGTGGACTCGGCGGACAGGGATCGGATTGGCATCTCCAAGGACGAGCTGTTGTACATGCTGCGGGAAGAGGAACTGGCCGGAGCGATACTGGTCGTCTTGGCCAACAAGCAGGACATGGAAGGTTGCATGACCGTTGCCGAGGTCCACCACGCGCTGGGGCTGGAGAACCTCAAGAACCGCACATTTCAGATATTCAAGACGTCGGCAACCAAGGGCGAGGGACTCGATCAGGCCATGGACTGGCTATCCAACACTCTGCAGAGCCGCAAATGAGTCCAGACCGAGCGCCAGCCTCATTCCCCTCGCCCCTGTGTAAAAATGTGTGTCCAAAGCATCGCCAGCTAGGAATCGTCGTCTACAGCTTTTTTCAAATTGCATATTGCGCAAAAATCCACGAACCGAAAGAAACTTTGTAATAACTTCTAGTAATATAATTATTAAATTATAGGATTAAACAATTCATTAAACCCATGCACTGGTCACCAGTCGGCCGGGCCGAACCGGAGGACCCGCTTCTCCTGCGTATCAAGATCCATGCGCACCTTCTGGCGCATGTAGAAGATGGGGCAGTCGCGGTTGGAACAAATCACCTCCTCGTGCAGGGATCCCTGGCAGCGCTGGCACTCTGTCCACAGGCGAGAGAAGGATTCCTCCAGCTCCCGCTTGGCGCGCACTTCCTTCTGGTAGAGCTCGCTCATCCGGGGTTCGCAGTGGGGACAAAGGCAGGCCTGCTCGTAGCCCTTGGGCATCAGGGACTTGCAGCCCAAGCAGGAGGTCTTCTTGGTCATGAAGCCGGCTAGTCCGCCCACTTTGGAGGTCACCACTGTGCGGGTGCGGGTGTGCTCGCCCTTCAGCAGAATCGACTCTGCCTTCTCTCCCAGAATGGGCTCGAAGATCCTCAGCAGCGGCTTGGCGAGCTGCTGCTCCAGGTAGTAAGTGGCGTCGATGGGCACGCTGTTCTCCAGGACGTACAGGGGATCCTCTGCCTTTTGGTAGGCGGGTGTGTTCTTGGCTGCAGCGCAAATGACGTACGGAACTCGATCTCCCAGCTTCGGGGCCGTGCCAGGATCCCTCTTCTTCATCTTTGCGGCCAGCTCCACGTGCGCCTGCTTGGCGGCGTAGTCAGTCTTGGCCAGCTCCTTGGTGATGACCAGGTGCGATATGTCTATCCGATTACAGAGCAGATCTGCAATCACCTGCTTGGCGTAGGCCACGGCGCCATCGGGGTCTCGTTCAATGAGCAGCTTCTGGAGGCAGGTGTTCATCAGGTTGGCCACCAGGGGGGAGTTGTCTCTTCGGACTGTCTCAATGCCCTTGCAGTCCATTTTATCGTACGTCTCCGGTCGCGTGAAGTACAATCCTGCGTAGCGCTTTTTGTTGATAAGGAGGTAGGGATAGTATACCTTCTCGAACTCCAGCTTGATGGGGTGGACGAACTTGGAGCTGACCAGCTCTGCTGCCTCCCTGCCCAGTTCCATGCTCCGCTCCAGGGTCTTCACCCCAAAGTTGACCATCACAGAATCCGTGTCGCCATAGATGACTACGGCATTGTTTTCGTAGCCGTTGGCTTGGGTGTAGTGCGACTCCACCTCGTTCTTGGTCATCTCAATCATGGTGCGGCCGTAGGCGGTGACGCTGCCAGAAATCTCCAGGCAAGGCAGCTTTCCCACCTGGGCGCCAGTGAATCCGTACACGGAATTGGCCGAAATCTTGAGCGCCAGCTGTCGACCATCCAGAACCTTCCTTTTGAAGGGATCGGTTTCCACTTTCAGGTCGTTCTTGGCCCGTTTTCTTGCGGCCAGGAGGGACTCCAAGATTTCAGGCAGGAGACCTCTTCTGACCTCGGATTTCACAAAGTAATTATTGGCGGGAGTGCGCTCCACTTGGTCGTCTTGAAGGTTTTCCTGCTCCCTTAGCTTCTCCCGAGTTCCGCCCAGAACCAAGGTGGTGTAGCAGAGATTGTGGGCCATCATGATACTCGGGTACAGAGAGGCGAAATCCAAAGTTGAAATCGGATCCGCATAGTAGCCCCTTTTGGGTTCAATAACAGTAGCACCCTCGAACTGTTCGTCCGAGCCTTGGGAGGTGTAGGAGGGCATGATGAAGCCCTTGGTCTTGGCCTTGCGCAGCAGTTGGCTCATAACCTTGATTTGTTGTCCGCGGGTGAGCAGGGATTCCAAGGGTACTCCCGTCACCCTGGCCATCTCCATGTAGTTGACAATGGCCATCAGTTTTTCCAGCAAACGCAGCGGAAGGTACGCATCCTTTAGGCAGTACATGGCCAGGCGGCGACGCGTCTGCTCATCGCCGTTCTGCAGATCCGTAATGATGCTGTGATGGACATCCTCCTTCTGTTCTTGCAGAAAATGGTAGCTTACAGCGTTGAGGGTGTAGGAGCGCAGCTTATAGTCTCGGAGCAGCACAAACAGCAGATCGAAGGGAACCCTGCCCTCGAAGTTCACGTACTGGTTTTCTCGACGACCCATTTGCTTGGACTGTATCACCTGCTCCTTGATCACGGAGCGTATGTTCTTGATCCGGCCCAGATACTCGAAGTTCTTCACCTTCAAGTGAGCTGCTCGGTTGAGAAGGTAGGGGATATCGAAGTTGTTTATGTTGTAGCCAGTTAGAATGTCTGGATCAACCTCTCGGACGAAGGCGCCCCACTTGTCCAGAAGCTGGGTCTCCTTCTCATGGCACAGCACTTGGCTGCCAATAATGGGAGCACATTCGTCCAGGGTGAAGACATTCCTGATGAAGGGCTCATGCTCGCCCTGCCGGATAACCATATTGGCTATCTGAATCACAGGATCCATTTTGGCTTCTGGAAATATTCCCTTGCGACCAGCGCATTCGATATCGAAGGACAGGATGCGGAAGGGAGCCACCTTGGCCCATTCGCCCTCAGGCTCGTGGGAAATGAACTTATCGAAGGCCACATCCACCTCGATCTGGCAACGGGACTCGGGCAGTGGCTTGCTGTGACTGCTCCTCAGACGCCATTCGCCTTTCGGAAGCTCTATCCAGTTACAGCCCACTACTGACGTGTCCACCATGAAGCGGATATCAAAGTCAATGTTGTTCTCAAAGGCGCGACAGTCCTGAAAATCAATCTCCGCCATTATGACCTCCTTCTTCAGCAATCTTGAGGCGGCAGCCACAAATCTGGGCAAAGTCACAGAGATCTTAATGTATCGCTGCTTCTTGTCGCCATTGTAGCCGTGGATATTCAGCTTCTCCACGAGCTCGACCATGAGCACAGCTTCCTGCACATTATCCTTATTGTTGCGAATATCAGCTATGACCTTCTGGTCAAGAGCTTGCTGCAGTTTTTCGCAGTGGCGCTCCTCGAACTTCTTGGGGGCTTCGATGTAGAAATACGGGCAGAATCCGTGGACATGACAGCAAACAGAGTTCCCATCCATGGTGACACCAAACATACGAACTACGGGCACTGGACCCAACTGGGCACCCGGCATCCCTGGCAGCGGTTGGCCTTGATAGTTCTCCACATCCAGTTGCTGGAATTCCAAGCTGTCTTTGGCGGGATCTAACTTGGGAGGCGCTGGCCGGGACCAACGTTCGCTGGTCTGTTGGTTTTCCGGTCCTTCTCCCAGTAACAAGGTCTGGTCCATATCCTCGCTGTTTTCAAAGGCAGCCAGTTCTGCCTCAAAGTCCATTTCCTCATCTTCATCAGGATTCCTAGAGCCCCAAAATAGTTATTGATTGTAATGTATTGACTTTTCGGGAGTAGATTTACCTGGGCTTCTTGGACTGCCCATTGGACGGTCCATTAAACTTGCGTTTGGCATCCATCCTTAAATTAATTTGCAATAAACATGGGTTTCAATGATGCCAAAAATTGAGGCGCGCTTTTACAGGTGGAATAAATTAGTGTGACCGTTGCGGGTGCGCCAAAACTAAAAAATACCAAAATATAGTGAATTTAAAAGAATGTAACGGTTTCTTAAATTATATTTAATTTTAGAAGTTCAATCAAAATTAATGATAATTTTATTATATATATTTTAAATTTCAAAATAATATAAACTCAATTTTATTTTATTCCCTATTCATAAACCAAAATGGTAATGGCGATGATTTGACTTGGGCGAGGTACTAAGATAGTATTCCATTAAAAAGTAAAAAAATGCATAAAAAATTTATTTAAAGATAAGAAATATTTAAAAAACAAGAAATCACATAATCGCACATAAATATACTAAACTTGATGGATAGTACCACCAGCTGGTTAAATTACCCGCTGAAATTGCACCCTCTTGGCAGTCCCGCACGCGAAAAAGAGTTGGCAGGTCGCTCAGCTTGTACCACCAAAATTGCTTTTAGTCCTCCGAAATTCGCACGTAAAACGCAGTTAACCGATAATCCCCGATAATTGCACCTACTGATTAGCCCCCAAGGAAAAGGATAAAGGAATTAAAAACGCCAAAGAAGCTGACGCTGTCGGAGGAGGTGAAAATGACATACCTGTGAATTGTGACCAGTGGGGGTGTCTCTCCTACTCTACGCTCCGCACTCCACCTCTCGCTCTCTCCACTCGCCTCACCCCTCTCGTTCGCTCTTTCGTTGGAAGGAGGGGGATGGACGGTTGATGTTACGAGTAGCGTAGCTCGGTGAATCACATTTCACATACGGAGAAGCCATCGGAGAACAGAAACCACAATGTACCAGAGCGCCTGCCAGGCGGCCACCACGGGCTCCTGTGTCCCGGGCGCCAGCCAGCAACCGGACAACGAGCGGCAATCGGCGCTAATTGCCCAGCAGCCGCCCACCGCTCCCGTCGAGCCGGATTACAGTGGCTTCGACATTGTGAAGGCCACCCAGTACGGAGCCATTGCCCGTGTCAGAGAGTTGGTGGAATCCGGCTGGGATGTCAATCAGCCCGACAGCGAAACCGTGACCCTGCTTCATTGGGCAGCCATCAATAATCGGCGGGACATAATCCGCTACTTCCTGGAGAAGGGCGCTACTGTGGACGCCGTGGGCGGAGAGCTGAATGCCACGCCCCTCCACTGGGCTACCCGACAGGGGCACCTCGGTGCTGTTGTCCTGCTCATGGCCGCTGGAGCCGACCCGAGGATCCGGGATGCGGAGGGCTGCTCGTGCATACACATCGCCGCCCAGTTCGCCCACACCGCCTTAGTGGCCTACTTCATAGCCAAGGGTGTGGACCCAGACCTGCAGGATCGGGGCGGAATGACGGCTCTTATGTGGGCAGCATGGAAGGTGAGTTTCTCTCGGAGGGATAGTCATGGAAGGTCTTTAATCCTATTCTTTGAATGTATTTCCAGGTCTGTGCACTGGATCCAGTGCGCTTGTTGTTAACTCTTGGAGCCAATCCCGCTATGGTAGATTATACACATGGAAACACGGCCTTGCACTGGGCGATCTTGGCGCGAAACGCCACGGCCATCTCTACCCTCGTGCTCAAGTCGAAGGCCTCGTTGGACGTACCCAATCTCAGGGGAGAGACGCCACTCACAATGCTGGAGTCGCAGACGGGTGCCATCTGGATAGGAGCTAAGGTCATGGACAGGGTGAAGGAGGCGGCGCTCACTTCGCAGCAGCGCAGATCACTGGTCTCCAAGCTGCGCCACGACAAGCGTCTGAGGTGGTGGTCCATGGTGGCGTGCCCCTTCACAGCCTTCTACCTGGCGGGAATCGTCTTCACCGTCAACACCCTGTACATCATCAAGTTTTTCCTGCTCGGCTGCCTCTATGCCATTTTCCACACAATCGGTAAGGCGCTGTTCGATGAGCACCTGATGGCCCTCTTGCCGCTCAGCGTTTACCTGGCCACCAAGGCCTGGTTCTACATCACCTGGCTGATGTTCATCGACGATGCTGTCTCGTTCACGGCCACCATCTGCTTCCTGATCTCATCACTGGCCCTGTGGGTGTGCTTCCTCAAGTCGTGGAAGGGGGATCCGGGTATCATTCGACCTACCAGGGAGCAGAGATTCAAGGTCAGTAGTCTGGTTCAGATCAGGAATCGGTTAAGCTAAATACATGTTTCCTTTCAGACCATCATTGAGCTGTCGGAGCGCGGTGGGATCGGCTTCGAGCCCGCCTCCTTCTGCTCTGGGTGCCTGGTGCGAAGACCCATCCGGTCCAAGCACTGTTCCGTGTGCGATCGGTGCGTGGCGCGGTTCGATCACCACTGTCCCTGGGTGGGAAACTGCATCGGGCTGAAAAACCACAGCTACTTCATGGGATTCCTTTGGATGCTGTTGATCATGTGTGCCTGGATGCTGTACGGTGGCTCAAAGTTCTATGTTAACCAGTGCAATGTTCGGTTCGATGGTAAGCTGGCCACGAAGCTCCTACCTGAACTCCTCATGAGACCTCTCCGTTTCAGATTTTCTTGGTGCCATGCGGGCCATTGGCAACTGCAACGCCTGGGTGGGCTGGGTGATGGGCAACGCCCTGCTGCACATGTCCTGGGTGATCCTGCTGACGATTTGCCAGACGTACCAGGTGATCTGCCTGGGAATGACCACCAACGAGCGGATGAATCGTGGGCGCTATCGCCACTTCCAGGCCAAAGGCGGCCACAGCCCGTTCACCCGCGGCCCCTTCCAGAACCTGGTGGACTTCCTCGAGTGCAGCTGCTTCGGACTGGTGCAGCCGAAGCGGGTGGATTGGATGAACTACTACGACTACGACGCCCAGACGCACCAGACCATCGAGAAGGAGCCGCTGCTGAGTGTCGACTGCCCGGACGGAATGGGTGGAGACCATCAGTACGTGTAGGACAAGTCCTATCGGGATGCGAAGACGCTTCAGATGCCCATCGCGCATGTTTAACAACCGACACCAGCCGCTTTACAGCTTCTTCTTCCCAACTCAACCCCGAAGTAATCCCCCCAAGCCCGTATGATTTCCACCAAATATTATGATTCGCATCAGCTTGCCCAGGCAGAGGATGGAGCGCGAGCACCAAGACAGAAGACAGAAGCGTCATTGCTGACCGATATCGGATGGACAGACAGACGAGTTGGGAGCCACCTCATACGTACATATTATTGAATGTATTACTGTAATTAATCTGTACATTTCTGCGTATTTCTTACACCTTGATCATAAGCCGAAAGTACACACAACAAACACTTCTTTGTCCTCTAAGTATTTGTATACCAAAAAAATAACGAAACTTAATGAAATTCAAACGTAAGTGAACACCGAACAAATTTACTACCGCAATCGTAATCAAAAAACAGAGTTTGTTTAAGCGTGCAATATTCCAAGATTCCAATTCACCTAATAAATATTATTAAAAATTGTAAAGCGCACAGGAGAAGCCCAGAGGAAGACGAGGCTTCTAAGAGCTCTCTAGGGTCGGATGGAAAGGCTCCTCCAATTACTAAAATAATTAAATACGGAAATACGAAGAAATTAATCGTTCGATCCCAAGCACTAGCATACTTAAGCATATAATAAACGAATTCTGAACGCGATCCAATTCTTATTATGCACTAGTCTAGTCAGATAATCATTTAAGTAAAATGTTAAAGTGCAACTACAGCCACAACTAAAGTATATAGTATATCCATAGCTATGAAAAGATATAGGTATTATAATGTAAAAGGAATTTGAGCAGGCCTGGCAGGCCTGCAAGGAGGATATGTTTGTAATTGTAACACGTTACTTAAATGCATTTAAATATTAATTCAAACGAGTCTACAACAAGTCTAATAATCTGATGAATCGCTAGGCAACATTTTCAAATATTGATAACGAAACACACACACTTTTTCGATGTATTTTGTAGTCGAGATTATACAAGGCGGAGAGGAGGCGGAGGTGCGTCACAAATAAAAAAAGAGTTAATTGTTTCAGCTTCATTTTGTAAATTACTTTCGCAGTAAAAAATAAAAAATAAAGAAAGCTTTTTGAAAAGACTATAAACACACAAGATCTGAGAAGATTTAATGCAAAAGAAGCAATTGAACCCCATTGCCTACATCTTTAGTTTAGCGGCTAAGTTCAAGACAAGAATATATATATTTAACTAAAGATATATGATTATATATATATATATGAGTGTATTAAATAGTGTGTAGATCGATGAGGAGGTGTCTGTATGTATGTGTAACACTCTGTGCGTTAAAAATAAATTTGAATAACTTAATAAATAGAACTTTATTCCGTATTCGAAGCAAACATCGGAGTGGTTTTTAATTCAAAATAAAACTCGGTCCAAATTGGGTTTTAATTTCTTTTGTTTTTTATTGTTTGATGACATAATATTTGTAGATTTGCAATTGTATTTTTTGTTTTTTGTTTTTTCGACATTGATGCATTACATTTATAGGCTCACTTTAAAAATAGAATTTCTTCCCGTTTATGATAAATTATGTTGAATGGGTTTGTCGCTTATGCTTTGCTTTTAAAAAAACTTTCAATATTTTACACTTAAATTTCGTGATTAAATTTATTCTCAGCTTTCTCAGCAGCGGATGTAAATGATGTACAATATTTGATGTATAATTATTAATTTTAGTTAAGCAAAACAGAGAAAAACACAATAGCTTAGGCACTAAATAAAAGAATCGATGCAGAGGTTAGTTGAGAAATACAGGGATATAGTAGTCGTTTGCACACACAGATACAGATCAAGATAAAGATAAAGATAAAGATACAGATACAAAGAGATAAAAGATAGAAAGATATCCGTCCCTTCCTGGACCTGAACCTGAACCTGAACCGATAGCAATAGCGTCTTTTGTCTATATAGTATATATATATTATTTGTGTATCAGGTGGGATCTCGGCGTGGCCAGCTTGAGCTTAGTAGTACCACTAACCATACAGCATATAGACAACCCATTTCATACAACGAAAATGGACGCGAAAATTTCTTGCGACAGGCCCCAGCAGGCCCCAGAGCGGATTTCTTACGCTCTCTTACGCTCATCGTTCGTTCATCTTACGCTCATTCTCGCAATAAATGTTTTCTGTTTCTCAGTCTCTAAACGGAGCGCGATGAAGAAGGTTGGCCTGCGCTTCGGTTGATCTTTGTATGTATGCGTGTCACACATTCACATACATGGGTGTATGTGTGCGTGCGATTTCGTTTCGAAGCCAGCGCACAAAATTTTGATTTTTCTTACTTTTAAGGCTTGCTACCCTAACAAAATTCGGGTATTCGTTATTTGATGAAATGACGAAAGAAATTATATTATTTTTTATTTTATTTTTTTTTATTATTTCAGCATACATTTTTAATTTATTTAGGAATAAGATTAAGTGTTAGTAGTAAAATGTTTTCTGTATATATATTTTTACGAATCATTAAAAATCAATATACTGAGAAAGTGTCAGAGTATATTTCGGTCGGAGTCACTTAAAGCGCCGATTGCTTTTAAGTTTTTGTTGTTCTGCAAGAGGCTTGTGCATGCCTACTCTAACGATGGAATGATTTTTAGGGGAGGGTGAAGACACGAAAACAGCTGATGGACTTGTTTACCTTTTTTGTTTACAATTTTTCAGGCACTTGTTATTATATTTTGGGTTATTGTGAGATTTAATTAAATTATTGTCGTTAATTTAATAATTTCCTTATATATATTTCCTTATATATAATAACTTTAAAAAGTAATTTAATTCTTCACCCGTCTTCACCCTCCCCTAAAAATCATTCCATCGTTAGAGTAGGCATGCACAAGCCTCTTGCAGAACAACAAAAACTTAAAAGCAATCGGCGCTTTAAGTGACTCCGACCGAAATATACTCTGACACTTTCTCAGTATATTGATTTTTAATGATTCGTAAAAATATATATACAGAAAACATTTTACTACTAACACTTAATCTTATTCCTAAATAAATTAAAAATGTATGCTGAAATAATAAAAAAAAATAAAATAAAAAATAATATAATTTCTTTCGTCATTTCATCAAATAACGAATACCCGAATTTTGTTAGGGTAGCAAGCCTTAAAAGTAAGAAAAATCAAAATTTTGTGCGCTGGCTTCGAAACGAAATCGCACGCACACATACACCCATGTATGTGAATGTGTGACACGCATACATACAAAGATCAACCGAAGCGCAGGCCAACCTTCTTCATCGCGCTCCGTTTAGAGACTGAGAAACAGAAAACATTTAATGCGAGAATGAGCGTAAGATGAACGAACGATGAGCGTAAGAGAGCGTAAGAAATCCGCTCTGGGGCCTGCTGGGGCCTGTAGCAAGAAATTTTCGCGTCCATTTTCGTTGTATGAAATGGGTTGTCTATATGCTGTATGGTTAGTGGTAGTACATACTATATATGGCTATATACCGTACAATGATTGATATTTGGTCGGAGTTGAAAGAAGCTTTGGGTGTTCTATGGGTGGCGGAAGGTCAAAGGTCGTAGTTGGAGAAGAGTCGTAGAAATATATGCGTGTATAAATATATATTGCAATGCGATTTATAAGCGCACTTCATAAGAGGGGGAAAAATAAACATAAAACGATTAAAATATGCGAAAGATATCCACAAAAATCTCCAGTAGATTGAAGTCTCAGATTCCTTAAGACTTCAGATCCATAGAGATTTGTTTGGAACCTCCAGTAGATGTGTTAATTTAGGGCTACTCGGCTTCGTGCGGCGGCACAAAGTTAGAAACTTCAGTGTTAGGATAGAATTGATGTAGTTTCGGAATAGGATTGCTTGGACTGAAGTTTGTGACTTTGTGCCGCCGAGAAGCACCTTCCTCGGTAATATTAACTACGGACGCGCCGCAGACTGTTAGCTATATACATATATATAGCTATATCTTTCACCCACTTGCAATGCAACTAAAACTGGTTTAAACACGGCCTAACCCAGCCCACGGATGGCGAGCGATTCAGGAAACCAGAATGTGATCAGAACCCTGATCCCTGCGATATACCGATCTTTGACTTTATTTTCAGAGCCAATCGTGAGTGGTAGACCGTGAATAAGCGTTTTGCTTCTTAATATTTTTTTGTTTGTTTTTGCTTTTCAATAAATATACGAAATATTATACATGCCTTAGTGCTAGAAACATGTGTAGACACATGCCTTAAATATATATCCATGTATGTATATATAAATTTCTTTTAGTACACATATATATATATATTTTTGTTTAAAGTTTTCTTTTTTTTTTGAATTTTTTTTTTGTTTTACCCTCCTTGTCTCCTATTTCTCTTGATTTTTTCTTTTTAATAAAAAATATATATAAATATAGCTATTTTGAATTTGATTTTATCTCTGCTCATATGTATAGTTATCATTTTTTTTTGTTTTTGCCATTAAATCTTTTGCCTGCTCAGTTAATTACGCTTACAGAAGTACGATTCTGGGGGGTATACATAGGGGTTTATTATACGGGTAGGGTAGGGGTGTACCCCTTAGACGGGGTACGTACAAAACGCAATATTAGCAATTATCAATTAGCATTAGCAGTTGTTAAAAAAAACACACACACACTTTAAAACTTAAAAAATTATAAAAAGTGTTGTAAGAGCAAAACAAAATAATAAATAACAAATGTGCCGTGTAAATAGGGTCTGTAAAAATTATGTATATCGATATAAAACTTATGCTTAGCCTAGGTGTCGAGCGGGTCTACATGCAGCATGCTAGCAAAGTGGTAGTTGCTTCTCTTCCTCGGGTCAGGGGTCAGGGGTTAATGAGTGTGGGGTCAGGGGGTTCGCTTTCGCTTGCTTATCGGCTGGCTTGCTTGGTCTTGTAATATGTATACAATTATCATATATTTATAAACATTAGTTCCCACTGATGTTACGTCTTTTGCAGCAGCTCGTTCTGTTGGCTGGGCGGACTTTGGAGCGCCTGCTGCTGCTGCTGTTGATTCAAGATGGTCGGCGCAGACAGTGTGGTGGCCTGGGTAATGACTGTCGTGGCAGAGATGGTCTGTTGCTGTTGCAGCTGGTTGGGGGCCTGCTGCAGCTCCTGGGGGTGCTGCTGGTTGCTCTGGTTGTTCAGGGGCTGGTTCGAGTTGCAGAGCACCGAGTAGACCGAGTCCACCTTGCTGAGCTTCTCAAAGAGCGGTATCAGTTCTCGCAGCTCGCAGTCGGTCACGTCATCGAACCAGGATTTAACAGGAACCTTTCAAGGGACATCCATTGTAATTATTAATTCAAGGCTATAGGATGGGGGTACTCACTGCATTGTCCGGATGAAAGATATAGCTGGCCGGCGAGTTGTCCACAATGACAATCTTCTGCAGGTCCCGCCCCAATCTGTTTAGATCCTTAATGTAGTTACCCCTGTAATAAACGCACGATTCCCTAAACAGTCTTGCACGAAACACATTCCATCTGAAATGATAGTTTAGATAGAATAAAATAGTAATAGTGTTTATCATAAATTAGACTCACTTGTCTAGCAGATCTGCAACCGGATCTGCGTATTTGGCTAGTGATGCTGTAAACAAAACGCACTCGTATAGTTCGCCCATCTTCTGCAGGAACTCGTCCACATGCGGTCTCTTCAGGACATACACCTGATGCACTGTCCCATCGATCTCCACCGGAACTATGAAGTCTGCATTCGGTATGGGCTATAGGATCATTATAAGAATTATATTAGCTATTAGAGAGAATGATAGAAATACTCACCTTAAAACTACTGTGCACTAGGGTCTCGTCCAAATCGATGACCATGCACTTCCTGTGCATATCGGTGAGCCTAACCTGAGGTAGTAGGTACCTTTGTTGGTCCGGTAGTGGCGGCGGTGTGGTCGAGCCATCGATTTGTGTCCCATTCTGGTTGGTTTTCGTGCGATTCCGTCGCCAGCAGCAGAGCAGAGACTGTATGAATCCTCGCTTCTGTGGCTTCAGGCGCTCTACATCATCTGGGGAGGGAGATTTATAGATTAGTTCATCAATTAGCCACACACTTGATCCAATCTAATTGGAGATTCTTGGAAATACCACGCATTTCTCACACCACTCCTCCTCCATTAATCTAAACAACATTCTGGCCGTCTCATAAAAACTTCTCCCGCAATATTTAAGGCCCCCCATATCCGCCCACAACGCCTTCCCATAGATGGTCTCTAAATATATCTCGAAATACATAGTCTAGTATTACTATTTACAGTTTTTACTTCATAATGACATAAACATTGTGTCTGTTTCGCATTTGCATAAAACAAATACAAAATTATTCAAATATCCACGTCTATATCTGGTATATCTGGTTAATACTGCAGTCCTGCATGCAATGCCAGTTCGACAATTTATTTCGCCTCGTTTTTGTGCGAAAATGTTTAAAAATAGAAGTCAAAGCCAAAACTAAAAGACAGCCACTGGGGGGCGACAGTTGGGGTTGGGGGGTGCTTCAGGGCACCTACATACGAGGGGGGGTGTGCGTTTAATCGATGGGAAATGCTATAATTGCAGGCAAAAACAAAGTATCTGTCAGATACAGGAGGGAGAGCGAGGAGATACAGGGGAGATTCCATAAGTGGGATTTGAGAAATGGGAGATCTTTCTATAAAATGTTAGAGATTGGAATATTATCATATATATTTTATAGAAGATATGTTTATAAAATAGAAGATACTTTGTTCTGAAAGATATAATTACTATATCTATTCCTTCCAATACTTTTTATCAAAAGAACCAAGTTAGTATAAGACCTTTAAAGGTTATATAAGATATAGGACTGCTGAATAAGATATAATATATAAAAGATATAGTATTTAGAAGATAGATCCTTCTAGAATCTAGATAAATAGATAGAATCTTCTAAAAATATAGACAGATAGATTCTTCTATAGATAGATAGATAGATAGATAGATTATATCCTCTATAGTTTCTTCCATTATCTTCTCTAGATACATAGATAGATCCTTCTAGATATATAGATAGCTTCCCCAGCATATCTATAGAGGCTCCCCTGTAAGAGTTATAGATAGTTAGTTGGATAAATAGATAGAAGGTCACCGGTTGACCTTTAAGCCGGCTTGAGGTGCGGCTACCTGCTCCGCCAGGGCCAGAGAGGGGTTAGCCAGGGCCAGGACACCGGATAGGGGCTTGGGAGTGGGTGGAGCAGCTAGAGCCAGAATGCGTCCACCATTTGCATTGTGTGGCAACAAAAGGAAACGGCAGTCAAACATCACTTAGCAGGGAAAACAAGCTCCAAGTTGGCAATGGATGTGGGAGGTGGGTTGGGGGCTGGGAGATGGCCTGAGTGCAGGCGAACATGTCCTTCTTGCTGGCTAAGCTAGACGTAACGGTTCATTGAACCGTTAGCCAAGTGAAAACAGAGCGGGGGATGTTCCAAGCTTGCTGATACCGTGTTTTCCGAAAGGGGTATCTTAGATCCAAAGAGACTGACAGTCTAGGGGTCTAGGGGTCTAGAAGAGGTCTTTCAAAGAGATTCCAAAATTAGAAACTACTTGAAACACCACCTGTTTTCATTTCAGAAATATTCCAACTTGCTTGCCTGTCCAGGGTATTCTTTGGAGTGCTACCCTGGCCCTGTTTCTGTTTTTAGCTTCTCTCGTAATGTATTTTTTTTTTATTTTTTTCAAGCCAGAACCCTTGCGAGTGAAGTGCAAATGCACTTGAATATTTTATGAGCGTGTGCTGTTGTTGTTGTTGTAGTTCGTTCTCAGTGCTCGGCATAATGGAAGCTTTTTTCCAGCGTCTGGCATCTGTAATTATTAGGCAGGTGACCCGACATCCCTCCTCTCCTCCCTCTCGACTTGTTGAAAACTGCTCCTGCTCTGTATCCTTGCTGATTATTGATGGGCCCAATCTATATTTGGGTCGCACATAACCAGCCCACCCCACCCACTTAGTCCTCCCACACCAGCCCCAGCACCAGCACCTCGAGGTGAGCACCCACTTATATATAGGCTGGTGTCCTATTTTCGAGGTGTTTCAAGCCGGAATCGCTGCTGGCTTCTGCTCGCGGCGTGGGCAGTCGCTCTCTGCATTCTTGTGGGCTGGTTTCCAGACGTATTTAGATGCCCATATTTATAGACCCATTATTGGAGCACCAATCTGTCAGAGGCACTTCCAGATATGGACAGAACTTTAAAAATATTTCAATGGATTTCAAGAGGTGCTGGTAGTTCTACAACTTAATAGAATACTTGCTGGTTCCAAAGTACAGATCATAGTATTAGAAACCTGTCTAGTCCCCGAGTTCCTATAAACACACTAATTACACTGCCCTTCAGACAATAAAGCCACTGTTAGAGCCTCAACGTTAATGCTTTAGGAATTTCCTACTATTAGTTATTAATATATTCCCTCAATCCACCCGACAATAGTGCCTTTCATTTAAAAATAAATAACTATTCAGTTTCAAGGCCAACTAATTTATGGAAAATTATATAAATAATAGAACCATAGGATCGACTGATTTATGAAAATCCCAGGTCCCAGGCTCATCCGCCAGACTGGCCTCAGGGTTCCATCTTTCAGGACCAGATACATCCATTTGGAGACTTTCATTGGTTTTCATTCAAAAATACAACATTATTTGCCTCCTCTGACATGTTGGCGGGCAAGGTCTCTTCTGTCAGATAGGGGGAATTATTTGATAATTAATTTAAAGACAAAATAAAGAAAAAGTTCGACTATACGAGTCCACATGTCGCACTCACACTCACTCCAACACAGACACTTATCTAATCGAAATGTTTGTTATCTGGTGGGGGGCACACTATGATATCATTCTTGCCGAGTCTCCAAGCCAATCTCGACCTTCAGCATACTTATAAGTGAGTTCTTTTTTTTGTATTTTTTATGATAGAGACGGATCAGAATTTAAGCCAGAAGGCAGAGGCTGATTATGGCACGTGATATACACCCGATATACCATGAACTGTCGGCAACACCTGCTCTAGAATTGTTCAGATACAAGGATGGCTCTCGCAAGGGCCTTTGTTTTCGGGGGTTGGCCTCTATTTAACCCCCAAATGGTGGTTCAACGAACCTGCATCGGCCAGGGAGATGGTACAGAACCCAATGACCTTTATCGATTCAGAAAATAAAAGACACTCGGCTTCCGCATATAATAGATGTTATTTTTTCAATAATTAAGCACTGCAGTTGCACCTGTTGGCTGTCTTTTTTGAAAACTACCAGATACAAGCCAGCCAAGTCGAAATATTAGTACCCTAAGGGCAGTAAGTCATATAATTATTATCATCTTCCACAAATATTTATTTAAATTCTAAAATAACCGCCCTAATTAGCCTTCTATATATTCCAATTTGTTAATAAACACTTTTTAGCTATTTTCGGTTGGATATTTGTTTACACGATATATATCTATAAAAAGTATAAATGTTTCATTCGCACACACCCTTCCCGGTGGCTCGCTTGTTTATGACGAGATCTTTGAACTCGTTTCGCATTCTTTTGAATAACATTTTTTGGCTATTTCGGGACTGGATCAATATACAATCTCCAGAATCTATGGAGAATCGATGGGAAACCTAATAAATATCAAAGAACGCAGGTTGTTGGAGTAGGAGATCGGGGTGCGTGAGTAATTTGGCTTTGAAGACCTTGAGAAAAGCTGAAAAATCACAGCCAGAAATGAGATACTAGAAGAGCGTTCTTCCCATAAAAAAATAATATAGATGTATTTATAAGCGTGTGTTGGTGGAGAGAAGGGGTGGGGTGGGGTGGGGTATCTGTACATATATCTATATAAATATTTACACGCGGTGAGGCAAAAAGCACTTAGGCAGCAGCGGCACCCACTCTGCGAAATAAAAAAAAAAAAAAAGAAAAACATATTTCAACTGTTGCTGCTCACACACCCACTCCCACACACACACACACACACAATAGTACTTGCGACTTGGAAGAAATCGGTTAGCAAAATATTGGTTTTAATGCAAAGTCACAGTAACAGCTTTCAAATGGATGGCAAGACGGAGTGTCGAGATATTTTCAATCCAACTCTTTGTAAGGAAAAGAGAATGCTTTTACGTCTGTGGGGTCTTCTGAAACTCTAGTATTTGTTGTATTTTATGACTATATAGCATTGTACAACTTGAAACCTCTTTTCTTTAGGAGATATTGTCTAGAAAATGGATATTTAATCGCTCATAATGGATCTCCATCGCAGATTTATCACAAACCGGCAGCATCGTCTCTTAAAAACGAGCAGATTGAGATTCAACTAGATTGTTTTATACTTCAATGATTAGTAAGTCATATCTCCCAGATATTCTCTATATTCTCTCCTTTGTAAGGATTATAGAATGCCTCAAACTTCTTTAGAATCTCCTGAAACTCTTTTATTTTTTGTATTTCATGACTATATGGCATTGTACATCTTGAAACTGGGTTTAAACTACATAATATCTTGGAAATAGATCTATTTATGGACCTACAATGCATCTTTATGGCAGATAACGCTCTTATTTCTGACAAATGGGCAGCACCGCCTATTAAAAACATAATAAGAGACTTCACTTAGCTGTCGAATGGATATCCAGCTTTGTATCTTCCAGATATACTCAATCTAACTCTTTATCAGGATAATAGAATGCCTCAACCTCTATAGAATCAACTGAAACTCTAGTATCTTATGTATTTCATTCCCATCTTGCCTTACCAAACTCGAACCCGGCTCTAACCTACATAATCTCTACAAATTTGATACATGTATTTATTTATATCTTTTACCGATCTCTTATTTGTGACAAATTGGCAGCACCGTCTTCTAAAAACGGGACGAGAGACTTCAATTAACACCTCACCGCAGATATTTCGTACATTATATGGCGAGTATATAGACGTGCATGTATAATATGTGCATTGGCGACCGCAGATTAGATTAAATTTGTTATTACTTTACTCTAAGGCGGTTTGTCGCCGTCTTCTCCCCAAGGCCCCGCCCGAAACAGCTCTCTCTCTCTCTCGGAGAGTAATAAATCTTAATCTTTATTATTATTTCTTAAAGGGTTTTAACGGTTTTTAAATATTTCTATTTCGCTTCACTTGACTTGTGGGCCTGGTAACTCTATTTTTGTGGCCTATCGGCTTATCCCACTCTCTCTCTCTCCTGGGGTCTCTCTCCATTCATTTGTTCATTCATTCATTACTCTCACACCGCTGTTGCTTTGTCTGTTTGTTTGTTTGTTTGCATCACTACATCACTACAATAAAAATAAAACAAAAGGAATAATAATAAAAACTAGTTGTGGTTAAGCCTCTCTCTCCATACCGGTTTTCCTTAATTTTTTTTTTTCTTTTTTCTACTTTTTTTGCCGTTGCTTTTTACTGTGCAATTTAATTGGCAGTTTCTATTGTTGGAGCCTCTTCTGGAAAGTAAACATGCAAAGGCAGTTAGCAGTTAGCTTGGTTAGCGCGAGAAAGGCCACTTTCGTGCAGTGGCTCTCGCCGAATTCCATGACGTCACAAGCATCGAAAGACGTCATCAATTGATTACAGGTGGGAGTGGGAGTGCGAGTGGGCCACTGGGTGGTCGATAGACCATAGCAGAGTTGCAACTGCGTCGCAAAATAATTCAATAACCACAACAAAGCCAGCTAGCCTCCTAAAGTGGTTAGATCATGAACGAAAAAAATTAAATAATAAATGAATTAAAACGATGCTGATGCCTGGCTTGTTTATTCAACTTTCTACTAATTGTTTTCAGTGCATTTCCAAGGTGGAATAAAGAAAAAAAAACACTTCTCAAAGTCAATCGGCTTGTTCCAGTTAAAATAATAAAATAGAGCGACTTTAGCCAGTTGGTTGGCCAGTTCCAGCAATTATATTGACCGCAATACACACAGTGCACGAAAGGTCAACTGGGGAGGAGTACTGGAGTGGGTTGGGTGGGGGGGAGGTAACTTCTTGGCAGCGGACAAGTGTCCTTTCGTCTTTGTTGTGACGCCGCAGCGAAGGATGACTCATTTCTGTTTTCATTCCCCAGAGCTGCGTTTTTTTTCGCGTTTTCTTACCTTTGTCATTGGGATAGCTGGGATAGACGTTCAACTGCTCATCGTCGCGGGAAACTTGCGTGATTATTGATGTTGCATCCATTTAAGCACTCGATTGTGGCTCCAGCTCCAGGGTTGCTTAACAGGTTGACAGATCGGTTCGGATCAGAATCGGATCGGATCGGATCGGATCAGAATCGGATCATATAGCTGCAAAATTTGGCACACACATGAAAAATTATCATTTTTTGAAGTGATGTGATTTTTTCGCGAGACATTTTTTCATGTTTCTTGTTGTTTCATTTTTCTTCTCTTATATATATAAGTGTATATAACCACACACACCAATTGATATATATATATGAACCGCAATAAGCAACAGCAACAACAGGCTGCCCCAGACAGTGGAATTTTACAATTCCGCTTCGTTTTATTTTTCGTTCGCTTCACACAGAATGCAAATGGGTTTTCCCTTTGATATTCACCTCTCTTTCGCTCTCGCTCAGGCTCAGGCTCACGCTCGCTCTTCGCTCTCACTTCCTCTATGCACAATAATGCACTTTCGCCTTCGCTTTTTTCGCCTTTATTTTAATAAAAACTCTGCGATATTCGATTAAAAAACACTTTCTTTTCCGTCGCTCTTGTTTTCAGTCGTGCTCATTCTTTTATTTTTCATCTATCCGCGTCTGCTATTTGCACACAGCTTCGCAGCGTTTTATTTATAAACGCCCACACTCACACACTCGAGCACTCACACACACGCACGCACTCTGACTCGGCCGCTGATTTCGGATGTTGGATCCTCGTTATTCAATTTTTCGCACTCGATTGCCCTATTCGCATCTTGCGCCGCCCATTAATCGTAGTTCATTAATTAATCTCGGAAAAAAACAAAACGCGTGTTTGCCGAAAAAAAGTAACAGGAATAACAGCGCAAAAACAAAAATTGTGGCCAAGTGTGACTGCGGTTGCTACCAGCCGAAATGCCTAGTATTTCCCATAATGTACTAAATATGCCATGTAATTGGCGGTACATGCTGAAGAAATACCATAAATGGATGAAGAAATTGTCTCCCATCTCTAGTTAAAAGTTTATTGTTTTTTTAAATGTGTCAAGTTAAAAACTATTTTATTAAAATGATTAATCAAATTAATTATTAATTTATATTTTAAAAATTAAATTAACTTTTGCAAATTTAATAAAGCTTAAAATAGACTTTTAAAAAGTCAGCCCCACATTATTCAGCGATCTGGTAGCTCTGGATCCGCCGGATTGTTGTTACGCGACCAACTTTTTATGTTTTATTCTTAGCTGAATTTATAAAAGAAATTGTCTAAAATGTTGGCTTTATGCAACGTCCAGAGGCTGGGTCTGAGGTAGGCCATCAAATCAGAACATCAAGGCTTTTATCTGAATGGATATCCCCACAGATCCCTGCTGCCTGCTGTTTCAAAAAACGTGGGATTGGCCAGCTACTCCTCCAAGTCGAAAGACGACGACGGCTATTCCTCGTCGGATGATGAGAAGCCATCCAAAAAGAAGGAGAAGCCCGTGGAAACGGCAGCCCAGAGACTAAATCGCCTGCTGGGCACAATGCAGGCCACGGATCGGCTCTCCGGGGCAGATTTTCCTCGCCCTGGCGATGCCAACCGGAGGAAACGAGAGGCTCAGAAGCAGGAAGCTGCCTCTAAGAATGTCCTGACTGCAGCCAAAAACATTGCCAGCATGCTGGGCACCAGCGAAAGCGAGAAGAAGCAGACGGAATCAGAGCTGTTGGCCAAACTCCTGGGACATGGCAATGAATCAGCTCCGGCTGCATCTGGCGATGCTCAGGCTGCGGATTCAGCACCGGCTGCATCGTCGGAGAAAGATCTTAACCTGAGGTACAAATGGATTGGTTTGAATTATGTTTAATCCTTAGCTCAATCCATTCCCCAGTGACCTAATCGTGGGCATGAAAATCGATCGTCGCCAACAGCCGCAGGACGAACAAACTCGAGGGGAATACGTGCGTCGTTCCTTGGCTTCCCGGCCTAAGCCGAAACACTCGGACCGCCAACAGCAGCGTCCGCAGAGACACATCAAGCGGGAAGCAGAATCCTTCACAGGCAGCGTCAACCTGTATGGCGGCGATGGCCTGGGCATATTCAAGGATACCCAGCTTCCCAGCTCCACCGACATTCTGACGACATGGTCGCAGCTGAGTGAACGGGAATTGAGTCTCCACGCAGCCCATCCGCCAGCCAACTACTTCGAGCAGATGGTCCTGTGGACGGACCAGAAGAAGGTGTGGCGCTTCCCCATCAACAACGAGCAGGACTGGACTGACGAGGTGGACGTCGACTTCTCGGAGCACATCTTCCTGGAGCAGCACCTAGAGGACTGGTGTCCGGACAAGGGACCGATACGGCATTTCATGGAGCTCGTGTGTGTGGGTCTCTCTAAGAACCCCTATGTGACGGCCCAGGAGAAGAAGGACCACATTCTGTGGTTCCGCGACTACTTCGAGGCTAAGAAGGACATTCTCAAGGATCTGATGAACAAGGAGCCGGCCAAGAGTATTTCCGCATAATCATTGTTTTGTTGGAATATTTGTTAAAAATATATTTTGCTTTTTAAGACCATTGATATATAGATTTATATACTTTTGTGGATATATTCATGTTTGTGTCTGTTTGTATAAGAGGGTGATCCGATATATAATCCTAATACTTCGAGAGCTGTGCAGACTGTGCGCGGAATGTGTCGGCCGGGCAGGCGCTTCAGAATAGCAGGATGCGCTTCTCCACCGTCTTGCGGCAGATCGGGCAGCCTTCGATTTGGTCGCCGCACATCTGGCAAGTCCCATGGCCGCACAGGAAGACCATGTTCTTGATGCGATCGAAGCAAACGGGGCACATGGTCTGGAAAAGATAAGATTAGTAATGGAATGGAAGGGAGTAGGATCTACTGGGATTTACCTGTTCCTTGATGTCCTGCAACTGTTGCTTCAGCTTCTGCACATCGTCCATCTGGAAGTTGTTGACATTGGAGGGGGCCACCAATCCACTGCCCGCTGCCTGGATGTTCGAGACATTCGAGGCGACCGCCGCAGCCGCCAGGAGATTGTTCTGGCTATTTAGCTGGTTGCTACTGCCCGCCACCGGAGTCACCACAGTGTTGTTCATGGCCACGCTATGACCGGAGGCATTGGCACAGGGGGCTACCACCTCCGGGAATCGTTCTTCGGGCGGCGGGAGACCCACAGCCCCTCCAGCTGCCGCGGTGACCTTCTCGGGCCGGCCGATGCCACCGCAACACAGGCTAAATGAGAGGATTTCATCGATCTGGGTGCGACACAGGACGCACTTCTTCATCAGGGCGCTGCAGTGTTCGCAGGCCACCATATGGCCGCAAGGGCGGAAGAACACGGCCGCTCGGCGATCGGAGCACACCAGGCACTCGTCGATCTTCTCGCGCGACGACACGGTCTCCCGGCAGATCAGGCACTTCTTCACCCGCGGGGCGCAGGTCTCGCAGCAGCTCACATGGCCACAGGGCTTGAAAACCGTGTCCCGCTTTGCGTCGGAGCACACCAGGCACTCGTCCAGGCTGGCTGACGACTTGGGGGCATCCGCATGCAGGGACTGGCTCATTTCGTTGCTCACTCCATTCAGCCCGAAGTTGGAGGCGGAGGAGGAGCTGGCCAACGGCAAGCTAGCCGACGACGACTGGGGCAGGGTGCCACTGGCAGCCCTCGCCCTGGCATTCAAGCTGGTGCCGGCCACATTTCCGGGTAGCTCGGTGTCGTCTGTCTTCCTCTCATTATAGCACTTTACCAGAGTCTTGCAGAGATTGGGGTCCGGGCACAGGTCCAGGGGCGTCTGCTGCTTTCTGTTCTTCAGAGTAAGGTCGGCCCCATTGGCCGCCAGGAAGCAGGCGATCGAGGCAGAGGCCTTCTTGTTGTTGGCATTCCGAAGGCCCATCAGAAGCTTGCCGAATCCCTCCACGTCCTGCAGCTGCTTCAGCTGCGAGAGAGTGTGGTGCCTGAGAGCTTCATGGAGGGGAGTGTCTCCATCCTTGTCGGGTATGTTCAGGTCGGCCCCATCCTGCACCAGCAGCTTGACGATCTGGACGTGCTGGCGCTCCACGGCCAGGTGCAGGGCCGTCTGGAGATTCACATTCTGCCTGTCCATGTTGGCCTTGCCCATGTGCACCAGCAGCTCGGCGATCTCCACATGGTTGTTGAGGGCCGCCAGGTGGAGGGCGGTGTAGCCGTCGTCCTTCTTTTCCTCCACGATCCAGGGACGATTGGTCTTCGTCAGCAGGATCTTCATGGCGCTGGGATTCCCCTTGAGAGCGGCGTGGTGCAGAGCATTGAAGCCGTTGTTGTTGTTCAGCGTGATGTCTGCTCCGAAGTCCAGGAGCAGGGACAGCATTTCGTCGTGCTCCTTGGATATGGCATCGTGCAGGGGCGTGTCCCCCTCGGAGTCCTGCAAGCTGGGATGGCAGCCCAGCGTGAGCAGGGTCTTCACCACGTTCAGATGGCCTTTGTTCACGGCGATGTGCAGAGAAGTCTGCCGCCGCTTGTTGCGCGCGTTCAAGTCCGCGCCAGCTTTGGCCAGGATCTCGATCACGGCCGCCTCGTCTCCGAAGGCCGCGTGGTGGACCGCGCGATCTCCGTCCTTGTCTTCGATCTCCACATCCACTGAATGGCGCAGCAGGACCTGGATCACCTCAATGTGACCGTTCTGGCTGGCCGCCTGCAGGGCCGTGTGTCCGGCGAACACGCCATTCACATTCACATCGGGGCCAGAGCTGGGGGAGGCACTCGATGTGGACGGTTGCCCCCCAGCGCCAGCCAAGTACTCCTCGCAGCGGGCCTAAGGGCAAAGGTCAAAGGTTAAAGTGTTTCTGAGAATCGATTATTCCAAACTCACCGAAAATCCGTTGGCAGCCGCCTTGACGAACTCCTCCGTGGCATCCCCCGAGACATTCGGTTCGAACAGTTTTTTGAGAATCGCCGAGAGCCTTTCCCCGCTTGGAATGACCGGAGCACAGCTTCCGTCGGTGGCCGCAGAGGAGGCCACCTTGCAGACGGCCAGGGGGTTGTAGGTCCACGAGGTGTTGCCGACCTCCACCTTGAGGTCGTTGTCGTGGTAGACCTGCTGCACGCGTCCGATCTTCCCCAGCGTCAGCTGCATGGCATCTGCCCACTCCCCGTGCCCGCGCTGCAGAATCTTGATGCTCTCCACGTCGGAGCATATCTTGACAATGTCGCCCACCTGGAACTCGGGCGGAGCGGTTGTGGGCGAGGATACCTTTGTGAGAACCGCCGGGTTGAAGGTCCAGCGATTGCCCGAATTGTAGGCCACCACTATGTCGTGGTCCTCGTCTATGCCGACCACCATCCCGGCGTTGCTCAGGCACTCGAACATGCCATCGGTCCATCCACCGTGTCCGTGCTGCAGGGACTGGACGATTTCCAGGTCCAGGTCCACGGTGACCTTGTCGCCGATCTGGAAGCCGTGCGGCCCCTTTCCAGGGCCATTCTCGCCCAGCAGGGGCAGGTGGTCTCTGTAAACATTGCTGCCCTTGGCGTCGTTCACCACCTTGAGGTCGGCCATGCCCTCGAAGCCCACCCGGTAGAGATTCTTGGAGCCATTGTCCCAGATCACGTAGGCGGCCGATCGCGGCGAGGCCGAGGACCAGTCCTGGATCTCGTTGACCTTCCCGCGACGACCGACGCCGCCGTCCTGGTCCTCCCACTGCCAGTCCACGCCGCGCACCACCCGAGCTCCGGGAAAGATGCCCCGGGCCAGGACCTTCTTGGACTTGCGGCGCGGTTCCAGCATGGTTCGCTCGCCGCCGGGCGTGGTGATCCTGTAGAAGCGATGCCTCAGGTGGTGCTTGTCTCCGTGGTAGCAGATGGAGCACAGGTCGTAGTTGATGCACTCGGCGCACTTCCAGCGTATCCCGAAGATGGGCTGCTGGCGGCAGGTGTCGCACATGGTGCCCTCGTGTTTCACGCCAGTGGGAGCACTGTCCAGAATGCGGAGATCGTAGGCTCCGGCGCAGCGGTAGTTGGCGGCAGTCCCGTTGTCCCAGACTACGACCACCTCCTCGGCGGACTCAAAGTTGCGCACAGTGCCGACGTGTCCTTCACCGCCATCCTGTGGGATTACAAAATAAGAGTATTAGTCAGTGACTAGTTAGTTACTTTGTCTTGTGACTTTTAGTTGCATAAGCAAAAACGCACGCTGATTAGGATGCGAAAACTGTGTCGAAAACTGTGGTTGAAGTGCATAATCACAACTGAGCCAGTGTTAGGGCAGGCAGGCCCTAGTAGTGCCGGCTATCTCCCAGATCTCAGAGAGATCTAGAGGCATTATTTAGCCTCGAAGATGAGCACACCCAGTGTTTCAAAAGGGGTATATTACCTAACCAGCATACCCTGTCTACGAAATCCTATTGTTTACTGAAGCACTTGCTCCACTTGACACCATTACTTCAAATCCTCCTCCTATGGTCTTCTTTCGATGAAGCTCACTTCTCAAATTATCTTCAAGACAAAGAAAGGTATCCAATAGACACTACATATATGGCTTGACTGAGTTTCGGTTCCATTTTTTGTTAATTAATTACCGAGCGAATACTTCAACTCTTTCTAGTTTTCCTTGAACTTCAAAATGGTTCTTACTCAGTAGGGCACTGACTTGAAAGTCTCTCTGCAATTTAATTAATATTTCCACTGTTTTGATTAGCGTATTCCAGATAGTGTGTCACTAGATACGACTCTTGAAGAGTATGAATCACGAATGACTGATCAACACCGTCTTAGATGTGTGGACTTTCGTATCTCAGAACCAACACTGAGACTGGCACTCGAAAAGGAGCGCACATGGACACTGGCACACTTGGTTTTTAGGCCAACGGCTCTCGGCTCACTTTCATATTAGACTGGCTAGGCTAGGCTAAGTAGAACGTTTTTACTTTATGGCATCTTGTGGTGAAAACTTGTGGTTTGTCGCCTAACCGGAATCGATTCACTTAGGCTTGCAATTAAACCAATTGAGCGCGCGACCAATTGCCTGACCAAAAACTTGACCTCACCTGCTTGTTCCATTTCCAGTCCGGTCCGCGAATCACCCGGGCCCCCACTCCCTCCATGGAGAAACGCCTGGCGACGGCCGCCGCCGCACCTGCCCCGCCGTTGGCCGTTGCAGTGGACGATGAAGTTGTGCTGCCTGCAACCGAGGCACCGCCCCCGCCTCCCGATGCACCGCTCACTACCACACCCACAGCCGTCGATTGCTGTGCACCCGTGTTGGTGTTTGTTGGTGCTCCGCTGGCATTAGCATTGGCACTCGCGTTCGCCGCGTTAGTCGAGTCCTTTGAGTTGGGTAGGCTGGCTGCGCAGGACATATTTTCCACCGCCGGACGCACGTTCGGTGGTTGATTAGCTTTTACTCGCGTGGGTAACCAATGTCGTGGGTTTTCTCGCGTCGATAATCAGAGCCAAGGAATTTTTACAACCTGCACGAGTCAGTGTGACCAACAAGTGTGAGTAGCGAAAAATACTGATGGCCAGCTGAAGATACCGCGTCCATAAAAAATACCAGAAAGTGTTTTCAAAATAATCCGTTGATGTTTTTTATAAAACTTTATTAGATAATTTTAAATATAAAACTTAATTTGTATATTAAAGATGTATGTATTTTTCATTAAAATGGTCATATTTTGTACAATGGTTCCTGGACATCAACGAGATGTAGAGGACTTAAGAACTAACTATAAACTGCTCGGGATTGGGTAGAAATGCCTCAAGAAAGGCAATTCCTTTTGGGAGATGCTGAATTTGTTCATCAAAGTGATGAAAAGACGGCTCTACGATGTCTCTGAAGGATGTCTCATCAATGTTGGATATCTCTATCAGGAAGTTGGTCTTCTCATGGCGGGTTATCTGTCCCTCGACGATGTCCTTCCACACCGTCTTCCGAACAACATTTCGATTCGCTTGTCTGTTGAACATAAAATATTAATAATATGTTTAAATATTTAATATACTATTAATACCTCAAAAGTCTGGCTCCTGTCGCCGCTAGAAGGGTCAATAGTTTGTTCAGAGTCCTCTTGACCTTTTCACAGCTTTGGTCGATGCGTTTCAGGAACTTCAGGAAAGCCTCCTCGTTGCTTCCCTCCATTGCACTGCTTAGATTCACGGGGAGGTTGAGACTCAGCTGGAAGTCCTGGTAGTGGTAGAACACCGACCATCTGTGCTTCGGAATGGCAACATCATTGTCCAGCGAGATGGAGCTGACGCGTATCGATGTCTCCTCGACATCTAGGACTTCGTATTTCACCACAATCCGAAATGTGGGCAGTAGTCGGTGGTAGAATATCAGTTGCCGCGAGCTCTTCAACTGGTAATCGAAGATCCAGTTGGGTTGCTGGCTGGTCAGCAGGCGACTCAACCGATGGAAGAAGGATTCCCTGGACTCGGCAACAGTCCTCTCCTCAATAATCATCGTAGGACCTTTTAGTGTTCTGAAGTGAAAGCAGTGACTAAGTATCTCTTTTAATTTTAATCCAATCCCTCTACATACCTCTTGAATTTTACCATAAGACCTGGCACACTCCACGACTCGGCCTCCTCCACCGACTCATTGACTCGCGCCTCCAGGGCGTGCATCTGTCGCTCCTTTTCCCTGAGTTCCCAGTTTTTGTGCACCTCTGAGAGAGTCGGTTTGCTCCTCAGTCGCTTCAGGGTCTGCAACTCCTTGGAGAAGTCCCACGGATCATGATAGGGCAGCGCAAATGAAATGGAGCGCAGCTCGGTTTCGTTCATGGACCGCCTGCAGTTGCGACACCTCCGGCAGGAGCCACTGCTTCCGGCCACAACCGCCGCCATCTGGGGCTCTTCACAGACCTCTGGTTCCGGTTCCTGCTCCTCCCCGTTGGCCGTTTCCTTTTCCATGGTGGATACCAAACTGATCTTTTCGTTGTCCAGCTGATCATCGTGCTCATCCGCATCCAGATCGATGGTCTCCACAGCAGGCGGAGTTCCAAATATGTTCCAGTTAACAATTATGCGGCTTCTTTCAGGCTGAAAGTCCCTTACCAGCTGCACGGAGTCATCCAGCTTGAAGGTTCTGCGGATTGGAATGCGTGACTTGTTCGGCTCAGGCACCTCAACCTCTGGTAAGTCTTCTTCGTCCAACTCCATGTTACTATCCGAGAAGAGCTGGGTGTTTCGCTTCTTGGACCCTGGAAGATTGGGCGTCAGGTGATTGGGCAGTCGCTTCAGATTCCCTTGACCCATTGGGGTGCCGAATCGGGATGCGTTTGCTTCCAAAACCATCTCCACAATGGTGCGTTGTTTTTGGTGGCGACTCGGCGTCTTGCAGTTCTGCTCCTCCTGCTCGAAGTCGGTAAGGGAAAGCCGAGGGGTGAAGGCAAACGACTTGGTGTTCCTCACGGTTCTCTGCGGGCTTTGGAAGTCCATGGTGTGTTCCATAGCTACTTTTTCCTCATGATCGTCCACGATTTCCTCCACATCGATGGGCTCTGCTGAAACAATGGTTTTTCTGGATTTCGAGGACCTGATTGGCTCCTGTGGCTTGGCTGCTTCTTCCTCTTCTATGGCTTCTGCCATCACCAGCGTGTGCCTGGCCTTGAAGGATCTACCAACCTCCGCCTTGGGGTTTTCCAATGGCCTGTCCAACTGCTCCAGATCTAGAGGTTCTGGGGCAACAATAGTTTGGCGCCCTTTGGAGGACTTGTAAGTGGCTACAGTATTTGTTTGCTTTCGCTCCCAACTAATGGATTCCAATCCAGACATTTCCATATCCTCGTGACCACTTAGTGGTGCAGACGCAGCTTGTCTGGAAAAGGACTTGTGGCTGGCTTCCTCTTTGGGCCTGAAAAGAGCATGTCTTAACTTTGAATGAGGCGGGGAAGCCTCTTTGGATGGGACATCATCGGTTATAGCTTGGTAACAATCCTGTGGCTTTGGCTCGTCAGATTCCAGGTCGATAGTTTCTTCCAAAAGCATAGTCTGTCGTGACTTCTTCTTGGAAAGGACCTTTTCTTCGACACGCACTGTCTTATTGGACTCCTCTTCTATAGGTTCCTCCAAGGCAAGAGTCTGTCTGGTCCTAGTTTTAGGGTATTGAGGGATTGGTTCATCCTGCTTAGTGATTTGTTCCTCCATGGAGTTCTCCAAAGGAAGAGGTATCTGGCGGTTATCCTCTTCCATGGATTCCTGAAGCAGCAGAGTCTGCCTTGATTTGGTTTTTGGATTTGTTTTTTCAAGGACCTTTGGAAATTCTCGTGCTATCTCATTCGTTTCCTCTTCCATGGAGACTTCTAGTTGCAGCGTCTGCCGTGATCTGGTTTTGTGATTCTGGACAAGATGGGTATCCCTTATTTGTTTAATGGACTCCTCCAAACGGGGACGAGAACCTATATCTTCCTCCATGGATTCCTGAAGAAGCATAGTTTGCCTTGACTTAAGCTTCGAAGGGGGAAGTGCTGGAGCACTATTTTGATTAGCTTCCTCCTCTATGGGTTCCACCAGGAGAAGGGTCTGCCTGTTTTTGTTTGGCTTTTGCTGCACCATCTGAGAAGCAGCAGTCTGTTCTGAATGGTTCTGGATGGACTGGATCTTTGGGCGTGAAGGCACCTCCTCTTCCATAGATTCCTCAAGAAGCAGAGTCTGTCTTGGCTTGAGCTTGGAATGAGCTATTGGAGGACCTCTCTTGGGTTGTTTGCTCTTCTCTTCCTCTATGGGTTCCTGTAGGAGAAGAGTCTGTCTGTTCTTGGATTGCTTTGGAGGAACAGTTGGAATAGATTCTGGAATACTACCAGTTTGGTTCTCCGATTCCTCTTCCATAGGTTCCGCCAATAGCAAAGTCTGTCTGGATTTGGTCTTTGGATATGAAACTGGAGGATCAATAGGATTACTTAAGATTTCCTCTTCGATGGGTTCTGATGCGAGAAGTGTCTGTCTTTTGGATTTCGGATGCGAAATCACGGATTTTGGGGCAACAACCTCCTCCTCTTCTATTTTCTCAGACATGATGAGAGTCTGTCGTGGCTTGGAACGTGGTTCAAATGAAGGAGACTCTATCTCCTCTATAGGTTCTGTCAAAAGAAGAGTCTGCCTTGACTTCGATTTGGTTGGAAGAGCTGATGGGTTGTTCGAATCTTTGCCCTTTTCCTCGTCTATGGGTTCCGCCAAAAGCAAAGTCTGTCTTTGTTTTGACTTGGAATTGGTGGACACAGGAGGCGGAGCATTCGTTTCCTCCTCCATGGGCTCATCTTGAAGTAAAGTATGCCTCCTCCTAGCTTGGTTTTGCGGCAGAGTCGGCATGTTTCTAGGTTCCTCCTTCGCTTTCTCAGCTTCGTTTTCCTCCTCTATGGAGTCCGACATAATTTGGGTCTTTCGCGACTTGGAGCGGGTCATGTATGTGACCTTCTCCTCGATGATAGGCTCTTCCGAAACCAACGTTTTCCCTGACTTTCCCTTGCTATAAGAACTGTTTGTTTCAAAGTTCACATCTTCTTCCATGGGCTCTGTTGCCAATATAGTTTGCCTTGGCTTGGATTTATTCTGGGGAGCTGGAAGTTCCTTTAAAGGACTTACATCTTCCTCGACGGGTTCTGCGACGCAAAGTGTATGTTTGGCTTTCAAGCTGCCTTTCGGATGGTTGGGTTTTAGGTAAAGTTCCTTAAGGGGACTAACGATGTCCACCTGCATGCAATCGTCCATCAATAAAGTCTCTCTGCGTCTAGTCTTAGTGCACTCCCACACGGTAGTTTTGTGGTGGTTCTGGTCCTCCGTAACTGTTTCTTTTTGGACCACAACTTCCTCATCAATCTCTTTTCTCACATGAGGAGCTTTCACACCTTCCTGATCGATACTCTCGTTGAGGAGCAAGGTTTGACGACTCGGGAGACGCGCTTTGGACTGATCCGGCTCATCCAACCTATTTGAGATGCCCAATCGGGGAAAATCCAACACAGAGTTGTCGAATGTGGCCTCTCTTCTGGTGGAGTTCTTAGAAGTGTTTCTGGACTGAGTCTCATCGCCTAATTTCGCGTGGGCCAGGAAGTTTGTGTTGTCCAGCATTAGTTCGTCCGCCTGGGAGAAGCGATACTTTCGTTTATCGTCCGCTACCTGCAGCTTGTCTTTTTCCTTTGGAACAGGAGTGGCTGGTTCCGGCGACATCATCATATTCTCACTAAAGTTCAAGGTTCCTCGCGGTTTAATGTTTCGCATATCTCTGACAGGTCCTGGATCATCCGCTTGATATGCTTCGAAACCTTTCCAAACTCGCGGGTTCTTGGAATCGGTGTTTGGGGTTTTCGGACCGTTGGGAAATATTTGGATTTTTCCGGCTTCCAGCTCATCGTTTAGTTGCTGGAAATTGATCTTTTTGCTTATGTTGGTGCCGGCGATCATGTCCAGGGGTATGAGAACCGATTCATCCTTAAAGTGGATAGTGCTATTGTTGCTCGAAAATGTGTTATTCTCCGGCGTCTTGTCTCTGTCCTCGGAAACTGCAAAAGTTTATCTAGAATTATACTGAAAATAGAGAAGAATGATGAAAAATACGAACCATTTAGAGAACAGTCGAAGAATATATCCACAGGATCGTTTTGCGTTTGGCTCTTAGCCTCTTTTTCCTCCTCCATATCCATGAAAATAGATTTCTGAGTGGGAACCTGGTTTTCCTTGTCTTCTTGGACGTTACGTTGATTTTCCTTCTCCGTTTCCAGTTCCATGAAACTGTGATGTGTCGGAGGGACAGGAGCTGCAGTGGAAGCCATTCCAAGTGGCGTGATATCCATGAACGAGTCACCAATGCTTTTGGTAGCCGGTTTACTTGAAAATCCTTCCGTTTCCACAGATACCTTCACAGATAAGTTCTTGGCAGTCCTGCTTACCAAAGATCCAGACATCAAGTCCATGGTCTTGTCCATAATGCGGCTGTTGTACAAATGGTTATGCATTTTGCTGCGCTCATCGCTGGATAGGAGAAGGCTGTCAGCATGCAGGGAGTCCTGGACAATGGGAGTGAAGGCTTTGCGGGGATTCCGGTGAGTTAGTTCGCAGGGCAGCAAGGTCACATCGATGCTGGTCTGCAGATTCAGTGTGCTATCGATGTGAACACTTGTGTTGGTAATGGGCACTTGGATTGGGATATTTTCCTTGTGGGCACTATGGGACGCCTGGTGGGCGGATGAGTTATCCTCCCCAGTCTGGGGATCAGATACTTCGCAGGAGTAGTCCCAGTTCTTCTGTTCCTCAGTGTCCACGAACTCTCTGCATATGAAGGGGAAACCATTATCATGCAATCCTTAGAGACGCTGGTGGAATCTGTACTTACCTCACGGACTTCTTGCCACTGAAACTGATGCGTTTTTTGATTCGCAGAGCTGTAGTTGTATGATCATCGTCGTCAGTAGGCGCCTTGCGCAACTATGGATTAGGAATAATGTGTATTATTATTTAAATTGTTTGATTTTTAAACAAAAGCACCCACCGAACTCCTGGGCTTATTTTTAAACATTTTTGCTGTTAAGAAATGTTTTGGGTTTGAACTCTCATTGGACAGACGCCGCCAGTTTTGTGTGAATGCCAAAACAGGGCTGCCAACTCGTTATAAATTGAAAAGGCATTTTAAAATATTCGGTCACACCAAAATATTTTAAAATTGTAATTTTATTATTGATTAAATTTTAAAAATAATGTAGTTTTGATTTAATGTTTAACATTTTAAAAATTTTTGTAACTTGCCATAAATACAGTAAATTTTATTAACCGTTTAAATCCAATAATCACATATTTAAGACTAAAAAATGAAATTTAAGAGATAAAAAAAATGCTCAAGCTTTGAAGGTGTCCTTCTCCTTGCGCAGCGTGCCCATGACACTGATCGGATCGGTAGCACCGCCGGCATGCTTCTGGACAGCGGCCTCATGGACACGCATAAACGGATTCCAGGTCTTTTCCTCGGCAATGGTGGATGGCACCGTCGGATCCTGAGAGGCTCGGCGATGCTTGGCCCACTCGATGCGCTGTTGGATGACCTCATTATCCGGCTCCACATGCCGAGCGAAGCTCATGTTTTGTAGAGTATATTCGTGTCCACAGAAGACTTTGGTGTTGTCCGGAAGAGCGGAGAGCTTGGTGCACAACGCCTCGTACATCTCCTCGGGAGTGCCCTCAAAGAAGCGACCGCAGCCTCCCTGGAAGAGGGTGTCACCGGTAAAGACGGCTCCCTCGCCAGTGCCATCGGCCGTTGTGACATGATAGCAGATGTGTCCAGTGGTGTGGCACGGGGTGGAGAGGCAGCGCACCTTTAGATTGCCGATGGTGAGAGAATCGTCCTGTTGCACTTTGCGGTTCAAGGCACCGATTCTGTCGTCTCCCCCATACACCTCCAGCTCCTTGGGCCATAGCTTGACCAACTTCTCATTGCCACCGGCATGATCCCAGTGATGATGGGTGGTCAAGACCTTGTTCAAGGTCACCTTCTCCTCCTCGACGGTTTTAATGACTAATTCTGGCTCCACGGGGTCCACAATGGCGGCCTCACGGGTCTTAGTGTCCACAATTAGGTACATGTAGTTGTCCTGCAGGGCCGGCAGGATCTTGATCTCCATGCCCTCCAGTTTAACGTCCTCCAAAGTGCTGTGCATGCCTCTGAATCCTACTTTGCGTAGCTTTTGAACTGCAATCAGAGGGAAATTAACATATGTACTCCAAATTTGCACAAAAAGGCGGAAAAACAAGCAAACAAAAATCAACGACCAAATGGGGGAGAGAACGTTGGGAAGAGGGGCAGAGATTAGATTAAACACATATGTATAGATAGATTACGCTTGACAAGACTTGGACAGACGGGCACAGCCAGATATCGTCTCTGCATGGATCCGCCACCAGATGGAACCGCCGCGAGCCGCTGGAGGCACCGCAAAGTGGACGAACCTCGGAAATAGGCGGCGGTCAAGTTGGTCTCCACCGAGGTGGACACGCTACGCCACGCGGACGACAGCATTGCTAGAATCTAATATGTGTGCAGGATGAATAAATTATGGCCACCAAACCGTATTTACTGTTGTATCTCTCTTCCTTTTGGGAAAAGTTGATCTGGAAAAGTGCCGAAAAATGATAATATTCCAGGGTTACCTGAATACAAAAGCTTTTCGCGCTGTACAGTACTAAAGTTTAGATTGCAGAATAGTGTCTTATCCAACACTAACTAAAATGCGCCAATTTTAAACTTTTAATCAATGCTGGGATCATTTTCAAGGGATCCCTTTCAAAAGTGGACAAAAAATCTAAAAAATATTTTGTCTCATGATTTTGATGCAGAATGGTGGAGAATCGATCTAGAAATCGTTTAAGGTACTCCGCTTGAGAATCGGATGAGAATTGGGGAAGATATAGCCATCGCCGTGAACCCTATAGGGGAAAACCCCATTTTCAAGGCGTCCCATCATGAAAAATGGACAAAAAATCTAAAAAATATTTTGTCTCAGGATTTTGATGCAGAATGGTGGAGAATCGATCTAGAAATCGTTTAAGGTACTCCGCTTGAGAATCGGATGAGAATTGGGGAAGATATAGCAATCACTGTGGGCCCTATGGGGGAAAACACCATTTTCAAGGGATCCCATCACGAAAAATGGACAAAAAATCTAAAAAATATTTTGTCTCAGGATTTTGATGCAGAATGGTGGAGAATCGATCTAGAAATCGTTTAAGGTACTTCGCTTGAGAATCGGATGAGAATTGGGGAAGATATAGCAATCACTGTGGGCCCTATGGGGGAAAACGCCATTTTCAAGGGATCCCATCACGAAAAATGGACAAAAAATCTAAAAAATATTTTGTCTCAGGATTTTGATGCAGAATGGTGGAGAATCGATCTAGAAATCGTTTAAGGTACTCCGCTTGAGAATCGGACGAGAATTGGGTAAGATATAGCCATCACTGTGGGCCCTATGGGGGAAAACGCCATTTTCAAGGGATCCCATCACGAAAAATGGACAAAAAATCTAAAAAAAATATTTTGTCTCAGGATTTTGATGCAGAATGGTGGAGAATCGATTTGGAAATCGTTTGAGGTACTCCGCTTGAGAATCGGATGAGAATTGGTGAAGATATAGACATTACTGTGGGCCCCATAGGCGAAAATTCTATTTTCAAGGGATCCCATAACGAAAAATGGAAAAAAAATCCAAAAAATATTTTGTCTCAGGATTTTGATGCAGAATGGTGGAGAATCGATCCAGAAAACGTTTAAGGTACTCCGCTTGAGAATCGGATGAGAATTGGGGAAGATATACCCATCACCGTGAACCCTATAGAGGAAAACCCCATTTTCAAGGGATCCCATCACGAAAAATGGACAAAAATCAAAAAATATTTTGTCTCAGGATTTTGATGCAGAATGGTGGAGAATCGATCTAGAAATCGTTTAAGGTACTCCGCTTGAGAATCGGACGAGAATTGGGTAAGATATAGCCATCACCGTGAACCCTATAGGGGAAATCACCATTTTCAAGGGGTCCCATCACGAAAAATGGACAAAAAATCTAAAAAATATTTTGTCTCAGGATTTTGATGCAGAATGGTGGAGAATCGATCTAGAAATCGTTTAAGGTACTCCGCTTGAGAATCGGATGAGAATTGGGGAAGATATAGCAATCACTGTGGGCCCTATGGGGGAAAACACCATTTTCAAGGGATCCCATCACGAAAAATGGACAAAAAATCTAAAAAATATTTTGTCTCAGGATTTTGATGCAGAATGGTGGAGAATCGATCTAGAAATCGTTTAAGGTACTTCGCTTGAGAATCGGATGAGAATTGGGGAAGATATAGCAATCACTGTGGGCCCTATGGGGGAAAACACCATTTTCAAGGGATCCCATCACGAAAAATGGACAAAAAATCTAAAAAATATTTTGTCTCAGGATTTTGATGCAGAATGGTGGAGAATCGATCTAGAAATCGTTTAAGGTACTTCGCTTGAGAATCGGATGAGAATTGGGGAAGATATAGCAATCACTGTGGGCCCTATGGGGGAAAACGCCATTTTCAAGGGATCCCATCACGAAAAATGGACAAAAAATCTAAAAAATATTTTGTCTCAGGATTTTGATGCAGAATGGTGGAGAATCGATCTAGAAATCGTTTAAGGTACTCCGCTTGAGAATCGGATGAGAATTGGGGAAGATATAGCAATCACTGTGGGCCCTATGGGGAAAACACCATTTTCAAGGGATCCCATCACGAAAAATGGACAAAAAATCTAAAAAATATTTTGTCTCAGGATTTTGATGCAGAATGGTGGAGAATCGATCTAGAAATCGTTTAAGGTACTTCGCTTGAGAATCGGATGAGAATTGGGGAAGATATAGCAATCACTGTGGGCCCTATGGGGGAAAACGCCATTTTCAAGGGATCCCATCACGAAAAATGGACAAAAAATCTAAAAAAAATATTTTGTCTCAGGATTTTGATGCAGAATGGTGGAGAATCGATTTGGAAATCGTTTGAGGTACTCCGCTTGAGAATCGGATGAGAATTGGTGAAGATATAGACATTACTGTGGGCCCCATAGGCGAAAATTCTATTTTCAAGGGATCCCATAACGAAAAATGGAAAAAAAATCCAAAAAATATTTTGTCTCAGGATTTTGATGCAGAATGGTGGAGAATCGATCCAGAAAACGTTTAAGGTACTCCGCTTGAGAATCGGATGAGAATTGGGGAAGATATACCCATCACCGTGAACCCTATAGAGGAAAACCCCATTTTCAAGGGATCCCATCACGAAAAATGGACAAAAAATCTAAAAAATATTTTGTCTCAGGATTTTGATGCAGAATGGTGGAGAATCGATCTAGAAATCGTTTAAGGTACTCCGCTTGAGAATCGGACGAGAATTGGGTAAGATATAGCCATCACTGTGGGCCCTATGGGGGAAAACGCCATTTTCAAGGGATCCCATCACGAAAAATGGACAAAAAATCTAAAAAAAATATTTTGTCTCAGGATTTTGATGCAGAATGGTGGAGAATCGATTTGGAAATCGTTTGAGGTACTCCGCTTGAGAATCGGATGAGAATTGGTGAAGATATAGACATTACTGTGGGCCCCATAGGCGAAAATTCTATTTTCAAGGGATCCCATAACGAAAAATGGAAAAAAAATCCAAAAAATATTTTGTCTCAGGATTTTGATGCAGAATGGTGGAGAATCGATCCAGAAAACGTTTAAGGTACTCCGCTTGAGAATCGGATGAGAATTGGGGAAGATATACCCATCACCGTGAACCCTATAGAGGAAAACCCCATTTTCAAGGGATCCCATCACGAAAAATGGACAAAAAATCCAAAAAATATTTTGTCTCAGGATTTTGATGCAGAATGGTGGAGAATCGATCTAGAAATCGTTTAAGGTACTCCGCTTGAGAATCGGACGAGAATTGGGTAAGATATAGCCATCACCGTGAACCCTATAGGGGAAATCACCATTTTCAAGGGGTCCCATCACGAAAAATGGACAAAAAATCTAAAAAATATTTTGTCTCAGGATTTTGATGCAGAATGGTGGAGAATCGATCTAGAAATCGTTTAAGGTACTCCGCTTGAGAATCGGATGAGAATTGGGGAAGATATAGCCATCACTGTGGACCCTATAGGGGAAAACATAAATTTAAAAAATGATTAACGAATCCCCCGAAACTTTTTCATGAGAAAGTTCAAAAGACACATTAATAGCCCCTAATATTATTTAATATTTGTCGCACGCTTCACTATTTTTAGCACAGATACTAAAAAGTAAGAATCAAGCATTCTTGCCAACAATCTGTCCCTGAATCCAATAATTTTCCTCTCGCACGGCCTTCTCTCACCTTCTCTCCGTTTACTGCAAAGAACTGGCGAGATCTTCCGGTTTTTTTGATATTAGGTCTTTGGTTAGTCGTTGCCGGGAAGGACTTGAAGAATCATCTAACGAACTCCAACCTGTTGGAGCATCTAAACTTTTAGATGAGAATCTAATGAGAGCTCAGAAAGGGTTGGAAATCCCTGATCTACACCTTGGAATTGAAAAGACGCGCGTTCAAAAACATTTCAAAAGAAGGCATTATTTTAGTTTTGGCCGATAATTATATTTCATTAAACTGGAAACAATATCTACAATATGTCGTAAGTACTGGAAAATAAAAGGTAATATAATTTCAAGCAATAGGACCTTGGGATTAACCATCTTCATAACCAATTCTTTGAAAATCAAATAACGATCCAATATTTTATAATATACTATACGGATGCTATTTTTAGCTTACACTTCAGCAGGTCAGAACTAGTTTCCAATTATAAGAATAGTGTCATCTAATCTCTGCTCCCGCAGAATCCTCTCCAGGTGCTGCAGTAAATATGCCATTTGCTGGAGCGTGTTGGCCGCTTCAGTGGTGGGCTTTTCACTCGGTCTGGTCTTCAGGCTGCGGGACAAGGCGCAGGGACATCGTCGCATGGGTGCCGTGGCCTCCAATGGAGCAGGTTGCGCCGAGATAGCGGGCGCCATTCTGGAGCTTGGAGGATCAGCTGTGGACGCCACAATTGCTACGATGCTCTGCGAGGGTATCATGCTGCCCCACGCCGTGGGAATAGGTGGTGGCTTTGTGGCCACCATTTACTCCAAAGAGACTGGATTAGTTGAAAGCTTGATTGCCAGGGAAACAGCTCCGGCGGCAGCCACACGGGACATGTTCCTGGGTCGGAACATAACCGGAGCTATGTGGTGCGCAGTGCCCAGTGAGGTCTACGGGTACTGGAAGATGCACGAAAAGTACGGTCGCCTTCCCTGGAAGCGCCTCTTCCAGCCGGCCATCGATCTTTGCCGGAACGGCGTCAAGGTCTGCCAGAAATTGGCAGCTGCCCTTGTCTACGAGGAGAAACGCATCCGCAATGAGCCCTCCATGGCGGAGATATTCATAAATCCCAAAACGAACGATATCTACCGGGAGGGCGAGATCATGTACCGTCCCAAGCTGGCGGAGACCCTGACAATAGTGGCCAACGAGGGCCCGGAATCCATCTACCGGGGAGGCCGGATAGGCCGGGAGCTGGTGGAGGATATTCGGGCGATGGGAGGCATTGTGACTGAAGAGGATCTTAAGAACTACGAGTGAGTACTTACTTTTTTGTTTTAAAAGAAAGAGCTCCAACTATTAAAATCCTTCAGAGCTCGATGGGAAAAACCACTCCACTCGCGCTTCAATGGAAACTATGAACTGTTCACATCGCCCCTGCCCACCAGTGGGGCAGTCCTGGCCTTTATTCTAAACGTGATGGAGCCTCTGTTCACCACCAACACGGACAAGTACTGGCAGCGACTGATAGAGACCTTCAAGCACGCCTACGGGTATCGCACCAATCTGGCGGATATCCATTACGAGCCGAACGTCCAGGAGGTGTACGAGAATCTTATGGATCCCAAATTCGCGGCTGATGTCAGGCAACTCATAAAGGAGGATAGTACCTCTCAGAATATGTCGGACTACAGTGGAGGACCACGGCACTGCCCACATATCCATTTTGGCTCCGAACGGAGACGCCGTATCAGTGACCAGTACCATTAACTTCCTTTTTGGAGGAATTGTTCGATCCCGAAAGACAGGAATAATTTTGAACAACCAGATGGACGACTTCAGTTCCCCGGGTCGGAGATATAACTTCGGGATTCCACCCAGCCCTACGAACTTCATCAAGCCGGGCAAGCGGCCCATGTCTTCGATGTGCCCCAGCATCATCCTGGATGCCCAGGGCGATGTTAAGCTGATTATAGGCGGGTCGGGAAGCGCCAAAATACCCACCTCGATGGCCCAGACCTTGCTGCGTTATTTCGTGCTCAAGGAACCCATCGGAAAGGCGATAGACAGCGGAAGATTCCATCACCAACTGGCTCCAATGGCTCTGTACGTGGAGGAGCGTGTGCCGAAGCCCACAGTGGCCTATCTTGAAAGTATCGGACACAAGATCAACTACGTCAATGAGCAGGTTATCTTTTGCTCCCAGACGGCGATAGCCATAGAGCAGGGAGAGCCACATCCCCACTGCGATTGGAGGAGATTTGGTAGCACCGTGGTGGTTAAGGTACCTTGAGAGGTTATCCATCATAAAGCCTTTAAATTTGTCTTATTTTTTACAAATAAATAGAACCAAAGAGAACTCATTTTCAAGGGACAAAAAATCTAAAAAATATTTGGTCTCAGGATTTTGATGCAAAATGGTGGGGAATCGATCCAGAAACTTGTTATTCCCTCGACAGTAGGCCTTGTACTAAGTTGACTTCAATGATTTCAAGTCCGTCCCAGTTAAAAGGGAAATATCACCAATCACACACATTTTAGTTCAATGTCCGACTCTACGGATCCCCAGGCCGCCACCTCCAAGTCAAACCTGATCAAGGTACACCATGTGGGTGTAACTGCCCAGATGCAATCACCACTCCAGAGACTCCTGCCCCGAATGAGTTCCTCCAGTGATTCGGAAGCGTTCCAAAACTCGCATACCCAGTACAACATGTTCCAGAACGATTCGCGCGAAGACGCCTCCGAGTCCACAGGGGCGGGGAGTTCGCCACGAACCCTCTATGAAATGCACGCCGAGCCGGAAAAGAGCATCCTCAGCCATTCAAAGTTGAAGCCGCAACGCATCGAGTTCCAGCGCTACTCCAAGAAACGGCCGCGCCTTATAGCGCCCTCGCGGCCACCCAAGGGGCGCTCCAAGTCCAACAAGGCCTCCCAGGTGCAGAAGCACCAGGGGGGATTCATGGCTCGGCTGGTGCAATCTCTGGACAACATGTGCAAGTGCTCGCCTCAGCACACAAACAACATCATCGACGATCTCCCAGAGCCGAAGTGGAACCGCAAGGAGGCCACCAAGCACACCTGCATCGGCATCTATCCCTTCGAGCATGGTTGTGCCGATTATCTAAGCACCACGGACACGCATCCAAAGATAAACTCCATTATCCTGGCGGACCGGGCCACCACATATGCCACCCACTTTTGGGCTGAGCTGTTCGGTCTGCTCCACATTGCAGTGGCTTTTGTGGTGGCCTTCATCCTGCAGAGCTATCGCTTCGTCCTGTACTGCCTGGTCAACTCCCTGATCGTGGGACTGCTGCACATGACCTCGGATTATATGGTGAAGCCGTTCCTGACCGTGGTCTTCAACGGATTCGTGCAGCCGCCGTTGATATTTGTGTACAATATCCTGTGCTCGGTGAGGGATATCCTGGAGCCGGTGGCCCAGACCCTGGACCACTTTATGCAGCCCCTGGCCACCGTGGGACGTAGCTTTCGATTGGTCGATGTCAACTATCGCAAAATCCAGCGACTCTCCAAAGAAGTTTAAGTTTTGTTTCCGTTTTTAGTTTGTTTTTCAGTTTTATTAAAATTTCTTCAATGTTTCGATGAATTTCTTTCTAAATGTCTTATAATTCCGATTTAAAATGCCTAACTGCTCCATACCACATAAATAAATGTCCTTCTTCGTTTCAGGTCCTTCGAGAGCGTTTCATTCCCACTGGTTCCTGTGGAGGGCGGAGCTATTGCAACCCCTATTTTACGGAAACCAGTCCTTGCATCCCATTCCTCTTACTTCACATTACTCCACACTCTGACAATATTACGCACATTCCAAAAAACCAGCTCGGATTACATTGTTTTTCTTGTTTCACAGAACTGTAGCCATGGTGACACACTCCCTCCCCTGCGGAAGGACCTCGTCCTGGACCCTCGAGCCCAAGGACTTAGGGGTGAGTGCGGCGCTCAATTACATTGAATGGAACATTTATGATTTATTTGCTCATTTTGCGGCCGGTTACAGGACTCGAAAAGGGGGAACATATGTCCAAAATAAAAAAAGTATAAAACACACTAATTGTGTCCCGCGAGACTTAATTTTTCGAAGCCCTTAATTAATTTAGAATTTTGCCTATTTCTTTAACTTTTATCAAAAAAAAGGAAACCAGTTTTAAAACTCTATTTCTTCTATAGAAACTACAAATCCCAGTTATGAATGGTTTTATGATTTTATCAATATCCTTTCATTCCCACTCCATAATGACACATTTTCCTAAGAAATCAATCAAGATCTAAAAAGAATGATAAATATCAGAGGATTTACTTTCCATTCCGGTCAAGTTTTCGTTTTCATTGGAAACCCATTCAAAACATAAACAGAACAATCAATTATCATATTCAAATCTATTGCAGGTAGGAGTATGTATATATAAAAATAGCTGAGAATATCTATTAAGTGGAAAGATAACCGGGATTCGCATTATTTATCGGTTGAGTGGAGAAAGGAGACACCGGCGAAGCTTTCATTAATGAGAATAATGAGGTTGTTGCCAACTAAGGATCGTCTTACAGAGCACCCCTTTAGGAACTCTGATTTCGGATTTCTGAATGGGGGGAACCAGACACATAGAAGTGTTCAGGCCGCCCAATTAGCCGTGGAAATTCTCAGCATATGTTTAAAATTAATGAAGACAAAATACGGAAAATACAAGAGCATTGATTGATTTGTGTTGCTAGGATGGGGAATGTTTTCTTTTTGGGGAAATTATTAGTCAGTTTTTGAGATCTAGTTCTATTAATTGGATTTTATTTTATATTTCTACAATAAAATATCTGAACGTAATACCAACAAATAGTTCTTTACTTTTCAACGAAAGGTGCGAAAATCATTTTCCATCGCCAGACAAAGACCTCCTCCTACACATAATCCCTAGGTTTGCCCATTATTGTGTGATCGACAGGAGGATAAGGGAATCCTCCTCATGAATGGGAGCAGACGGAATAATAAGGACAAGGTGACACCTTACAAAACGTTTTGTTGGGATCGGTAATTTCGGGATTACAGCTGTTAAGCTGTTTTCTGGGCTGCTCTATTTTATGCTCGGGAACGGGAACTGGGAATTTGGGGATTAACCTGCCAGGTTTATACTCTTACTGGCAGAACGTAGAGTCCTGTCTGGGTTGTGCGAGAAGTTAAGCAATTTGTTGAATGTTGACAACCAGGACAATGGAGTACAATGGAAAACTATTGAAAAGCGATGGGCTGGTCGGCCACAAATGATTATGCAAGAAGTTACAAGTAAATAGACAATTTGAGAACTTGTCTCAGGTTTATTCCTTGGGTCAGATGGAAAATTGAGTAATAGTTAGGAGATTATCCGTAAAGTGTTTGCAATTTCTTAGTATTTTCGATAGAATTATAATGCTAGTTATGCAAGAAGTTGGGAAATGTACGGAAATTTGAGAGAAGCTACTTAAAAAGGATGACCAAGGAAGTACTTATAGACCATACAGGATGTCTGGATTAAAACATGTACGAAGAAAATAAAAAAAATATGATTAGAAAGATTATTTTAAAATAAAACTCTACTTGTGGAAATGCAAATTGCATTCACTCGCTTGCATTATTCAAGAAACAGACACCAGACGACTACCAGAAGGCAAAAATCTGCTTAGATCGGCTAAACACGATAGTGTGGGAACCAAAAGACGCATTTGCACCGAGCTGTAAAAAATAAATAACAAAACATAAAGCTTCGCTCGATTCAGCCTGACAGCTCGCTAAGTCCTGACACGTGATTTTAATAATGGAATTAGTCCGGCTGGGATTTCAATCCTTTCACTGCGGTCAATTATAGGGCACACCTCGCCGACAGGGGGTTGCCAGGATACCATCAGGGGTGAGGGAAATCACAGAAAAGCTGAATTAAATATTTAATTAGGAATTTTAAGTATGAATATTTATAAAATATTTTAAAACAATATTATAACCTAAAATACATATCATAAGCATTTTAACAAAATAATCTATCTCTTAGATATTTTTTTAAAATAAAATTTATAGTCCTTAAATATTTAGAATAAAAAAATTACACATTTTAAATAAATTATAGTTCAATAAAATGTTCTACAACTCCAGCTTTAATTTAATCTTTTTTATAAACGATTTTATAACTTAGTTTCAGAATCTAAGCAAGTCAATTTTTCACTAAAGTTATTTCTTTAGTGTATATTTTATTAATCAACTAAACATTAAAAAAACATATTACTTAATAAACGAAAAAGACTAAAAACTACACATTTTGTGTCTTAAATAGTTTCCAGCTTAAACAAAATGAGTATAAAAAGTCAGATTTTGCTGCAATTTGATGCTCGACTGAGGCTGGGTTTGGGAAAATTCTTCCTTTGACTGAGAAATGCTGCTGCTGCTGCTCATCTAATGGGATCAAATTTCAATTACAAAACTCTCCTCGGCAACTGCATTCAACTCGAAATGGTGTGATGAAATAAAATGAAATAAAAGTGACATGACAAAGGTGACAATCCCACAAAAAGGCCAAACAATTGCGTTGCCCCCAGGAACAGGAACAGAAACAGGAGCACTCCTCGGATTTTGTTTGTTGTTGAAGGGAATTCATTAAGCATCAAATTGGGAGGGTTGATGATTTCGTCACACAGCTAAATCCCCTCTACACGGTCCCAAAAGAACCCAGATTTGTCACAGACATCATCGTCACCCCGGGCATTATTACAGTTTTATATCCTTTCACTGGTAATCGGTAAAGGTGTGTGAAGGAAAGAGATAATATTGGGTCACAGGTGTTATGAGGTCTTATAGAGTTTAAATTTATTGAGTTAAAGTAGGTATACAAAATAACAGGTATTTTATTTTATTAATTTTATACCATAATCTATAAAACTATTTCATTTTATTGTTCGTTTTAAACTAATTAATTTAATAAATAAATTCAAAAACAAACCAGTAAGATATACATTCAAATCTTAGGTCTTCTGGTGTCTGAAGTAATAAGAGCCTTTAAAAGCCAACAGAAAATGTTGACTTTCAACAGTGCTAGCAAAAAAAACATAACAAAGTCACAGAAATTCGATGTAAATTCCCAGAACCCAGTATATATGTACGGGCATTCATTAGATACCCCCAAAAGCTAATAAGGTCATGATGTTTCCAAATCCAAGACTCTGCTCTGCCCTTAGATAATAAATAAAAAAAAAACAAAAATTTAGCCCATCTCGAAGAGATAATGAACACAAAATGGCTGACAAGTGAACACGCCCACCAAACAAAGGACGAAACGGAAACGGAACTACCCCTAAGTAGCCCGGATGGCTGGCAACCAGTTAACGGTGTCTGTCCCACTGTGCCACGCGTTCCGCAGGCGAACGAGAACACAGCGGAATGGAACCAGGCACAGCCTTGGGAATGCAGCTCATTGTTCAATGATTTTCAATTTTTAGCCACCTTCCGCTTGCAGTTGAGTTTGAAGAGCGGTCGCGTCAAGACGCCAAGGCGAGAGACGTTCTACAATTAATTAAAAAAAAAATAAAGGCTACTGGTGTTGAATAAAGTTTTGAAAAAATATATAAAATATCAAGCAAAAAGTGAATATCTAAGAGATAAAAAAATAAAAAGCTAATCGATTTTATAAACAAAAGAGCCAATGCAAATTCAAGTGTAATTATAAACATAAAAAGTTTTGAAAGTGAATCTAAGAGGTTTTAAAAAATTAATCATCAAATATAGTAATTAAATAAAGCACAAATTGCTATATTGAATCTAAAATGATCTATTAAGTTTCAAAAATATATCTATCGGAATTGGTAGCAATAAAACTTCCATATCAAGTGATAAATTAAAACAAAATAAATCAAAATTTGAACAAAACTGAAAAATGTTTGAAAAAAACATGGACACCAACAATCTGTCCGTCTCGATCAATGGAGATCTGGACTCTACGAGTTCCGGCGGCACCTCCTCGGACCACTCGGCCGCCCAGCAGGATAATCTCAGTTCGCCGATGGCCTACGGCTCGCTCTTCCTGCCAAATGCTGGTTAGTTATCCACATCCACCATCCATTTTTGTGGAAATATCCACATGCATATCCTATATCCAGATTCAAACTAGGTCTAGCCTTATCGGGGAAGAGAGGCTAGCGACAAGACAATATATTTATATCAAGTTACGGGACAGAGGCGTCATTGAGGCGCTGCATAAACAATTAAAGCCTGGGATTATTAAATTCTGCTGAGAATGTCACATTTTTGAGGACTGCATGTACATATAGAGTGCATGTTGGAGTTTTATGCAATTTTTGGAGAATATTTATTTGATTTTTATTATGGACCAATCACAGAGTTTTAATTTTCTTCATCAAATTACACCTATTCTTGTTAGAAATAAATATTTATTTAAATTTTTTTAAAAAGTAAATACTCCTCAAGTTAGGGCACTCAGAATTCGAAGCCTATTTTGGCAATGGTAAGCAATGCACATCAAATGCACTGTGTTTTATAATATTTACATATCCAAAGCTGCATCAATACGTATGAATATTTATTTATTTATACATACATATATGGTAGCATATCGCATTTATAAGCATGATGTCTCTTTCGGGCCTCAATATGATCCACAGTCCCCGTCTGAGGTGTCGAAAGACGACGATCGCTTCGGTCATTTCGGCAAGTCGATTAGTCACATTCTGCTCAGCGGGGCTTCGAGGGGAAGTTTGGGGGCTTTTCCATTGACCACCGAAGTAGCACGTGAGAAAGAACGAAAATAATGCAGAGTATCAGATGAAAATATTATATGAATTAAGAAAACAAATAGTCCGAATATAAGCAATACCTTTCTTTCAGGATATCGTGGCAACTTGTCTTGCAAAACTGTGCTGCAATTAGACAAATTCCCCTACGAGGGAGCGGAAAAGGATCACCTGTTGGAGCGACGATTCCAGGATATCACCAACGACTATGACAAGTCTCCCCCGCCCACAGCCTCCACCACACCCACCCACTATCCCAGCCTGAACAGCATCATATTCGAGAATGGCAATGCCGGAAATCTGGGGGATCTTAATGGGAATACAAAGACGGACTCCATGTGCGGAGGCTTGCAGAGGAACGGCAGTGGCCTGGGTGGGACATCCAGTACTGGGGGACACCTTATATCCAATCTCACGGCAGCCCACAACATGTCCGCCGTAGGCAGTTTTCCCATCGATGCGAAAATGTTGCAATTTTCAACGGATCAGGTAGGAAAATCATTAAAATTAGACATCATTTATAAGATATATAAAACAGGCATTATAATACTAACTTTAATGAAAACTACCTCCACAGATCCAATGCATGTGTGAGGCCCTTCAACAGAAGGGGGACATTGAAAAGCTGACTACCTTTCTGTGCAGCCTGCCGCCCAGCGAATTCTTCAAGACCAACGAGAGTGTCCTCCGGGCCAGAGCCATGGTGGCCTACAACCTGGGCCAGTTCCACGAGCTATACAACCTCCTGGAGACGCACTGTTTCTCCATCAAATACCACGTGGATCTGCAGAATCTGTGGTTCAAGGCCCACTACAAGGAGGCGGAAAAGGTACGCGGACGGCCCCTCGGAGCCGTGGACAAATACCGGCTGAGGAAAAAGTATCCTTTGCCCAAAACCATCTGGGATGGTGAGGAGACAGTCTACTGTTTCAAGGAAAAGTCCCGGAACGCCCTCAAGGACTGTTACCTCACCAATCGATACCCCACTCCCGACGAGAAGAAGACGCTGGCCAAGAAGACGGGTCTTACGTTGACACAGGTCTCCAACTGGTTTAAGAACCGTCGCCAAAGGGATCGTACGCCACAGCAGAGACCGTAAGTTTATGATTATTTTTTCCTAAACCGAAGAAGAGGCCTTACTCTAATATTTTTTACGAAGTATCTCAAATAATATTTGTATTTGTTTGTTCCCCGAACTCAGTGGACTTTAAACTCCATTTGGTCCAAAGGCAAAAAAGAGAACCTAAAACCCGACAGGCACATTTCCATTTCCGCATAACTCGTAAAACAATTCATTCAACACTTGAGCACTACGCCCGCCCTAGAACATAACTTCGGAATACGAAATCCGAACGAATATAATCAATTGTTTTGGAATTGGCATTAAAAATCGTTTGTAAGTGACCGTAAAGCACTTGTGCGTCCAGTCGGCCCACTTGAGCGTGTTTTATGTCCAATTTCGACCGGCTCCTTGCCCGGTCCTATGCATATTTATAGAGCCAAGGGACTCGGGACGTGCCCGGCTCCTAACGCAGCGCATGCGTGTAGCATGTGCCGCTCCATCCCGCCTCTACAATGCCCTGCTCCGCCCTCCAAGCCTCTCCACGGGCGTCAAATTGCAGCACACACAAGTGGACTAAATGTGTTGTTTTTGTTGAAACCTATAGGGTAAAAAATGTACAACTCGAAAACAAATTATTCAGATAAGAAAATGGAGTTTAGTTTTTTATTGCACAAGTTTTTATGATTTTTTTTTAGATATTCCTAAGAACATTTGTTTATTATTCAAACATAACATTTAATTAGGATTTTTCATTATTTAATTTATAGTATTGACATTTTTTTTATTTCATTCCAGTGATATTATGTCAGTCCTGCCCGTAGGCCAACTGGACGGCAATGGCTTCCCGCGCATGTTCAATGCCCCAAGCTATTATCCCGAAACGATTTTCAACGGGCAATAAACCGCGATCCATGCGATGCTGGTTTTTCGTGTAAATAATGCGTGTTTATGTTAGGAGTGAAAGAAATAATATGGAAAATTGGTCATCAAATGGCACATATTCGTTAGCTTTAGAATAAACTAATTTTTGCTTTATGTATTGTACAATAATAATAATTAAATAAATAAATATAGTAAACATAGTTCAATAAATTCCAAATCTATACTTTAACAACTTTTAATGGGTATTATTCTGAATTTTATTTCAGTTCTTTTTAATTCCTGAATAGGTGCCTGAAATAATCTTTGGGTAATTAAATATAAATAATAAAATTGGGTACCCTGAATTTAAATAGTAGGCTAAAATGGATAATTTAAGTCTTGGAACTTATATGAAGGATTGTACCCAGAGAATATGGGATATTATTAGTTTGGAGATTCTTTTTAGTTCAAGGAAGTATTCTACAAAGAAAAGATACGATTAAGAAAAGATTCTTATCCCTGAATGACTTATAAAATAAAGCTTTCCATAAACATTATCGTTTACTGGACAAATTCGATATTAAAATGCATCCTTTACCAGCTTTTTTACGCGCCACTATTCAACTTGATAACATTCGAGACGGGGAAGAAACGATGAATAAAACCGATAGCACTCTTCTTAAGTGTAATCGACAGCTCCTGTTACAGTTATCGATGTTTCTAATTATTGGCGATAAAGGGGTTGATAAAGGGTCACACTATTTTTAGCACCAAAAGTAAAACAAGAAATGTCAAATAAAAATAAATCTAATCTCAGCGAGTACTTTGCTAACGATCCGCCTAGTTTTTTTGATGAGCTGACTAACAAACCAAAGTCGAAGGAGGCACCGGCAGACAGCAGTTCGACTGGCAGTTCCAACAGCGCCAGCAGCAACATGATGTCCAACACATTCTCCGGATTTTTCCACCCACCTGAATATGTGGAGACTCCTGAGGTGGACACGGCGGATTTCATCAAAGTCAGCGACGAAGTGCGAAACTTGTGGGAGTTGCCGACGGAAAATGAGGCGGGAAAACTCATAATGCCGGGTATACACCTACAAAACGATTTGGTAGCAAATACAATGGTTATTCCACAAAAAATGGATTCTTTTTAACCAATTGTTCCTCATTTTAGCCTGATCCCATAGTTGTTGCGGTGACTCAGCACCTGGGAGACTCTGAGTTGGCTTACCGCAAGATACTCCTCGTTGATGACGTTACTCAGGATGAACGCGGCCTAAGAACCTTGATCCAGGCGGGTTGCTATCGCACGGCTGTGAACTTGACTGGCCGCTTGCTGACCATTTATGGCCAAGGATACGGAAGAGCTGGTCAGCCGGCCAAGCACTCTCCTCACTCCCTGCAGCTGTGGTTCACCCGCCTCGCTCTCTTGGCCAAACTGGGAGAGTTTGAACTGCTAAACACCGAGGCCGAACCCTTTGGACAACTCAACAGCCCAGACGTTTTCTACGACTTCTATCCGGAAATGTATAACGGCAAGAGTGGGTCTATTGCCTGCTTTTCGTTCCGACTTTTGCTTGCGGAGCTGCCCATTTACATGGGTAAGCCCCACATAGCGTTGGACAGACTTTCGGAACTGCACGTGACCAGCAGGGAAATCAAAGAGCACTACATCCAGCAGCGAAACAAGACGGCGGAGGAGTTTTGGCAAAGACGGTGTGAACGAGTATTACATTCGATCATTAATTGTGGATTAATGGTAAGGGATGTTGAAATAACATCGATTGCTTTATTGAACCATGAATTTTAGATGAAAAAATTCAGTATGATTGACGACATAATGGAGGGCACCCTTCTTAAACGTTCCAACCTGAGCAAGGAGAACCAGAGGGCATTGTACTCCGCCTGGGGACGAATTTATCTTCAAATCGGTGATATTTTCGGAGCCGAACAGAAGTTTGCAGTCTCGAGGAGGTTACGAGAAATGTAAGTGTATATTTTATGGTCATAAAAAGTTTACAAAATACCATTCTTATTCCAACCAGCAACACCACTCCCGACCTTAGAGACCTGGTGGACAAAGGTCTAATAGCAGTGGCTAAAAACGATTTTCCCGAGGCGTATGTGATATTCCAAAAAGCGCTTCACCTGGATTCCGGCAACACAATGATCCTGAACAACATGGGAGTGTGTCTGTTGTACGCCGGGAAGCTGAAGGACGCAATAAATCTTTACGAACGCGCCATCAACCTGAACCCACAAAAATACCTAAACGAAAGCTTGCTGGTCAACCTTTACACCCTCTACGAACTGGAATCGAACAATTCGAAAGCGAAAAAATTCAACTTGTTGCGCCTTATCAATAGGTTCAAGCCAGATCTCAATATTAGCATAGAAATTTGCCTTAAGCTGCAAGCTATGAGTTAAAAATAAATAGTTACATTCCAAAACACCCCCGAAACCATCGATAACGCTCACTGATAGCAGCCCTGACAGGCTACCTATCGATACACCCCTGCGCAAAGAGAATCGCGAGGAAGGCCATCTCTAATCGACTGCCCCGTTTCGTCGCTGAAAAAGAATTTCAGAAGAATTTATTTACAAATTTCTGTAGAAAATCGCGGGAATTCGTGCGCTTAGAGCACGCCTAAATGTTTGCAAACACATAGCGTGTGTTTATCTGAATAGGATAGTTGAAAATAGGTGAGTTTTGTGGCGTTTTAAAGATATATGGCCACACGATGATGCCAGGCATAGCAGGCGTATATAAAATGGAAAATATTGATGTGCCGTGCCTACAAAAAGAAAGTGTAGAGAAATTTTCGTTGCACTCAGAATGTTGTTTATTCTCCCCGTAACTCTGATCTAATGCGAATGCTCCCTGGCAAATAGTTCTAAATTAAACGATACTCGCAAAACTTAATTGATTATGGTTTTTTCTTTAATTTAAGCGAATTTGTTTATACAGAAATGTGTGTGCCTGAAAAAAGCGCGCCATTATTTTAGTGCTATGACGTAGCCATCAGCCAACGGGGGCCACGAAACCAAGTGCTATTTTTTTCCGCAATTGTTTATAGCGTGCATAATGCATACTGCACTCTCGAAGAGTGCCAAGTGTATGCCTGTGAATCAGTGTGTTCGAGTGCAGCAAATAATTTTGTATATTTTCCATTCGCCTGTGGCGGTGTAGGTACACGCTCGTCAAAACATATACACATAACCCAGCGAAGGCGAGGCAAAGGAGACGTCGGAAAATCTCTATTCTTTTGCAATTTGTTTTGATTTCTCATTCGTTCGAGAGAGCTGTTGTCATTTGTTACGCTCTCCTCTCTTGCGCTCTTTTTTTTTTTCGTATTCGGCCATGCGCCAAAGTTTGTTTTTGTTTCAAAGCGGGGGGGTGGGGTTGGACCGTTGGAATGATTTCATCCCAATCCCTAAAATTATCCTAAAATTCCTTTGGACATTCCGTCCAAATCTTGAACTCTGATTTCCCCGCTGACCCCACGATCCACACGCATCACGTCGTGCGCGCCCCCGATCTCGCTTCGCTGAGTGTCGTTTTCGACTGTTTCGACTATAACGCCAGTTATAGCTCTCCGGTGGTGGTTTCTTCGATTTCATTATCTGCTGTTGGCAGAGCGCTGTTGGCTTTTTTCTGGCTAAATTATGAATCATTTAAAAGCAAACATTTTTGTGCAATAATAAGCTGAGAAAGAAAATGTATTTGTTCTCTAAAGTTTATTTAAAATTTAATTTAGATTTAATTTTAAAAAGTAAAGTCTCAATAAAAATCAAAGCTTTATTTGAAGTTTTATGTTGTGTAAATAGTTGTGCAATATCCTAAGATTATCATCTCTGAACTTTAATATATTATAAAAAGATTTAAATTTAAATAAGCCTAGAAGCCATCTCTGTTAAAATGAGTACACATCTTCGCTCCGCCTTCACTCTCTCTCTCTCTCTCAATCTCTGCCCGACTTACTCTCTCACTTTTGTAAACATTTGTTATTGTTTACCTCTTTCTGGCAGATTAGCACACGGAATGGCGGCCAACAACAATAGCAACCTGCACAACCTGTCGGGGGCAGGGGGCCTGGCCAGTTCTGTGATTGCGTCGACGGGCACCCCGGGAGTGGGATCCTCGCCAGCTGTGGCCAGCACCTCCTCCTCGGCGTCGCAGAGTGCCTGGGATCAGTTGACGGCAAGTAGCTCCAATAACATTGCGCCCTCACCGACGGCAGGAGCTCCCACGGTCACCGGACCCATAATGTCGGACACTCCGGGACCTGGGGCGGGAAGTTCGCCGGTGGCAAGCTGCTCCTCCCCCTCGACACCCACAAAAACACATGCTCCTTCTCCGCTGGAGACCATGGCACACACTCCACAAGGACCACCTACCCTAGGGCCCGGCGGATATGGTGAGGAGCTCACTGCGGAGCTGGTGAATCAGGGATGGCGCAAGTTCTGGTCTAAGCGAGAGAATCGTCCCTACTACTGGAACAAAGTTACCGGAGAATCCCTGTGGGAGATGCCCGGCACCAGGCCATTCGATCCGCTCACCGATCCGCTGGGCATTTGTCATGCCGGTGGTTCCACGCCCGTGACCCCGAATATGCACCAACAGCAGCAGCAACACCATCATCTGAAGCGGAGACCCTCGGACGACATGCACATCCATTCGAATCATCAGCATCATGTCGGCGGCGGGCCCCCAATGAAGAAATTTGTGTTGGCCGGTCCCTGGGACTTGGAGGTGTGCACCAATGCGGTAATTGTGGAGCGACCTCCAACTCTTCTCCCGCAGCCGCATCCGGAGATTGAGGCTCTGCGGGCGGCGTTCAGCATGAAGCTGTTGAAAACCTACGAGGACCTTTGCATGCGAAGGGAGAACATCAAAGCGCCGAGGGATTCTTTCAATCGTTGGCTAATGGAGCGCAAGGTTATCGACACTGGATGCGATCCGCTGTTGCCCAGCAGTTGCCTGCCCGAGATATCCAGCTCCATGTACCGGGAAATCATGTCCGATATTCCGATCAAAATTGTTAAACCGAAGTTCACGGGGGATGCCCGGAAGCAGCTCTCCCGCTACGCAGAGGCAGCTAAGCAGATTATCGAATCCCGTTCGGCGCCAGCCGAGTCCAAAAAGGTGGTCAAGTGGAACGTGGAGGACACCTTCCAATGGCTGAGGCGGACAGTGGGCGCCAGCTACGAGGATTTCCAGGATCGCCTGGCCCACTTGAAGCGCCAATGTGAGCCGCATCTGGTGGAAACGGTCAAGAGCTCGGTAGAGACTCTCTGCGTCAAGATCTACCACCACTCGGCGGACCATGCCCGGAAGATTCGCGAGCGTCATCTACAGCTGCTGAAGGAGCATGGTATACCGGAACCGACACCTCCGCCGCCGCCTCCTCACCTCAAGAAAGTGTGGTGCTATCCCATCCAGTTTGCCGTTCCATCGCCGAGAATGCCAGCGATCGAGTATCTGCAGGATCGCGACCATATGATCATCAAATACACTCCCGCCACCATAAACCAGCCGGATGCGCAGTACATCAACCTCACCTATCTGCAAAAGCTGGAGCAGCTCTATCGCCATAACTGTTTCGACGACAAAAAGTTCGACCTGTTCATCGGACGCGTGTGGTGTCTGCTGAAGAGGTACCAAACCTTCCTGGGCAATGCCCTCAACTCATCACAGGAGGCGGAGCTTACCCAGGCCGCGTTGCCGGTTCCAGTGTTTGAGTGCCTGCACCGCCACTTTGGAGTGAGCTTCGAGTGCTTCGCCTCGCCGTTCAACTCCTATTTCCGGCAGTACTGCTCAGCTTTTGCCGACACGGATGCCTACTTTGGATCCAGAGGGTAAGGATTACACAAAATGTCTATCTAACAACTTTAAACTGATACACTTGCTCTTAATTATAGACCCTTCTTGGATTTCAAGCCCGTTTCGGGATCGTTCCAAGTGAATCCTCCCCATTGCGAGGAGTTGATAGAGGCCTCCTTGATGCACATCGACAAGCTGCTTACCGACACAATGGAGCCCTTAAGGTAAGGACCTAAGGTTAATCACAAACAAGACAAAAATAATATTTGATTCCATCAATAGCTTCATTGTATTTCTACCGGAGTGGAAGAGTATATCCAAGCTGGATGACAGCATGTACAAGCGACGGTCCATGGTGGTTCTGGGAATGGCTCACGAATACAGGCACGGCTACCAGCACATGATGCAAAAGTATATGTGATTATCTTAAAGCCACCATAAACATGATTCTAATACAGTCTTTGCAGGTCCGACGTGCTGGTGAAGTGCATGCAGGGCACCCAAGTGGTGTGGCTGCAGAACAGCGCTGGCTACGCCCGCTGGGGACCCAACGAGATCCGAGTGGAGGCGCTGCGCGAGGCATTTCGCCCGCAACGAGACAGGGAGCGTGAGCGGGCCGCAGCGGTTGCCCAGTCATCAGGAGTGAATCCCAGCCAGCAATCGCCGTTGACAGCCACGCCACCTTCCACATCGTCCACTTCGGTACTGGGAACGCCGACGACGAACAGTGGCATCAATAGCAACAGCTCATCGTCAGCTGTTACAACTAGCACGAGCAGTAGCCCGTCACCGTCGACCAGTTCCCCGCTGTCGCCCCACACGCCCACCGGAAATCCGCCACCACAGTTCCCGATGACCATCAGCAACACTTCAAGTAGCAGCAATCTGGTGGCCGCCTCGCCCACAATGAGTGTTCAGAGCGACTGCTCCTCGCCGTCGTCCTCCACAATGTCCCTGTCGCCGGCGCCGGCCTCTGGCGGTTATCCGGATGGTGGGTCATCGGCCACGTCGGCGGCGGTGAGTATAACGGCCACGGCGAGCACATCGGCAGCGTCCGGAGCTGGGTCAGCATTCGGCCAAGCGACTAGCATTAGCAGCACAGCCTCTTCGCAGGCACAGGTCATTAATTCAGCCGTCTAAAATGAATCCCCTGAAGGGATTCCGCAATCCATAGAGGAGTCTATTTTTTACCATGTTTCGGGCCTGGTGCCACTGTTGTGTTTCCTTCTATTAGCATAAATTAGGGATACATAATTAGGCACCTAATTATTTTTTTAAAATCCGGTTCATCAGATTGCAACCTGCAAGTTTTTAAAAGCTCCATAACATGGAAGACAACGCAATATTTTCTTTATACATATTTTTTTCCAAGGCTTTAGTTTTTAAATTTACACATTTCTTGGCCATTGGCTGCTGGTATTGCCCCGTTCGCAAGTTAAAATTAATTGTAAATATGTTGTATTTAATTTGAAATAGTTGATAGTGTCGGCGTGGCCGTAGATTATCTTATGTAACCGAGATGCCCAATAAAGAGGGGCCGAGCTACCCAGCAAAAGACTTAGTATGCATACTCAGTGTGGGTAGTGTGTTGGTTCTCTATCCTTGTTTTAGGTTCACAATGGTTTTCCATTCGAAAAAAAAAAATAAATAAATATACAAATAAATAAATGAAAATTAAAATAAAACCCTTTCGAAAACGAACTATATGCCCTTAACAATCTTTTGTGAGACTATTAACGTACTAGGATACAATTACTTTTAAAGAATTATGGAACGCGATTAACTAAATAATACACTATCGCCTGTACAAATCAATAAAAACAATACCTAAAGTAAGTAGAGAAGTTAAAACTAAGAGATATAATACGGATTGCGCAGAGAACCAAATTTGTAATTAATACAATACCATTACTACGCACCGCACAACAAACAATTAATTAAACCCGAAAGATAGTCCGGATGAGTTACCAATTCGAAACTCCTCTGGGCAGATTCTTCAACCAAAACTAATGGGAATTTAGCCAATTTATAGAAAGTAGCACTCGGCAACATTTTTAGAAACCAATTAACATTTAAGCCTTAAATAATAAACTAAAACAATATGCCACCACCCACAATCCACACCCCACACCAACCCACACCCCATATGTATCCGACTAAAGTGAAAAAAAGATAACACAAAAGCATTTTTGCGCTTAATCGAACAGTTTCTTTAATTCAAACCTGTTATTATGTAAACTTTTTTATTATTATTATATTATATAGACATCGTATCGCATAAGAGTGTATATGTGAATGTGTGTATGTAATTTTGGATATGGATTAGCTGTTGACTATAAAGAAAACTTAAATGCTATAAACGCAAAGCAAAAACCAAGTCTCAAAGGCATTCAGGGGAAAATCAATTTACAAACGATCCTATAGCTCAACGTCCGCCTATTACATTACATGATCTCCAGGCTGGAGTCACTGTTTTTGGTCACCACCTCGGTCTCCGACGAGCCAGATCCGGAGCCGGCATCGTCGCCCTTCTCATTGTCGTCTGACTGGCTGTGACGGTGTCGGTGGTGGGGAGAGCCCGCCAGCTGCCAGGCGGGAATGGATGGCACTGACAGAGGGGCCACCGGGCCGGCAAACTGTTTTCTGTTCAGAAGGAGACCCTTGATGGCATCGAGGTCACTGCGGAAGTTGTTGAATTCCCGGTTCAGGTGCTGGGCCTGATCCCGCTGCTGACTAGAGATCAGATCCTTGACTGCAGAGATCTCTTTGTTGAGCTCGCTGGTCCGTGTTTCCACTTTCCGGTCTATATCGTCCAGCGCCTCGTCCACGGGCTTCTTCTTCGGCTTGCCAAATAGGTAGGGAGCAATGTATTTCTGAAAATAAATTCGTGAGTCACAAATTAAATCAAAACAAAGGTGATCATTAGGAAATCTTTGTTTCATTTCGAGAAGGTACAAAATTAGCCATACTTTCATGGCCACAAGCAGTTATTCTGGGTTTAGATTGGAACTCCAATTAAGCAACACCAATTTATGAGAAGAACTGATCTTTGGACTCCTCATTGATGCTGAAACACTCACCTTCCAGAAGAGGTAGACGGCGTACACCACTCCACTGAGTAATGCCGCTGAGTGGATCAGTTCCCGGATCCGCACGAAGGCGGATGGCTGGGGCTGCAGCGCCTGGAGCTGAGACCCTATGCTTATGACAGTGTTGGGATTGGAGTTGATATTCGGATTAAAGTTATTGGGATCCTGGGTGAAGACGCCGGCCCGCTCGCAGGCCAGCTGGATCTCGTGGGCAGTCAGACCTTTGGACCGCAGGAACTGCTGCTTCTGGATAAGGGTAGTGTGGCGCACTTTGGTGTTCTGTAGAAAGCTAACTGCAGTCGTTATCTGCGTTTAAAGTGGATTAGAGATTAGACAAACTCGCGGGGGTTACATCAACAGAGCCTTACCAAAGACTCGCGGGGCAGTTGGTCCTCGCCCGTCTCGAAATCGTTCTGCAAAGACGTGCTTGACATGATGGCCGTGGTGTCCCCAGTGTCCGTGTTGTTTCCGGACATTTTTATATCGACTCTTAATTCAATTTTGTCAGTAAAATCCGAACGGAACGACCCCAGAGTCAGTCGCACTTCGCTCGCTAATCACAAACACAACAACAAAGGTGTGCGGGAGGTAACAAATACCCTAACGCGTCAGGTATCAGTGCAGATGAAAATAAATTGGATATTTACAATTAAAGCCAATTAAGTCATTAGGAATAAAGAATAATTATTATTTATGAGTTCTACAAACAAATTTTAAAATTAATTCAAAGTTTTAAATATTATTATACTTTAGTAATACAAAAAATAAACATGGTAATTGTCCATCTCTAGAAAAATTTTGTTGTTTGTTTACATCTTGTTTTTGTAATTATTTTTGGCGGAATTTACAAAAAAATGTCCACTATTTTGGATTGGGAAAATAAAGATCTGCTTAATGCAGACTTTGTTAAAAATATTCGTTCAGAATTGAAAAAAATTCAGGACGCCTATGAAGATTGGGTGGCCGAGTACCCAAAACTGGCAGGTGATTTTAAGATCTTGAAGTGGGTGACCCTTTATTTCTCAGGTAACAGAATGGAATTAAAATTGTAATTTGCAATAAAATATCTTGCTTGTTTTAGGTAACGTCTCTTCCGTGGCTTTTATAGCGATGGTTTCGAAAAATTTGATCATTAACTACAATCAAAGGATCATCACTCGCAGGAATGAATCGAACCGAAGGATATCAAAACTTTAGGCTTTAATTTTATGTAAACTTTTAGCTAGAAGTTAGAAAACTTCAATAAATGTGTGATATTTTTCAATAAATTATTTTTCTTTTGTGGGGGAAGTCCCAAAAACTACCTTAAGTTCTAGAGAGTTGCAGCGATTATTTAATATAAAAAAAATATTATTTATGGATCTTTAACATTTTATTTAACTTCTGGAGAACTCCCCAAATCGAAGTCTTAAAAAATATTATTTTTAATATTTCCGAAACAAAAATATCGGTTAAAAATAAAAAACCCTCGCTATTAAAAATCCCCTAACGCGTTTTGAACTCCAGAGCTGCAGCATTTGATTTACCTTCAGCCGCACATTCTGTATTTATTAGATTCGATCACCGAACATCAGACATTTTACGAAACCTTTCTACGAAATGGACTCCCTGAAGGGCTTGCTGAAGGCTTACGAGGCTTGGGTGGCCAAGAACCCGGACGTGGTGGGCGACTTCGAAACCACTGCCAAGTGGGTCTCCTACTTCATAGCAGGTAGGATTCATAAATTATGAGAGATAAGCTTAGGTGATGCAACTTTTGGTCGGTTTTCAGGACGGATATCCAGCTCGAATGTGGTCAGCGAGCTGGTCTACACCCTCTCCAACATGCTGGTGTTCTACAACGACCGGATCATCGAGAGGGCGCGCCATGCCAAGGAGAACTCGGCGGTGCGAATGCAGTCGAAACTTTGCTACCGTCTAAAGGTCATGTTGACGACGCTCGAGTACAGTGAGGTGTTCATCGAGATATCGGCGCGCCGGGTGCTCGGTCAGACGGGCAAATGGCTGGTGATAGCGCTGATCCAGGCCGTCAAGGCGGCCGGCCGTTTGTTTATCTTGAAGCACTCCACAGCGGATATAATCACCTCACCTCCGATTGCCTCTCTTAATCGCCGAGCCCTTAACAAGAAATCGAAAGAGGAGGCGGCGCCCAGCGAAGTTATTCCCCAATCTCAGCACTCCATAACCTTTCAGCTGAAGCGCTCCGGTCGCCTGATCCGCAAAGTGGAAGGTGCTCCGCCGCTGCAGTATCGCGATTTTAAGCTCCACGTGGAAAACAATGAGGCGGTGAAGACGCAGATTCCCCGGGAACTGGTCCAAGCTGAGTACCTGTACATTTCAAAGCCGCTCATTCACTTGGCCGCCATGGGCTTGTTTGGCCGACGCAGTTGGAAGCAGTACATCGTGGCGCTCTCCGTGGATCTGTATAGCATTCACCTGTACCGCCAGCACCGTGACCTAATGTCCAAGCAACAGAAGCTGGAGCTAAGCAGGCGCTGCATCAACATTCTGTACTTCTTGGTCCGGTCTCCGTTTTACGACAGCTTCACCAAGTCGCGATTGGAGAGGATAATTGACTTTTTGGGCAACACCATTCCCATTACGAAGGTGGTGGCCGGACCCCTGAAGGACTACATTCCAACGTGGCAAAGCACTTACTTCTATCTGTGGTCAACCTAGAGACCTCAACGTGGCAGAAAGTATTTCCATAGGTTAAGTTTTAAAGTTACAGGATGGGGTCTAGGGTGGGCTACACTGTCGATACTGAACAAGCATGGGGATTCATCCATTTACGATTCTAGGAACATCACACACCTCTTGAGAAACGAAATATTTTTTATACAAATGTTGAATAAAAGTCCTTTTAGCCAATGAACCATAAATATTTTAAATAGTTACTTATTTAAAACGAATGCCTAATTTGTTAGCCCATCCCACTTGGTTTTCGAATCCAAAAACATTGCGTTTGTATGGCTTTTAAAATTATATATGGAACAATATTTATACACATACAATTAAACGAAATTTTTTACTTACATCTCTAACTATACATAACACTTATTCTTAATCGTAATTGGCTAAAAACACACAGTCCCAGCCCGGACTCGAATCAGAACTTCAGGCTGAATCCCGGTCCCATGGCCAGTTGACGCTGGGTGAGACCAGCGTTGAGTACGAATCCCGTGCTGGCCGACGAGGCCCCAGCACCGTGGCTCTTCTTGTTCCCTGTAATGATGCCAGAGGATAGCTTGTTGCCCGGCCCCGTGACGATGGGCTCATCCCGGCCCAGCTGCTTGAATTGCGAACCACCCGACGGCGGCTTGGGCGAGGAGGCCTGCGCCTTGCGAACGCCCAGCTCACTCTTCGCCGGCCAGGTGGGGAACATAGACGGATCGATGGGCAGGGGCAGCTCCTTGAAGTAGGTGTGCTTCAGGGCTGCGTCGGCCGTCAGTCTTTGTTTCGGGTCGTACGTTAGGAGGCCCTGAAGAAGCGACAGGCCCATGTCGGAGGTCTTCTCCTGGAAGTGCTTGCGCAGCTGCGAGACGGGATATTCGGTGAACTGTGAGTTTTGCGACAGCATGTTCTTCACTGCCGGCAGGTCAGTGTAGCCGGGCCAGACCTTCTCGTTGGGAGTGCCAAGTTCCTGCAAAGGTAAGTCGGAGTTAGTATAGGAATTAATATATAATGCTAGCTTATCTTTACCTTAAATATCCGATTTAGTTCATCGATTTCGGTCTTGCCCGGAAACAGGGGCAGCATCTGGAGGAACTCGGCGAAAATGCAGCCCACCGACCACACGTCGATGGGCGTTGAGTAGACCGGCGAGCAGAGGAGTAGCTCCGGGGCACGATACCACAGCGTGACCACCAGCGATGTGTACTTCTTGATCGGCGAGCCATACTCGCGGGCCAATCCAAAGTCGCCCACTTTGAGGATGCCCTTGTGGGACAACAACAGATTGGAGGTCTTCAGGTCGCGATGCAAAATCCAGTTGTCATGGAGATGGGCCACCGCCAGCAAAAGCTGCTGTGTGAGGCACTTAACCTCTCCTGGAAAGAAGCTCTGCTTGCGGTTCTTCATAGTCTCCATGAGCGACTTGAGGTCGTGCTCCACGTAGTCCATAACAATGAAGATTTTGTCCATGTTGGAACCGACTACGATCTCGCGCACAGTAACTATATTCGGATGCTGCCCCTTGAGCAGCGTGTTTATTTCTCTGAGGGATGTGATGGGGAAACCCTCCTTTTCCTTCTCCATTTTCAAGCGTTTCAGAGCCACAATCTCATTGGTCCTCTTATCCTTAGCTCTATAAACGACTCCGTAGGTACCTTCCTCGATGCGATTCAAGCATTGAAACTCCTCCACCGAGCGACAGCCCTGCACTCCGGGGTAGTAGTTCGGGAGCGGCACACCCTTGTCGTCGCAGGGCGGCTGATCCTCGAGAGATTTCTGAGCTCGCTCCTTGAGTTTCTCATCGGGCTTCTCCTCAACCTGCTGAGCCATTCCACGCTCCTCACTGCGGGTGCTGCTGCTGGGAGATCCTGCCCGTTGATCCTCTTCATCATCGTCGAGGCTGCTGCGACTCCTGGAACGAGATCGAGAGCGGCTGCTGCGACTAGACTGGGAGCTGCTCTTGGAACTAACGGACCGAGACCGGGGGCGGTGCTTAGGGGACTTGTACAGTTCGCCAACGCTCAGAGGACTATCGGGCAGGGGCAGATCTTCGTCGTCGTCATCCACGGCTTGAGACTTTGATTTTCTCTTGCTCTTCTTCTTGCTGGCGTAGCTTTCATCGCTGCCCGACTCGCTCTCGCTTTCCGCGCTGTCCTCCTCGCGTTCCTCCTCATTGGAGTCGCTCTCCTCACTTTCCTCGTCATCGTCCCGAATCACCTCCACCTCTTCGCGTCGCTTCTTGTGCTTGATGTCCCGGTCATAGCTGTCCTTTGACTTCCTCTTCACGATATTCAAGCCTGCGGTGACACTGGCAGCTACTGCCGTTGGACTTAGTGCATCGCTGTGTTCGTTCCGCTCACGCAAGAGCTCTCGGCGGGCCTCCAACTCCTCGCGGGCGTTCTGCTTCCGCTGGCGGTTCTCCCGTTCGGCCGCTAGCATCTTTTCCCTCCGTGCCGACTGCTCCGGATCTTCGGTCACCTTCCGGCGGCTGACTTCTGTATCGTCGCGCCACTTCCGATGGGACTTGTGCTGCTGAGGCTGCGACTCTGCCTCGGGGCTGTCAAGCAGCTCGATCACGCGATCGTGGCGGCTCTGCTTGTGGGCTCGAGCACTTCGATCCCGCTCCTTGCGACCCCGTTCCCGGTCTCGCTCCCGCTCTCTATCCCTTTCGCCTCGCTCGTAGTTTTCCTCCGACTCGTAATCCTTGACATAGTTGTGCCGTTTCTTCAGCAGCCTGGAGCGCAGATCCTGCTCGAGGCTTTCGGCATCCTTGCTCTCCACGTATTTACTGCTTCGGCGAGGCGGCTCCTCCATGGGATAGTCCGCGTGCCGACTGGTTGAATGATAGCTAGACGGATAGGAATGATAGTCTCCCCGGGGAGCAGCTCTCGCTCCGCTTAAATGCTGCTGATGATGGTGGTGTTGATGGGCGTAACCGATGGCCGGAAGCGGCTGCTGGGGCGCCGGCTGCGGCTGTTGGTAGTGGTAGGCGTGGCTCAGATGGTGGACACGTTCTCGGTGGTGGTGCTGGTGGTATGGATCCTCCCTGGTCCGATAATCGTAACGATGATCGCGCTCTAGCCCGCCTCCCACATTCTCCCGTTCCTTGTGACGCCGGCGTTCGCGGGAATGTTTCTTCTTCTCTCTCCTGGAACCGGATCCCGATTCCCTGCTCGCTTGCGGTGGTTGTATGTACAGCGCATCGGCGTCCGCTTCGTGCTCCTCATCCTCACCAGCGCTAAAAGTAAGAGAGAAAGTCCAAAATTATGGTGTCATGCTATATGTGGTGTCCCATCTGCTGATGATTCTGGACCGATGCCTGGACCGATGTGGCCGTGACCCTTGACTAGGCGCTGCTCTGACCCTGGTACTTGTTGCATGTTCCGCGTAGCAGGTTGCACATTGCTGCAGTCGTTGTTGCGAGTTACATTTTACACTGACCCCTGGAGCGCCTCGAAGCGGCTTAGTTCCGGCTAGCTCTGGAATTCTTTCAAGATTAAGTACAGAAACATTGGTGCAGTATTTCAACGGAATGGGGTTAAGTGTTTCTTTGAAGCATTCGGATCAGAGCTGCTCGAACGAATAATGAGTATCCGAGCAGCAACGAGTGAGGTAAAGTGGTTCGATTTCTTTGGGTTATAATCTTTGAATTCTGAATCTAAAGTTTTTACAAGAATGGGGATGGTGTGGTACTTTCTAGACTCTATAATTACATTAGTTAGGCATATAATTTTAAAAGAAACTAAAAATGTAGGTGCGTGGCAAAGGAACTTCTCTTTAAATTTAAATATTTTCCAACTTACAAGACTTTCAACATTCATAAATGCAATTTACATTCATCACAGCACTTTAAACTCTCAAGCTTTTACCTTGAAATTGTGGAAAAGACTAGGTACCACCAGCTCCACCAGATGTGGGAAAATCGATCCACTCTAGAGTGCAATCAAAAGAAGTACTCACCTGAATCCCGGATCCAGGGCTAGGGCTAAACTGTTCCGCAGAGCTCGGAGCTCCGAGACTCCCAGGGGCTGTAAAATGCAAACACTTACACGACTGACTGCGCAACCTGCTGGGAATGGGAGCTATCTTTTTGAGAGACAAAGAGACACGAGAAATATTCAGACAGGACTTGGAAAGAGGCATTAGCAAAGATAGTACAATATTGTGTGTGATTGATTGACTTGGTTTACTGTTTACAATTTACCGCCAGCAGCCCATGAGCGAGATCGGTTCGGTTCGGAGCATATATAGTGATCTGATCTCTCAATCCGATTCTCAATTCTCAGTTTCTCGAAACATATTCATAACATTAGTCAGCGGGTCAAGCCAGATTAGCGTCGATGGCTTGAGAAGATTTCGTCCCACCGGCCAGGAGATGGAGATGGAGAGGCTTTCTCCCGTCGCCACTGTAGGTGCACGGTTTTAAACTCGAATTTTGCATATTGATTTCATTTTTTGTTTGGTATTGGTATTTTTTGTTTTTATAATAGCTTTGTTGGTTTTTTATTATGATATTATTATTAGGTATTGTTGTTGGCCATCGCGCGCCTCGGTCATGGGACAAGTACACACTTTTTGGCCTATTTGCAATGAAAAAAGTCAAGTCAATTAAACGGTACAAGAAATTCAATAATTTTAATCGTCAATAATTGGTTTGTTTTTCTATTTATTTACTTTTTTTTTGGTTGTGGTATTTTTTATATATTTTTTGTTATTGTAACATAGAACAAACAAGCACGAAAGGTATGTTGGGATGATATTTTGAGGGGGCGAATGTTCTTTTTTTTTTTGATTTTTTACAAACGCAAATTTTTCGATATTATAGAATTAGCATGTAAAACTCGTTAAAGTCAACGGATAAAGATGGTTGGCGAAAAATTGCTCAGCCGCTCCATACACACTTAAGGTAGCATATTAGTTAAAATAATTAAATATTTAGTTTAAAATAAAATTAAAGGACAATTTAATATTTTTTTTTTTGACGAAACTATAATATTTTAGTTTAATGAAAAAGAAAGCAAAAAACAGCTAAAGAATTTAGCTTCAAAAATCCCGCTAAACTGTCAGCACTTGTGTGTATATGTAAGCCTTCGTGTGTATGCAGCAACAATTTTTCAAGAATCGCATATGAAAAACCCAATCTTGGTTTTCCCAAGACCCCATTTGGAATACACACCTGTGATAATGCCCATCGTTGGGGCTCCGCAGCTGGCCATCCTCGCTGCCAGACGAATTGACCATCTTTGCACGAGGTGTCGCAGGATTCACGCAAATTAAAATGCCAATATGCTTTATGCTGATTCACGTAATTTTCAGCGGTCGTCTGCAGCGTTCGCCTCGCGAAATGCACGCCGCCTTGGGTTCAATCGTCTAGCTGACTAGTGCTTCGCATTTATATATAATTTACTTGGGGTAATCGGTGGTATATCACGCTCTTTAACAAAGTCTGTCTGGCTTTTGTGAAATCTGACAAAAAGGTTCGAAATTCGAAAAGAAAATGGCGTCGCATTGGCTTGGGTCTGCCAACCTGGTTCGAGTTTCTTAACAGCTGATGTATCAGCTGCTGTGATTCGCACACGCTCTTGATTTGACGTAGAGCCGGGCTCGTGAAATTAGAAGAATAATTATACATTTAAAATAAGCATCAATCAAAATAAAGAATAAACAAAAAAATTTTTTTCTGACTGATATATCTGAAGTCCTTTCCCGTTGCTGATAAACACCGAACCTTCGTGAGTCACGGTAAATGTCATGTAACATTCCCATCTCTATATCTTGGTAAGAATTTATTTAGGAATTTTGTTTTGAAGCATGTTGCAGCGCTTGTCGCGGGGTTTGCCTCATTTGAGGCAATATGGGCCACGCTTGGCCTCTACTCTGCCCTCAAATCAAGCCCAGCCTGGTGAGGAGGAGGTCAGCGCCACAGTCAAAAGGATTCGTGCGGAATTGGCCACCGACAAGCAGAAACTAAAGTGGCGCACACCGATTGGAGATAGGCCGGAGGATTGGAGCAGTAAGCTGAAGCTGTTTTCAAATAACGAGCAGACCTCCGATTTCATTGTGATGATGCAACGGCCCATTGACATCAGTCCCAGCAATGTGAAAGAGTGGTGGAAAAATCGCGGGGAGCGGATAGAAAGGCATATGCAACAGTTCATCCCGGAGAGACACAAGATCCTGGGTGCAGAGCTTGCCGCTGCCCATTTTATTCTTTATCGGGGCGGCGCTGCCAAGTTCCTTAACGATTCCCGGTGGCATCGAGCCACGGAAGAAGGTGAATTCAACCTGCCCAACAAGTTTGATGCCCGCTTCAAAGTGGAGGCTCTGCGTTGCGACAACATGACTTTGTACTACGAGGGACTGGAAAACATACGCAGCTTGGGCTCACTGAAGTTTCTGTCCTTCCACAACGTGAAAACATTTGATGACTGGTGTCTGGATCGCATTTCCGGTGGAGGCTATCCAAACCTAGAGGTGTTGGACCTTTCGGGAACCGATATAACGATAAATGGACTATCGTGCCTTTACCGACTGCCCCACTTAAAATTGTTGATCTTGGATGACCCAAAAGCCACACTAGAAATGGAGTTGGCTTCAGTCATGTTAGAGGAAGCTATACCCAATTTAAAGATTGTAGGAGCAGATGCTATACACCTGAGCGCCGAATCCTAAATTAGGCTGAGTGCAATTAAATTATATACAATGTTTTCCCAAAAAGAGAAGATGTTTTTTCTTATTTGTTGTAGTCAGTGGTGGCGAAAGTCGGCTAAAGGTTTAGCTAGACACAGTTAATTTCTTAATGTATAGTTTAAATTATACAAGAAAAATGAAATATCAAGAGAAATCAGCTTTGAGGAGGTTTTCCTTTCATATATTCAGCTTTAATGGCATCTCTTTGGTCGATTGGCGGCAGATACGGAGCTATTCCCTTGGCCCTGCGTTCAGCTCGCACTTTGTTCTGCAAAAACACAGACATTTAATACATTATAAAACCTCTTTAATTGAGAAACTTACCCAAAATTCCTTGCAATTATTGTAATTTACAAAATAAATTTCGCACTTTTCCCGGTCAAAGTTGTTTTTGTTGAGGCATTTGTAAGACAGTTCCTGCTCCTGTTTTTAACATTTAATAAGATGAAAATAGACTACTTATGGTAAGTAAATACCTTTAGGCAGGGATTATCCCTTTCGGCGTTCAGGTTTCGTGGCATTTGATTTGAAAATAATTATTTAAAACTTATATAAAATTTGTTTGTTGTTTTGTCGTTGGACAGCTGTTGCCTGGGCTGCCAACTTGGTTGAAGGTAGATAACAGATGTTTTGTTTGTTTACGGTTGAGTAAAATGAGTTCTTTGCTCTTTGAAATTAAATTAAAACGCGAAAACAAAGTTTACTATGAAAATGTAAGAAAAAATATAGTTTCTGATACATCCTTTACCCATCGTTTCACTTACAGGACATGCTGTTGGGCTGCGTGCAGTTTCAATGCAGTCAGGAAACGAAACATGAAGGAATTATGTTGTATCTGGAGGGAATAGTGAACCTGCAGCTCAGCAGTAAGACTGTGGGCCTATTCGATGCCTTCTACAACTCCGTGAAGCCCATAAATCTGCTGCAAAACAGCCTGGAGCTGGCTGCTCCCGGAAAGCTCAGCCCCGGTCGCTCCGAGTTCCACTTTGAACTCCCCTTGGTTTGCAAGAAGGAGCCCCGGATGCTGTATGAAACATACCATGGCGTTTTTATAAATATCAACTACCAGCTCAATTGCACTGTAAAGAGAAACTTCCTGGGGAAATCCATGACCAAACTCCAACAGTTCTGCGTGCAATATAAGCCCACGGCTTTGGGCGAAGGTGCACTGAAGTCGGTGCCTTTTAGTTTGAGTCCAGACTCGCTGCAAAAGAATGCCACGGCGAAGGAGCGACTATCCATGCCGAGATTCCTCATCACAGGACGCTTGGACCGCAGTGAGTCCTGTGTAACCACCCCAATCACTGGCAGCATCACAGTCCAGCACACAGAGGCAGCTATTAAGTCTATCGAAATGCAATTGGTGCGTGTGGAAACTTGCGGATGCGATGAGGGCTACTCCAAAGATGCCACCGAAATCCAGACGATTCAAATTGCCGATGGCAATGTCCTGCCCAAACTGGAGCTACCAATTTACATGGTGCTTCCTAGATTATTTACCTGCCCCACACTTATTACCAAAAACTTTAAAATAGGTAAAGTAAGCTATTTTCCTTTTATTAACTTATCTCTTAAAAACATAAATTTTCGTCTTTTCAGAGTTTGAATTGAATGTTGTGGTGGTGTTCAAGGAGGATTACACGGTTAGTGAGAACTTCAAAATAGTCTTAAAACGTTCATCAGGTCCGCTGCCTAGTAAAACTACAACTGCAGGACGCTAAACAATATCCTTATCGAATATGAAACCTCGAAATTTTAAATCATATTTGAATATCAATTTACTAAGTTAAGGAAAATCTCAAAAAGAAAATCGGAATGTTTTTAACGAGTTCAATGAAGCAACAAAAGCGCAACGAAATGTATTAAAGCAAATATGTATATGTTTTAACATAAACGCAATATCTGTAAAATGACGTTTATTGGTTGTTTAAGCTACTCCTCCTATTATTAATCTTTTTTTGTTTTTAATGTAAAAATAAAAATATCTTCCATAGCAAACACAAACTTCTCCCTTATCAAAAGCTTTCAAATTTGAAAAGCCCGCCAGCCGCATCATCTGTTTTTCAGGAACTTCCTGTTTCCGGGCGAATGGCTATTTAGAATGTAGTAGTTTCGTTTCGCATGCGATTTTGGTTTGGCCTAAAATCGTGTAATATTAAGTGTCCGGCTGCTTCATGTAGCGTGAAGCGTTTGATAAGTGTCGTAAAATGAAATTGCTTTGGTAATTTGATGTGCGCCTTTCAAAAGTTGTGACGTATTCGGTGGCGTTGCGGTTGTGGAATGTAAGTGGACAACTGTAAATTTTTGGTAAGTGCGAAACCTCCAAACACCTCCCACCTATAAATTACACATGTGTGTGGGCACTTGTTGTTGGTGTTCAGTTTGGCGGTCAAACGAACCGCTATACGTTCATGAATTGAAATTCAAGGGTCCTTTATTAAAACTAAAACAGGTTTTGAAATTTGTTTAATCCAAACTTAACTAGATTTTAAAATAGGAATGTTAAATTTTCAAATTATTTTGTTTTAAACAAAATCCCCGAAATCCCCTATGCGTTTTATTAAATCTTTATGCCTGGATTTTTTAGTACTTCAATTTAATATTTCGTAGATCATTAATATAATAAATTTAATACTTGATATATTTGGTTTTAAAGTACAGACTCCACAATTTTCAGTGTTTTGTTTAAGGAGATACGTATATAAAACGTAAATAAATTAATACGCCCAAAGACGTATCAATTTCATTGCCCTTCAATATCATTTTTTGTTTACCTGGGATTTACTTTTAATCAGAGTTCATATGTGATTGATGCGAGGGAGTGTGGGAAATTGATTTCCTTTGGTATTTTAGTGTGTAGGTGTGCCCCGTTTTTGTTGCTCCATCTTTCCTTTTATCCCGTGTCCCGTTCCATTATTATCTTTCAATTTTCCATACAGCTGGCTAAACAGGGGAAATCCATGCAACCTGATTGCTTCTTGCTTTTCGATTAATATCTTTGAAGACGGAAAAATCAAAAAACAAAGATGTTTTATATTTTTAATGGATATAATAGTTACTTTTTAAAGAAAAAATATATGTGTAACTTGTTTTTATACTTATAAAGGCATTTAATGTTTATCGTTAGCAGGAAAAAACTTACCGAGTTATTTTTAGCATACTTTACAGCGCTCCCGCATTAACGCTTTACCCACGCCATTTTCTTTTGTTTTTCCTCCTGCCTTTGTTTTACTTAATTTACTTTCTCGCTTTTCACCGTGTCCGTTTGACCGGTAAGTGCATATCAATTTCCTGCTTTCTCCTGCAGTGCACGAAGTTTTATTTTAAATCTTTAATAAGCTGATACGGCTTTTCTTGTTGATGCTGCTGTCGCACACATACATACACACACATATTGCACTGCTTTTTATGTGTGACTTGGCGAAAATACATAAACAGAAACCCACTGTGGTATTCAAATATATTATTTATATTTGTTTTATAAATTATTTAAGTACTTAAATAAATTAATTAACTTTCTTGCGGTTTTAATGTGAGTTTAATCTTTAAATCCTCTTCTGTTTCTGGCTGAAAATATTAATTAAAATTGTATTAAGTACACAATACAGATTAAACACACTATTTGCTTGCTTAACCCATGCATAGTAGTTGCCAACTTAATGGTCTGTATTAAATATAATTAGTCCTAGCCACAAGTCTGTTTATTGAATTAATTAGGTTTAATGAATCAAGAAATGTTTGGGGCCTGACATTTTCCGGCAACCACTGTATGTACTGTACTGACATAAATAACTTAGAAGAAAATTTCTGTGTTCTCCGGCTCTATCGCCGCATCTCTCTTATTGCAGGGCGGGGGTGACATTTTGGCCAACTTCTTTGCATCCGATATACAAATATATATTCCAGGCGACGGGACGGGCCAGGCAAGTTTCAAGTTCACTAAATTATGTACATTGAACACTCATACACACAAGTACACACGGTACTTGCATGTGGGTCCTTTCCCGCTGTGTGTCTGAACAAACACATATATTTACCCGACTCGGCTCGACTCCTCTTCCTTGACGGCCCCAACTTTTTACCATAAAGAACACCACACACCGCCTCACACACACGGCCATTCACTTGAATGTATTTATTTAAGTCAAATAAAAAGAAAAAGCCAGCCATTCCAGGGGGGACAGGCCTGGCAGACAGGGTACGGAATGGAATGAAAAGTGTCAGGGGCAAGATGGGCCTGTTGAGTCAAATATATGTACGCTAAAATAACTCTACACTTTGATCGGATTCCTTTAAGCCGTGCCCCGAAAAATCAATGGCGTAAAAATAGTTTGTGAATGTTTGTATAATATCATCATTGATATTTAAATAATGTTATTCCGAGTGGTTTCATAACTTGTAAGCCAAAAGAAAGTGCTCATTGGTAACTTATGCTATTAGAAAAGTGTTTCTGTAACTTTGAGTTTATGCAAATTAGGCTTTTCTAGATATTCGTACTTGGGTTTGCATTTTATTTATTTTTAGGGAAACTTTTACTAAAAGCTGGTTAAAGTTGAATACTTCTTTTGTACGAAGCTGTTTCAGTTTTTCAATAAGGGCCTTTTAAATTAATTTCAAAGTTTTCTCACTCTTCACATTTTTTTTCAGTGCTGGAAAAACTGTTGCTTTCTTTCAATCTTCAATTTCCTGTTCCTCTTTTCAATTTTTCGTGTGTGGCTGTGCGGAAGTACGTACAGCGAAGTCTTGGCAGCCCGAAATTGAGGCAGAATGAAGACATGAAGTTAAGTCTACCCCACCTTAATGCAAAGCCACCCATAACCACCGACCCAGGAACCCACTGAACCACCAAACCACTGCCAGCTGCCTTCAATTTGGCAGCGCCTGTGTCACCAAATGTAGCACCAAGGAAACTTTTTCCACGTCCTGCTTAGATGTACGGCTTAGACATAAGTGGCCAGAAAAGTAGAACTTTCAATTGTGACAGAAATCTAATTGAATCTAATTTAGATTTGACTTTCAGGATAATTGGATTAGGATATCAACTTTTATTTAATCTAAATTGATAGACTATACGGTTTTTCCTCATTTCCTTAAAGTATATTTTATTTTAGGGCTTCACAAATCCTATGAAATTTATCATATCTGTATCTTTTTTATGTTTTTTTGTTGTTTTTACTTTCAAAACATTTTAAGTGTGAATGGAAAATGAATAGAGGGCGTCGCCCGGGGCCTTGGATTTGTATTGGTTTCGGCATTGGCAACAACTTTCTGCCAAAAGTAAATCCACTCTCGACAGGCAGAAACTTTTCACGCCAACTGCTGCCCGGCCGAAAAACAACTGCCTTGTACGCATCTTCGATTGCGATTACTCGCCTATTGTCCCCATAGTAGAGGAAAATTTCAATGCCACAGCATCTGGTGAGAGTTCCGAAGGGTTCTGGCTTCGGAGAAAGTAAAGAAAGTGTCGACGTCACGTCGTGTAATTGATTTAAAATTAGCACATCGCTTTCAAAATGTAAACTGTTTACATGTGCCTGGGGACAGATGTTGCCGAAATGTAGCAGCTTTACATAATTTACACTCTTTAAAAATAGTGAATATTAAAATAAGTTAGAGAGTAAACCGAAATAGAGCAGAATTAAGCATGTTGATAGTTTTAGTTTAATAAAAAGTTAAAAATAAATATTTTGCTAATCCCCTACATCCCAAATTCCTCAGTGTAGGAGTGTATTTTCTGCAGATAACAAATCCTCTTTCTCTGACCCTTTGTTTGTGTGCCTGTGTAAGTGGGTGTTTGGCAGGGAGTGTGTCTGTGTTTATGCAAGTTTAATGAACATGAATCCACCAGCCACCAGCAACCAGGGCCGGGCAGCACCAGCCCCTGTAATCGCATTTCAATATGCTGCACCGGCAGTGAAAACTAACAGAGAAAAAAGATGAAATCCAAGTGGGTGGACGGACCGGGGTGGAGTGGAGTTCTACTCAAAAACAAAAAAATGTAGAAGAAATAAAAAGTAGAAACTCAAAGCCCGAGACCGTGTCCGTGTCCCGTTGCGCTTGTCTTGCACCGGTTTGCAGTTGCAAACGGCAATTTAGTTTGCACGGCAAACTTTTCATAGCCGCTCTGACCCGTAAACGAGGTCAACGCAAAAAACATTTTGAAAAATTCATATGCAAACGTATTTTCAGTTGCCCTGCCGCCAGTGTGGAGCACACACAGGTGCCAATGGCAGCACCACCACTGCCACCAACGGAAGTATCCACCACCCGGTAGCCGAGTAGCTCCCAAAACTGCCGGGGAAATTTCATGCTCCTCCGGCTCAAGAGCCTGGCGATGGTGGAAAAGTTTTTAATGGCCACACCCCATACTAACATCCAGTTAATAGGTGCTCCACCCGGACTCCTGCTGGCCAGTGTAACTCTGAGTCGCCCATGGGGCTCAAAGTCTTTCCCACTTTCGGTGTAAAGTGAAACGTTTTGCTTTTTATTAGTTGGTAAACATGAAATATAATGAAAAAGAACTTGGTTTTATACAGTAAATTAAATGTGAATCAACATCTCTCTGGGGCAAATAAAATTCACTTTTTTTCGGCCATGCCTGGGTGGGTGTTTGCCTGGCGAAAGGGGAATGAATATTAATTAATGTTGTCAAGTTTCCAGAAAACAAAGACTACCAAACTATATTAAAAATAATAAAGAATTTAAGCTATCCCCATCTTATTATTTTCTCATAAAAGCTCAGACTTTGATCATTAATCTCCTATGAATAGTAGAGCAGCCCTTTACAGATTGTAATCGTCGTGTAATCAACTTGACTTTTAGCATTTCCACTTTTTAATCACTACTCCGGACTAA